ATGAAGAACCTGAACATCGTTTTTCTGGTAGCAACTACTTTGACCCCTGCTAGCGCGTTTTTATGTTCAGGTTCTTGTTACCTGCCCCGAGTATTCGTCAAACGACAGTGAACGACTGTAGTAGGTAGGGCAGGCGTAAAATGTCAAAAAAAACCACGACCCAAAGTAAGCATTCCCATCTCAACCCCACCAATCTCCACGCCTTCCCCGCAAACAAGACTGAATCAGATTTTTTTCCCTTTCAGCACGAGGGGGTGGAGGGGGGCCAGCTCAGCAATTAATTGTGGTGGGTTGAAAACCAGGCTTTGCGCCGGTTCGATTCACAACCGCACCAGAGCTGTACCAGGCACAATCTGGCCGAAAGCCACCACCATCATCGGTCACCGAAGCAGAGGGGACAAGGTTCCCCCTGGCGGGCTGACTATTCTATTTACTCTACCTACTCAAGAGCTAGCTAGCTAGCTAGATAGATAGATCATAGATAGCTGATAGCTGTAGTGATGAGTTGGTGTAACCGACCGACCGACCGACCGCGCAAAGAAGACATGTAGGTTGATGAGGTGAGATCTTGGACGATGTACGGCGCGCGGCGGCGGCGGTGGTTGGGGGAACGGTGGTTCGGACTGGCCGGCCGGTGAGAAGTGTAAAAAAGTCTACTCTGACTTTCCTACTTCTTTTTTAACCTACCTGGCAGGATTCCTATTCGCGGACACTATGCGCATGTCTTTTTTTTTTTTTGTTAGCATGTAGTTGTGAGTAGGAGTATATTCATAGTTGGTTAGTCCGGTCCGGGGGGCATCAGTCAGATTAGCAAGAGGAAAAGGATTGTTACACTTACATACGTTTCTACACTTGAATTCACAGATCTCGAGACCTGATCCAGGTAAACTTTCCCCCAAACAAATGAAAACCCCATATTCCAGCACCGTCTTTCACTATAGGCACGTAGGTAGTGTTCCTTTCTTTCCCAGCCCTTCCTTGGCTGCCGACCCCACAGATGTATGCAATTAATTGATTGCATGATCCTTGGCCCTGCCATGGTACCGGGCCTCCAGCCTGGTATGGTGGGGTTCCGCCCAGCATCAAGTAAGAGGGGGCATGCTACATTCGAAGAAGAGAAGTAAAGAAAGAAGTAAAGAAAGAAAGAAAGAAAGAAAGAAAGAAAGAAAAGAAAGAAAGAGAAAAAGGAATGGATGAGACAAGACATCGACAGAAACACTTTGAGCCCGAGACTGTGAGTATCTGGCCTTGTGGGCAGCAGGTGTATGAAGCAGAAGTATTCGTTCATCGTTGCATGTCCTGGCCATACAGCCAGCGACAGACAGCATTGGCGGGGTACGTGTGTGTGTGTGTGTGTGTGTCTGTGTCTGTATGTTTGATGGAGGGGAAATGAACGGTACGGAGCTAGAAGCTACTGCTCTGGCTTGACGAGATCTGCCCTATGCGGCAGACAGCCAGGCCAGGCAGCCAGCCCGGGCGCAGCAGAGAAACCTCCCCCTCATCCTATCATCCTATCATCCTGCTTGTCTCTGTCTTTTGTTTTGTCCGCTGCTCCCACGTACTCCACGGTTCTACCAATGAAAGACGAGTGACGGATCGTGATCCACGCTGCAATCGATCTCAGCGTAGATTTCTTTTTTGTCCCTGTCGACTTTTCCTTTCTTTTTCTTTCTCCTTTTCTTTTTTTCTTTCACATATCAAGAGGCCCAGAGAGATCCCTGTGTGCTCTACTACATATGTACTGCCGGGCCAGCCAAATAGTAGCAATCTAGGGCGATGATGCCTGCTTGTCTGCCTGTGCCTGTGCAAGTTATGTAGATTGATTATCCTCCGCGAGTCGACCTCTTTGGCCTTGCGAAGACGACGACGACGACGGCAGAAGACCCTTAGCCAGCCAGCCAGCGCCTACTACTAGCTGGCTGGCTATCTAGGGCCGGAGAAGTGGATGCGGAAGGAACGAGGAAGAAAAAAAAAAAGAGGGCTCCCTGTTTCACCCGGCGGCGGGAAGGGCTGAAAGAAAGAAAGGAAAGGAAAAAAACCTAAGCACATCCTAGCAACTCTTCGTTTCAAGTCGTTTGCAAAGAGGACCGACTTTTTTTTTTCAGCCTTTTCATCTACAAGCGCCCCGGTGCCGGGGTACCTGACGTTGCGAATACCACTTTCCTCTTCGACCACCACACCATACGTGCCGGTCCACCACTTGCACGAGTGACAGTCTGTGACCCCCTTCTCATACAAACCGGATTAATTATTTTTCTTTCCTCCCCTCCCTCCCCTCCCTCCCCTCCCTCCCCTCCCTCCCCTCCCTCCCCCCTTACCCCCCCTTCCACTCCCACTCCCGGGCCCGCCGGACGGAAGATATCTTACGACACACTTGCCTGCATTGCAAATCTCTTCAACCCACATAAACCCTAACCCTCTGAGCGGGGTTCTCCGAGATTTTATCCGTGTTGTTACATACTTCCCCCAAGACTCCAAGACCCCAAGGCCTCAAGAGTGCACTACATGATACCTCCTAGCTACCTCCATGAGTGAGAGTAACACTACATAGCAATACCAAGATGGGCTCCACGCACAACAGCAACGTCCAAGAGAAGACCGCGTCACGGAGCGTTTGAGCCAAGTGTGTGACATCGTATGATTTTTCTTTTTCTCTGCTCCTGGGAAAAAATTTACGAGATGCCAGAGTAAGTACCTACTTGTTGCGGCGGTGGGCGGTTGTGGTACTCTACTTTGATGGCGCTGGCCAGGTAGGGAAGTATGTAGAGTACCTAGGCCTAGGCGGTCTTGTACTCAGGCAAAGAGAGGCTCTCTCCAGGGACATCAGATCATCGTCTATCCCATTCGCACTTAACCCTTCCCTACCTCTGGACCGGCTCCCTGCCTGCTGCGCACGCCCACATACATACCTCCTCCTCGGTCAGTTTCCAGTCTTCCGCCAATTTTTCCCTCCACCTCCCCTCTCTCCTCCCTGCACTGCACTCCAAAAACCTTCTTCGTGGGCCATCGTCATCGTGTTGTTCAATTTCCCAGCTAGAGCAGATTCTCCGGGTTATAGCTCAATTCAATTGGCCCGTATATACGTAGAGTAGAGTAATAGAGTTTGTTTTGTAGATATGCGTGGATACGTCTTTGGCAGTTACCACTTAGCAAATCTCATCATGGCCCGCATCAGGGTTTTGATAGAAGATCGATTGCACCCTCCCAAGATAGCATCTATCCTGTAGTGTAAGTTGACCAGCTGAGTGGGTGTTTGTCTCAGCTACCAACCCTTCTCATTCTCCGCTGCTTCCTTTACCTTTACCTTTACTAATTCACTCCATGACGAACCATGATTCGTGACTGTTTCCCTTCCCGAGGGACCACTCACTCACGAAAGACTCCCTCTAACCCCCCCCCCCCCCCCCCCAAAAAAAAACCCCCCTAGCGGCTAGCCAGCCAGGGTGCTCTAGTTACCCCAAGTACGGCTGTGGCTCGCGTGCGTCTAGCACATGCCGAACAGCCAGAAACAAGGGCAGGAAACAAACCTCCCCCCCCCCCCCCTCTCATCGCCCTACTTTTCCCCTCCCTCCGCACTAAACGTAACCTAATCTACATGTCTGTACCTAATCTACCAGGGCTAGGTTAGGGCTGCGTTGGCTGCACGCCATTTCCAAATGCGATCCCGTATCGTATCGCGCGCGCGCCGGTTCAATGGAAGGGAAGGGAGTCAACGAGGAACAAGGGAAGGAAAATGGGAAAGGGAGAAAGAGAGGAAGCGAGTCCATGACGTATCGGTTGAATTCTCGGGCGGGCCGCGTGCGGTGCGGTGCGGTGGGGGAGTGAGTAGAGTACAGACAGCCAGCTAGCAGTAGCATAGGGCATAGATCATGATCGGACATGTTATATTTTATTTTGTGTGATCAATGGCAGATATGATTTAATGTTTCGCATTTTTTTTTCTTTTCTGTTTTGCGTCCTGGAGCAATCAACAGCCTACATCCTACCGGGTGAGAACGGGCGTTTGCTTTGCAGATCCAGAGTAGAGAAGAGAAGAGGAGCAGACAGAGAGGAGAGACCGCGTGCGCGGTGGATGCGATGTGATTCGAGAGCTGAGATATCGTGCGTACAGGTAGGCAGGCAGACAAATAGGTAGACAGGCATCATGGGGTAGATATTAGTAACTGCTAGATCAGTGAGTGAGTGAGTGAGTGAGTAGTAGTAGCACAAGTTGCAGCCAGTAATTAATATTGGTGGTGGCATGTACTATTATTTGTCCAAATCAGACGACAAACAGAATAGGACAGAACATCAGTCACAAATAACATCCATGGACATGATATTAATGCCCACAATTAATCCCCGGAAACAACATGTTGGGAACGCACTGGATACACTATGGCTGTATTCGCAGACTCTTCCCCCATGTGCTTTAGTTTAGTTCTTACTCAGGGTCTCTCCCGGCCGGCGAGGGGGAGAAAACGAGATAGAGATAGAGGTGAGATGGAGAGAAAAGAGGGCTGATGAGTAGTGACAATATGAGTGATCCGTGGTGCCTAGAAAACTTAACCACACGGGTACATTTCCCTTTGCCTTGACTTACCTACACCCTACCGAACCTCTCTCATATCATGTTCTCCGAGGCCGCCCCATCCCATCCAAGAAAGATACTTTTAGATAGATCATAAACAATCTACAATACTTCTCTACCTAGGTTCTTTACTTTACCCTACTCTACCCCCCTCAATATGCCAATATGCGTGGAAGAATAGAGTACATAGATAGACCACAGACCGTATTCGCTGCAGTCAGCATTCTGAAAACCGAACTCTTTCGATCCCACCTCCCAACCGCACGTGGGTTTTGCAACCCTCGTTTATATATATGGCATAGCTCCAAGATTTAAGACCAGAGCAGCAACGATCGACCCCCTACCCCCCCGGCCACCCCCGTCTATTTTACCTTTTTCTTCTCAAAATAGGATAGGGCATCACCTCGATCTATCTAGGGGTAGGTAGGCCATGTTTCGTTTTGCAGCAGCAGCAGCAGCAGCAGCAGCGACGGCAGCGGGCAGGGTTCGAGGTAAAGTCGGCACGCACCCACAAGCAGCCTGGCGCAACATATCTAAACGGGAGAGCCAAGTCGAAACGTTCTCGAAGCCTGGGAATTTGACGAACGCCCCCCAGAACCGGGCCGCGCGTTCGCATTTGGATGGATTGGACGTTGCATGGGTGATCAGACACCAGCAAGCCACCAGTGGAGATCAGGGAGGGTGGTAGAGTAAGGTATAGCGGTCCCTGTAATAGCCTCCAGCTCTATGGGGTATGGGGCCCGACAGACATTGTTTTTTTTTTTACTTAACTTTGAGACTTCACGATGTTCGATCGGGCACAGATTGGACATCATGGATTCTTTAGGAGGTGATGGTTGTGGTTGTGGTGGTAGGTAGTGTGGTGGTAGTGGTAATGATCTGGTTGTAAGTGGTGGTGGACGAGGAGGAGTGGAAAGATAACGACTATCACTATCCAAGGGTTGCTTTTCTTTTAGGTGAAGCTCGGTCAGTCAGTCAGTCAGTCAGTCAGTGAATCTCTGTCTGTCCGTCGTTCTCTCTCCCGCTGTTGCTTCCTGCTTCCTGCTTGCTTTCTGCTTTTCTGCTTTCTCCCTCCTTTCCCGGCTACGCTCTCGGGACGAACCTCTGAAAGATTCACTACCCTAACCAAACCCAATCTAACCCCAAGTGAGATCCTTCGCCCGCACATCGCCAGTTCGGTGGAAATTTTAGCCAAGTGTTCTTTATTTTGGTGGCCCTCGCTTGCAGCTAGCCGAATTAATGCGATGGATAGCCCCGCAAAGACAATTCTGACCTTCTTAGGGCTCAAGCGTCGTGAGAGGGTTTGCCTAACCTTCTGAAAGGCCCGAACTGTTGTGTGCGTGTATGTGTGCGCGCGTGTGTGTGGCCTACATTACATACATGACCTTTGCTCAAAATCGCCTACGTGCTCTAGAGCAAGTGCACACCTGCTATCTATGCCACGCCGGATTCTCCTCCTCAATTGAACAGTGCAATGGCGAGACATAGGCAGAGCACTCATGACTCCCTCCACCTCATCGTCCTCCTCCTTCTCCGAGTAGGTAAGGTAGGACTGTGTCGGAGCGAACAAAGAAGATCATGTGATATGGGTCGAATATTGGTTAGTGGTGCTTTTCACTTTCACACATCACTAGGATAAAGGTAGTAGGCACAGAGCACGGGGCAGGTGGAGGAGAGATAAAGTAGAATAGCTATCGTAGGGGTAGCTCTGATTTGCCAGAGATGAGCTTTGGGGATAATTGCAGACACCTGTTCTAACTAGTGTGCTGCTTGCCATTGCCTGGGAATGATCCGTTGTTCCCACATGAGGATTTCCTCTTTTCATCCCAACAGTTGGTTGGACTTCTGGGCTGAGATGAAGTATCAATTAGTGACGTCAGAAGGCCAGATAGCGCTTATGATGATGATGCTGATACAAATCAGTCATGTTTGAACCGACTCAGCCTTAATCTGAAGGCTATCCAACGGGGAGGCAGAGAATAGGCCAACGAAAGGTTATCATGTTTACTCTTCGATTCTTTTACCGGACCGATGTAGGGACCCATCTTGAGTCGCTACAGGAGGAAGTCCTTGCCGTCAGGGTCCCCTGGACGAGGTAAGGAAGGGGAGGAAGGAGGAGGAGGGGTGGTGGGAGTAGCGATGGATAATTGAAGAAAAGGTAGAAAAAAAGGAAATCGCAGAACAAGCAAAGAAGAGAGGTGACAGCTGAAGGTACCGGAAGAACGGTTCCGAGATGCCCCAAGGCTGGTGCCGTCGTCGTTCAGTAGCATATGCACCCGTTTTGGGAAAGAGTCTAACCAGAAATAGTTGAAGTCGATGTAAGTAATCTATCGATACATCCATCTGGGGGTTTGTCAACGGTTGCCTGGCGGACTTACATACTACATGTACTGACAGTATCGTCTGTGGAGAAGGTTTTATTCTTGGAATTCAGGGTAAGCGAAAGAGGTCATACATACACGATTTCTGGTCTTATCTTCGAATTCATGTAGGTACACAAACGTATCCAATTTTCACGGGGCAGGAAGGGGGGCAGGATATCTTTACTCCATGTTAATGCACTCGATCATCCATTCGAGCTGTCTGGCTGGTTATGTGAAATTGAGGCTGTCGTCGGTGGTTGGAGTAGCAGGCATTGTGGTGATCCGCGTTCTAGTACCTGGTGGGTTGCGGCGGTTTGTCCCCAAAATTAACAAAAAGAAAAAAGTAACATCCCCCCCCCAAAAAAAAAGAAAAATGGAAAATCATATCAATCAGTAATCTTCCCCCCAGAAGTCAGAACCCCCCCACTAGTCACTCACCCTACCTACCTACCCCCTTTGCGTCTACTCTATGTAAATTTGCCCCGCCCCGTCTCATCCCATTCATAAAGTTCCTCGTCCTCGACCTACCTATGTCGCCCTTCAGTGAAGGTTCGTCGTCATCGCCAACAGTGATCAGTCGGATCAACAACTTGCGCTTTGTTTGTAGAAGGGACCAGTAGCAGCAGTTGAGCGAGAGAGAGAGGGAGAGAGGGCGAGAGATCCTGATAGTTAGAGAGGTAGAGATCTGTTGGACCCTTTGAGCTGTGAGTACGTGCGTACTTACAAAAGGTGGGTGATGTTCTGCCCCTCCTCTGGGAACCGTTTGACCACGACCCCCCTCCTCCCCATTCCGCTGTTCTGGGCCAGCGCAATCTCTTTCAGAGTCTCCCCCTGCAACTGAACCCATCCAACTGACGCAACATCAGCCATAGAACATTCTACATACCTACCTTAGTGCAACAGACGTCCATTAAAAGTTTTCCAGCAAAGAGAATCTAGCCGTGCCCCAGGGGAGCATTTGTTTTGGTGACTCTGCTTGGAACTTTAAAGAGATCTCCCAAGGCTCTGCGAACGTGTCAACAGGACAGTATTCAAATACCGTTAGAGATAATCACCATCCGTCATATGCTTCTCATACTCTCTATCTATAACATCATAACCATCCCCTCCAGCCAATTCTATAAATCGTAAACCTATCAGTATCCCTTGTTCGTAATCAATTCCAAGGCCGCTACTTGCTACTATATATCATGGTTGGCACAGCTCCTTACCCCAACATAGAAACTACCTCATCCCCGTCTGAGAACGACCTAGCCCCTTTACATAGCTCCTCCGAGTCACTACTTCTCCCAAACGACCTCACCATGATAGAGGTTCCGCATCCAGCTGGCCTTATAACTCAAAGATTAAAAGACACTACACCTCCCCCCACCGATTCTATTTCCCCCACTACAGCTCGTATAGTACCTGCGGATACAACCATGAATGCTGCAACTACCCTTACAGCTATAGCTACAGCTACCGCTACAGCTCCAGCTACAACGTCAGAAGAGCCCACTCGAACCACTGGACCAAAACCCTCAAAAACGTGGCACCATAGCCCAAGGACCTCACCTGGACCCTCCCCTGATGTAAGAGCTCGAAACAAGAGCCTCTCAATTATACCAATATCTCTCCCTCCTCCTAGCGTCATGGGCGCTCCTTTGGTATCCCCCAGTTTACAGTCAGCACCAGCACCGCAGCCGCAGAAAGCAAGCTTGATGCGAAGAGTATCAAAAAAGCTTCGGAGAAGGACATCTAACCATGCGCACGACCAAGATGAACGAAGCGGACCCCTGATTATGAGACATCGCAGCGACAGCTTCACCGGAATAGGAGGGGGCGCCGGAGAGCTGGGGCGCATGGGAATTCAGGACGACATTAATTTTGACGACGAAGATGAGAATGCAGTAATGTTTGAGGCGTTGGACGGGAATGATGGCGATTCTTCTACTGCAGGCAGAGAGAGAAGTGGATCTGTTATGGCCGTTCAACAGAGTATTATGGAGGGCGTTTTGGTTCCGGAGGTGCTACAGCATGGGATTTCTTTAACGCGGGTGACTAGAAAAAAGAGAATCTCGAGAATATTCACGCTCGATGTGACAAGTGCACGGGTTTCATGGGATCCTACAAAGCAGTCATCAAGATTCTACGTCGATGATATAAAGGAGATACGGATGGGGCATGACGCAAGGAATTATCGCGAAGAGTTTCTGATTCCCCTGGAGATGGAGGACCGCTGGGCGACTATCATCTATGCCGAGCCGGAATTGGATGGAAAATTAAAGACACTTCACATTATTGCACCAACCGTTGATATCTTCAAGTTGTGGACCACAACTTTGGAGAAGATCCTTCGATATAGGACTGAGTTGATGGCGGGCTTGGCTATGCAAGGAGAGAAGTTTGTTGACGCTCATTGGAGAAATTACATGGCTACTCGAAACACTATTACGCCACCACAATCTCCAAAGGTCGAAAGACTCTTATTCGAGGATGTTGAACGCCTTTGCCGACGTCTACATATAAATTGCTCCCGCCAGTTTCTTAAAGATCGTTTTAAGCGTGCAGACAAAGACAACTCAGGATATCTGAACTTCCCCGAGTTCCAGAAATTTGTGCAACTATTGAAAGAGCGAGAGGAGATAAAAGATATTTGGAAAAATGTTGTATTCGACATGGAGTCGGGAATGACCAAATCTGAATTCAAGGCTTTCTTGAGGGACGTCCAAAAGGTTGATGTCGTTGCCGATAAAGCTTATGTTGATAAGGTCTTCCGCAAATTCTGCCGGAAGTCCGCACAGCATCAACGTGCACACTCGGAGAACTTCACCGGAATAGTTCGTTCAGCGACGGGTCACATTAGGGATCATTCGGAGGATGCACGCATGTCAATATCTGCTTTCTCTGACTTTCTATTATCAAGCTCTTACAACCCCCCACTCCTTACATCGACACCACCTGAGAACCTTGTCCTTGATCGACCTTTGAACGAATATTTCATCTCGAGCTCCCACAACACATATCTCCTGGGACGTCAAGTCGCAGGCGAATCCTCAATCGAAGGTTATATTCGGACCTTGCAGCATGGGTGTCGTTGTGTTGAGATAGACTGCTGGGATGGAGATGATGGGCGTCCAATCGTTACACACGGCCACACAGGTACCTCCGAGGTTTACTTTACGGACGTTGTCGCAGCTATTGGGAAATACGCTTTTTTGGCCTCGCCATATCCTTTGATACTCTCGCTCGAAGTCCATTGCAGCTTGGGACAGCAGATCGTCATGGCAAACATCCTTCGGAACGTGTTGGGCGAAAAACTCATTTTAGAGCCTTTTATCACAAACTCATTTATCCTGCCGAGTCCACAAGACTTGAAACACAAGATTCTGGTAAAGGTTAAAGGAAGTATTAGGCAAGAATCAGCATTACTCAAAGAGGATTTCATTGCGATGGCAAATCGTTCCGCCGGAAGTCTTTCTAGCTCCCCGACTAAACAGTGGATTTCTGGGAAGGGCGTTGCTTCCAGTGCAAGCAGCAGCGGAACAAGTGCTTCAGACGATTCAGACAATCCGGATGGGTCTAAGAATAAGCAGAGAAGGCCGTCGGCTAAAATAGCGCCTGAGCTGGGGGCTCTGGGAGTTTATTGTAGGGGACAGAAATTTGTGAACTTTTCACTTCCTGGTAAGTTCTGACCTCTAAACCTCGTGATCTATTGAGGTTGAGATACTAACGAGCTCACAGAGAGTAAAACCTTTAACCATGTTTTTTCGTTCCAAGAGAAGAGATTTGAAAAGTTTTGCAAGGACTCGGAGAAAAAGTGGCAACTTGAAAAACACAATGTTCGCTATTTGATGCGTCTTTACCCTTCAGGCTTCCGTGTCAACTCTTCAAACTTTGATCCCAGCGGCTTCTGGCGTCGGGGCGTGCAAATGGTTGCTCTCAACTGGCAGACCTATGATCTCGGGCTTCAAATCAATGAAGCTATGTTTGCAGCCGGGGATGACAGGACTGGTTACGTTTTGAAGCCAAAAGAACTCCGTGGCTCGAGATCCACATTTGATCCACCTGCCGATGCTGCTGCAGCTAAGACGAAAAAGGATAAAAAGCTGGTTAAATTCTCGATTGAAGTTATTTCAGCACAGCAATTGCCAAGGCCAAAGGACCACAAAGCCGACGAAGGAATAGATCCATTTGTTGTCGTCGAAGTCTTTACCGCTGATGACAAGGAGAAAGGTTCATCAACAGGCGAAGGAGGAATTGACGCAAGCGAGACGAAAGGCATGAGTGGGCTCGGTGCACCCCAGAAGAGGCGTACAAAAGTCGTGAAAGATGATGGATTTCACCCGACATTTAAGGAGAAGATGTCATTTTCTGTCATCACAAAGTTTGAGACTTTAGTCTTTGTTCGGTTCTCGGTGTACAACGCCGGAAACTCGGACTCAAGCGATCGCACTTTAATTGCCACATACACGGCTAAGCTCATTTCACTTCAACAAGGTATGTTGTCGAATCTCTCGAAGCTTTAGATTCTAGTTACTAATTTTAATAGGATATCGTCATCTCCCGCTTTATGATCTCCAGGGTGAACAATTCCTTTTCTCAACGCTCTTTGTAAAGGTCGATGTTAGTCCTATCACAATTGTCGATAGAGAAGTCCCTGTTCGAGCCTCTACGATGGACACAATAAAGTCGGCTCTGAGTAGGGGATTTTCTTCGGAAAGGCGCTCAGTCAAGCACAAACATTCCCAGTCGCAATCGCAGTCTCAATCACAACCACTACCAAAATACCATAACAAAGATGACCAAAATGGCGGGACCAGTCCGGTGCAGATCACAACAAGAAAGACGAAATAGATGTATTAAAGTATTGTTGATAGAGGAGTAGGCGTGCTTTTAATTCTTTCTTTTCTTTTTACGTTGTGGGTTACGTTTTTTTTGCTCTAGTCAGCTGCGAGAGGCGGATTGAGGGGCTCCTTGACGGGCCCTCTTATTTATTTTTTTATTTTCGTTTAGTTATGGGTAACTGGGCTGGGTGTTTTTTCTTCTCAAAATTATTTTTTGCGTTATAAAGGGTCAGGAGTTTTTTGAGGGAGTATTTCTACCCCCTTTTCCTTTTTCTTTATTTTCTTCGTTCTGGGAGGGTTATCATGATTTACGACTTTCTTTTGTGGTTTTATCATAAGTCTTTGGCGTATCATATCAGTTTTAAGAGCTGTTGTTTTGACTTTCTCTTTCTTTCCAGGATGGGTTCTAAATCCATGAAACTTACTTATGTCGAAACGGTATATCTTTTATTACTGGGAGCTGCCTGTGTTTTGTTTCTGGGCGGGACATTTTTGTATTCTCTTTCTTTTAGCTGTTCTTATTTTCAGGCGTTTCTTCTGTCGCGCGCTGATGGCAGTGGCGGCTCTGAGGATCATGGCACCCACAGTTTAACTGCGTGGACAAGGAGCGGACAATCAATACTTGCCCCAAGGACGATTTCTTGGTCCTGTTTGGACAAGAAATACTCCCTGGATGATTCCCCCCCCCTTCCTCTTCTCTTCTCCATGTGCAAGAAACTCTATGAGATTGACGTGTGCCGTGGTGATTATCACTTTCAAGCTGGCTGCAGCGCCAATCCTGGACGCGTGGCGTGAGAGCCGGCTGAGATGGAGTCATGGCTTCTTGGTGGTTTACTTTTCAGCTTGGACTCGGTGTGTTTCTTGAAGTTGGAGTTAAAGGAGTTTGTACCAGCTGAAAATTGGGAGAATGTGCATATACATGGATGCATAATGTACATGTAGGCAACCATGTATTTAAATATGTGGTGAGAAGTATGAATTACATATATGTATGTATGTGTAGTTATTATAATCTCGGAATAATTGAAAATGTGGTTTATCCATCAATTTTAACCTTATTAAAATATAAACATATTTCCAGCTTCTGGCCCGGCGCGAATGTTTCGACTACATGTATGTGAATTAGGCAGAGACCGGCTGGGGAGGGGCGCTCCAGGGAATATTAAATAAACATGGAAGACTGTCCTTGTCAGTTTTTTCTCTATCCAGTAATTAAGCTGAATATGAGCTGCGGGCCAATTGCAATGTTATCACATTACATAGCGCAGTTTAGCCTATCAAACTCGAGTGATAGCCTATGAACATAGATATTTCACCTCTGGTTTGAAGTCTAAGGAAAGAGAAGATGTATTGGTTCATTCTAGAATAGTAATACTTACTAGTTAATATCGTTGCCCTAGGTTGACTCATTCGAAGGCCTGTTTCGTCAGGTGGCATATTGAAACTCAGTGAACACATCGCGTGGTACCTGTCGCGAACAACCCGAGCATGAGGGGGAAGCATAAGGACCCCTGATCGGCTATTAATTGGATCAAATCAATAAGCCTATGTACATGTTCACATGCGGTTAAGCGCGCTTAGACCCTACAGTGCAGTGTAAAGCGGTTAATTAGTGTTTACATTCTAAGTTGATGAGGAGTTATATACGTATCCGTTAGAACTTAGCTGGTTTCTGGTGTGCCTTGGCGCCCGGACGCCCCTTAGGTATCACCTTGGGAATGGCGAATGTTGAAGTCCGTAAACTACATGTACACCGTTCGCATGCACTGCGTGGTAGGGTCTTCAGAGTTGGATCCATGATCCAGGTGGGAGTCGTAATCAGGGTGAGCTACGTGTATCCAATGAATATAATCCTGGTGGTATATAACATCACAGTATGTTTTGTTCCTTTTCTCTCCAGAGCTCTCTCTTTTTTTTTTACTGGCGAAGTAAATTGTAATCACCTTGCTTGAATCAGGTTTGAGCTTCCTTTTGTTCTCCGTCCATCTCCGCCTTGGCTTCCCCAGAGAACTTGTTTGCTTCAATAATAGCTAGCTAGCCTAGCCAACTACTAAGATATCCTATTTTTATTAATTTCGTCCTACCATTAGTGGTGGAAGTACATGTATATTTATACACTTTTAATTTGCGTCATAGAATATCACTCTGGAATGGCCTTTTGAGCGGGATGCACTCTAGTGAATTCCTTCCTGGCTAACCAAACAAACATATAGAGAATACAGCATTGTAGAATGAAGTAACCCTATATATCTATTATATACCTAGAATATGGTCGAGTATAGGTATATGTGTAGAACTGATATTGCTTATTGCAAACCCCCTCGAAGTATATTATCTGTTGAGTCTCTGGTCCGGTGTACCATATAGGTGTACACGCTAACAGATATATAATGTTTTGCGTACTCATGTATATGAGGAGTTTGTTTCTGCTCCGCTATACGTGGTATATCGTTTGGAGCTAGCTGAGAGCCGAATAACGTGTAACATACCTCTTCCGGAATTTCTAGAAAGATACATGTAGCTATCTTGGAATGTCGCGATGATCGAGTTCAAGAGAAGTACATGTAGTTGTATGCATCCTCTATTAAGAATCAGAGAGACATATTATGTTAAGGTGATAGATCTCTGGGTATATATCAGTCGTGATATCAAATGGCGTACATGAAATTAATATCGATCGAAAATACGCAGGGGGTTGGTAGTTAATCTGAAGCTGGGGGGCCTAAAGTTAACGTGAGAAGTTGAGATTAGCAGAGTGGCTACCTTAAAATAAACTTCTGGAGAGATGTGGAGATATGTTTTGCAATTGTATAATATTGCGAGTAGCTGGTTGGACCTACAATGGCACGCTGGTTTAAAGGCTTAAAATGTTGGCTGTTTTCAGCTCAGCTTCATGTGTTCCTAAGCTGCAGGGCTTCAAAGCCTTAATTAATCAAGGCTCCCATTATATCTACACGTGATCTAAAGCCGGGTAACGTTAGGGCAGCAGCAGGTGGGAAAGACTCAACACCTTTCTTCGATCTTGTCTCCTGTAATCACTTCAATCATCTTCGCCACTTTGGCATATTTATCTGGATCTCGATTTTGATCTATCTAGATTTGGCTTGATCTGCAATCCTCGAGAATATATTTTTCTCTCTTCCTTCGCGCCAGCTTTGAGATTTTTTTCACGGAACTGATACTTGGGTGGGGCACCTAGTCCGACTCCCCCACAAATAGCGTCTACGCCCAGCTATCCAACCCCCCCCCCCCCCCCCCCTAAAACCTAGGAACACAAAAATCTTAAGTTCGCAAACATGGACGGCTCTTTCACCCATCTTGGTACGAACCCTCCTCTACTCCCCGCTTTTCTCTATAAATTTCTGTGGTCTAGCCTGTTTATTTGCGCACAAAATACTGACCGTTTGTTGGCGTTCTGTAGGGAATCATTTCGACGATACTGCTTCTACCATTGAGACATCTTCAGTTTTTGACCTCAAAGCTCGGCGTCATGACGACGATGACGAAACTGTTGATGAAACACTCAGTTTAGCAAGTGTCCCAGTTGGGCGCTCTGCTATGGGTGACCGGAACTACGGCGAGGAGACCGATGGGTTAAGCACTATGGACCCAGAAATTGAAGCTGAGCTCCCATCGCATGCCTGCGCGTGAGTTGTTATTATTGGGAAACTGGTTTGGACTTTGCTAATTCTTTGTATAGATATTGCGGCATCCACTCAGCGTCAAGCGTGGTTAGATGTTTAGCATGTAGTAAATGGTTTTGCAGCGCAAGAGGAAATACCTCCTCGTCGCATATCATCAACCACCTTGTCCGCGCTCGCCACAAGGTGCGTTTTATTTATTTTTATATTTTTTTGGCAATAATGTTGACAGTAATCTAGGAAGTTTCACTTCACCCTCAATCACCTCTCGGAGAAACAACTCTAGAATGCTACAACTGTGGAACGAAGAACGTTTTTCTGCTCGGATTCATTCCCGCCAAATCCGATACTGTTGTGGTCCTTCTCTGCCGTCAACCTTGTGCTGCTATGCCATCAAATAAAGACATGAATTGGGATACTTCACGCTGGCAACCACTTATTGAAGACCGCTCTTTCCTCCCATGGTTAGTTTCTACTCCAGGTGATGCCGAACAGCTCAGGGCGCGTCATCTCTCACCCCAAATGATTGGTAAGCTTGAAGAGCTATGGAAAGACAACGCGAATGCTACGGCGGCCGATCTTGAAAAGGGTGCTGGAGTCGACGATGAGCCTGCTCCAGTTTTGCTCCGCTATGACGATGCATACCAGTATCAGAATGTGTTTGGGCCGCTTGTAAAAATCGAGGCAGATTACGACCGTAAGCTCAAGGAATCCCAAAGTCAGGATAATTTGATTGTGCGTTGGGATATTGGATTGAACAACAAACATTTGGCTTCTTTTGTCCTTCCAAAACTGGAGCTTGGAGACGTTAAGTTGGCGGTTGGCGATGAAATGCGGCTGCGTTATGTCGGAGAGTTGAGGGCACACTGGGAGGGAGTTGGTTACGTTATCAAGATTCCGAATAACCAGAGTGATGAAGTCACCCTCGAGCTTCGCAGGAACGGAGGGGATAAATCCGTGCCGACGGACTGTACACTTGCCTTTTGTGCGGACTATGTTTGGAAGGCGACAAGTTTTGATAGGATGCAGCTCGCAATGAAGAGCTTTGCTGTGGATGAAATGAGTGTCAGTGGATATATTTACCATCGTCTACTTGGTCACTCAGTGGCAGCCGCACCATTGAAAACGAGTATGCCAAGGCGCTTCTCAGTTCCTGGCCTGCCAGAACTCAATGTGAGCCAGGTCCATGCAGTGAAGAGTGTCTTGTCGAAGCCGCTCTCACTTATTCAAGGGCCTCCGGGAACCGGAAAAACGGTTACCTCAGCTACGATCGTCTATCACCTTGCGAAATTAAATGGTGGACAAGTACTGGTCTGCGCGCCTTCTAATGTCGCAGTTGACCAGTTGACAGAGAAGATCCATCGTACAGGACTAAAAGTTGTCCGACTCACGGCAAAGTCCCGCGAGGATGTCGAGTCTCAGGTCTCGTTCCTTTCTTTACACGAGCAGGTCCGTTTAAATGACAGCAACGTCGAGCTGGCCAAGCTAGCGCAGCTGAAAAATGAATTGGGAGAATTGTCGTCTCAAGATGAAAAGAAATTTAAACATCTCACCCGGGCCGCCGAACGTGAGATTCTTACTAACGCAGACGTTATCTGTTGTACTTGCGTTGGTGCTGGGGATCCCAGGCTTTCGAAGTTCAAATTTAGAACAGTTTTGATCGACGAGAGTACCCAGGCTGCCGAGCCAGAATGTATGATTCCTCTGGTTCTTGGATGCAAACAGGTTGTCCTTGTTGGCGATCATCAACAGCTCGGACCAGTTATTATGAACAAGAAGGCTGCGCGTGCAGGTTTGCACCAGTCCCTTTTTGAACGCCTTGTTATCCTTGGATGTGCACCAATCAGGTTGAATGTGCAATATCGTATGCATCCTTGTCTATCGGAGTTCCCCAGCAACATGTTTTACGAAGGAAGTCTGCAAAATGGAGTTACGACACAGGAGCGATTAAGGAGGAATGTTGATTTTCCTTGGCCAGTAGCGGATACTCCCATGATGTTTTGGAGCAATTTGGGAAACGAAGAAATATCTGCAAGTGGAACCAGTTATTTAAATCGGACAGAAGCTTCGGCATGCGAGAAGATTATTACCAGATTTTTCAAGGCTGGTGTTCTACCCTCGCAGATTGGTATCATCACCCCTTACGAAGGCCAACGCTCCTATATTGTCTCCTCCATGCAGACAAATGGCTCTCTTCGCAAGGAACTCTACAAGGAAATCGAAGTCGCCTCTGTCGATGCTTTCCAAGGTAGAGAAAAGGATTATATAGTCCTATCTTGTGTGCGATCCAATGATCATCAAGGGATCGGTTTCTTGAACGATCCCAGACGTCTCAATGTGGCCTTGACCAGAGCAAAGTTTGGGGTTGTCATCCTTGGTAACCCGAAAGTGCTATCTAAACATCCTTTGTGGCATTACTTATTGCTGCACTACAAAGAGAAGAATTGTCTCGTTGAAGGGCCTCTTAGTAATCTTCAGGTCTCTTTGATCCAGTTCTCCAAGCCTAGACAGACTTACCGTGGACCGCAGAGATATCAGATGGCTTACCAGACTGCCCCCGGCGGGGGTGTTCCTACCGGATCCAGGTTACCCGGCGGAATTGGACCAGCGGTTACCACTGCTACGAGCCCTTCTACCAAGCTAAATAGGCAAGGTGAATACAATGGCAATAATAATCACGCTAGACTATCTGAATATAATGACTCCGGAAGTGTTATCGGATATATTCCAGACGATGTCAGCTCAATCCATTCTGTTGCTGTGACAAGCGCGTTCCCACCAATGTTCAGAGGGTTTGCCATGGAAAATTGGCCTTCCCTTCCTCCACGTGGAACAACAGCTCCTTCTACCATTGCACCAAGCGAAGCAGATGTATCTATTGCTGGTGCAAGCTCTGTCGCAGGTGGTGGCGTGCCCCTAGGATCTTCTGCGGGTTCAGTTATGGGAGGAAATAATGGTATTGGATCGAAGCAGACAAGTTTGAGCCAGAGTGATCGTTTGAAGAGATATGTTGAAAGCGGAAGGAGCGGTCTCGGTATGGGAATGGATTTGAGCGGCGGATATAAAACCGGCGCGGAGGGCAGTGTTTACGGGGGAAGTAGCATTGGTGGCGGTGTCGGGGTTGGGCTAGGCAGGAGGGGGGATGTGGATGACGACGTCCGCAGCGTTTCTACGGCTTTTGCGAGTCAGGTGGGGGTGACGGGATATGATTGATTCAATGGTGCCGGTTATCAATTCTCTCAAGAGGGGACATAGGTATGAGTGCGGTGCTCGGGATCTTCTTATGTTTTTGAAGGCACTGCCTGGTTCTGTTTCAATCAAGGGGACGTATTTATAACATGTGTCAAGGAACATAGCTCATCCTGGTCCACCACATCCAGCCAATTGCGGCTTACTGCGGCGGTTTAAGTTTGTTGTCAAGTCGGGTCGGTCGGTCAATCGGTCAATCGGTCGCAGGGCTTTAGAGTGCATTTTTTCATATGCAAGAAGGCTATTTCGACGAAAAAACGGAATGAGGCTCTATATCAAATGGGAACTAAAAGAGTAAGATGAAGGGGGGGGGAGTAGTCTAGTACTTAGGAACGGGGGAAGAATTTAGAAGAGGATAAATAACGTCATTAAACTAAGAATGCATACTCCCTCACTGATTAGAAAGGCAGACATTTCTTTTTACTTGCAGCCATTTTTAAACTTAGAGTCTGATATACATGAACTAGGTGTTGGAAAAACGTACTCTTTCTTTTCTCTTCCTGTAGGGCATAGATAGCTTGATTGCGGTGGTTCAATGGACTATTGACCCTTTCTTCCGTATTACCTTGTATTTTACATGTAGCTGATCTTTATGTTGCAATAACAAGTAATGTCCTTTCCCCATACATTTAACTTTAATATTTACCTTTTGCTTCCTGCGAGAGGATGTTAATTTGTCAGTCGTGAGAGACTACATGTAGTTACATAGCTGTATACATCATGCTTAGACCTACCTAATTATTTCCATTCTGCATGTTTTCTTTTCTACAGCCACAATATTAGACCCCTGGGATTCATACAATTGTATGTTCGGTTTGTAGGGAGGTCTGGCCTAATTGTGTCCTCATGTGGACGTTAGGATAGGCTGGCAGTTAACATGGAGACAACTGGCCAGTCTCCTAAATATATCAGCTTTCTTATGCGTTTAAATCAATTGCCTACATATCAAGTAAACTATGCCGGGGGTTGTAGACGTCAAATACTCTACGACATTGATTTCTAGTAGATTCGATATTCATTAGGATTTACAGGCGACTGGATAGATTTCTCATCAATTTTCTCCGGGTATGGGAATAGCTGCACATACAGTGAAGTAACTGACTCCTCCATAGTATGCACCATAGACCTCTGAGATGTTTCTGGAGTATACATATATATAACTACTTGTAATATTTTACAAAGATTACTTGACATTTGGTCAATCAAATACCCCACTGTGGCTTGTTCACGTCTAATTAGTACAGACCGCCAAACTACTAGAATATATGCGCAGATGGAACGATGATGAGCAATCTTCAACAAGACCATAAATACCGTAGGCAAGAAAATGTGCCAGTCAGTTGACGTGAAAAGGCAACCTTGGAAGCCGCAGACTCACTGATTGTCGTCCCGGATTTGCCTCACATCTTGGGGGAAACACCTGGAGGGATACCCAACTTACAATCACCCCCAGCACATAGTTCTTTCGGGTTCCGTGGAATAAGTGGCGTATGTGTTCGTGCATGCCCTCGAAATTAAAGGAAACAAGTACGACAGCGAGGCCGGGGTTCGATTCCCGCTACGGAAAACCACATTTTTTCTTTTCACCTCCAGCTTTTAAAGTATCGAATTAAAGAGCAAACCAGAACAATCTTATCCAGCTATGTAGAACAACAATATATAATACAAGTGGAATGCAGCCTCCAGCCGCAAATTCTCAAGTGGATGCTATATACATGTATGTATGTTGTATCCCTTCCGGACTCGGGAGTGGCTCTTTGTCCAGACGTATATATAGCAGTCCTAGTAGAAGAATGATAATGCTTCCTGACCACAACGAGGAAGATTATGCTATTTGGGAGTGGAATACTTTATCCTTCAAATTTGGATAATGATAGAATGCTTTAACTATGTAGAGGACCACTTAATCTATCTGTTTGTAGTTTGAGTGAATTTCTAACTTTGATTAACTGAGTAGAATAGATAATATTTATTTAAATCTATTTTCTTATGTACTATTTAGCACTTTATATATCTTTAGGTTGGTGTACCCTTCGTTTTAAATCAGGCAGTCGTATCGTAAGTGTACTTCAATTCAAGATGCCAATAACTATTCCCGAAGTGAGTCACTAATATGTCAAAAATGGGTCTATCCAGAAAAGTACTTACTTCGGCGCATTTGGCTTCACCACTTCCCAGGCCTCATTCAACACTTCTACTACCTCACTTGGCAAGGGGCTCTTCTCTAATTGATCCAGGTTCTCCTCTAATTGCTTCTGGCTACTTATACCCAATATTATTCCATCATTCCCGTTCTTGATATTTAGCGCCGAATGGTGCAGCAGCCACCGAAACGCAATTTCTACCATGGTAAGATTGTGTTTCTCCGCAACGGGCTCAATGAGTTTGAGCGCGTTGAAATAGTGGTCATGGAAGTAACGAGCGCGGTAGGCACTGCCTTGCATGATACTGGTATTACTGAATCTTCCTGACTCGGGGAGGGCGGGTGATTTGTAGTTGCCGGTGAAGAAGCCGCCTGCTAGACTGGTTTAAGGAAGTACTATTAATGACCAATGCTATGCGATTGATAAATCATGAAGAAGGCAACCTACGGATTGTAAACCACAATATCAAGTCCGTATTTCCTACAGGCCACGAACAACTCCTTCTCAATCGCTCTGGTGATGGCATTATACATTCCCTGATACACACTTGGTTTCACCCATCCTCTCTCCTTACACAGGGTACAAATCTCGGCCACCTCGAATGCAGTGTAATTGCTCAACCCCAGCCTCATGAACTTCCCCTCCTTGTACGCTTCGTTGACTGCCTCTAGTGTCTCTTCGAAGGGGACGGACCTATCTGGTGCGTGCAAATACCATAAGTCTACCTTCTCCGTGCCTAGCTCGCTGAGTGACTTGGCAATATTCTCCCTTATAGATGCCGCCTTGTGGATTCCCGGCTGGCCTGGGTAGAGCTTAGTTGCAATGGTAAAACCCGCCGATTTCCATCCGGCGGATGCGGTAAAGGATTCTTGCTGGGTTCCGCAGTAGACACGTGCTGTATCGAGTTCGGTGTAGCCGCGATCATGGAAAGCGGTGAGTATGTTTTTGAACTCTGGGAGGGAAGTAATGCGAGCGCCGTCATTTCGGTCCTAGTTATATCTTAAGTATGAGTGGTTATATGATTATCGAGTAGGACCGGGTGGACGTACAGGCCCAAAGGTCATAAGACCAAGGATTATGCGGTTTTTCTTTTCGGTGGACATTATTCCAAAAGTATCGTGAGGTTTGGGAGTTGATATTGATATCGATATCGCGATGTTTTTAAGTGTTATGATGAGGGGGTACATGCCCATCTTATGCACAGTGCGTACATGGGCCTAGACTTTAACTCCACTGCAAACTCCGTTAACAACATAAAGTCCGAATACGAGTGTGTTTTACTGCAGCATTCTACGAGTGTATTGGAGCCAGGCTACATAATCTACTCTAAGGCACTGTGCTACTGTTCCGAGCACCCAGTACCCCGGCCCAACAAACCAGGGCCGCCGAGCGGCCACAACTCCTCCTCCCTATTTGGATAAAATACATGTACTTATTGCGTAATAAAGAGAAAATCGTGGTAGCGAAGATCGCTAGGCTAACAACTACAATTGTACTCTGATCTACGCGTGTGTGTAGCTTTATATACCACTCTACCGCCATTTCGAAATAATCTACCGGCACGGATAAACAATGTGGTCCTTGATGTGGAGTGTATAAAATCTCTGACTCGACTCGACTCGGATCGTCAGCAGTCAAATGGGTGCAGAAAATCGAGATCTTTCCTAGTTACACCCTAAGATATCCGGAGGTTGTATCCCAGGTCCCCTATTGTATTTATGACACTAACTCTAGCTGGCTTGAAAAGTATGTGCCAACACCCCATCATCGATATCTCGTTCTACTCTTTCAACAATTCAGCTCACCAATTATGTGGTGAGGTGTAACTAAATGTTATATGGTAAGTGACAATCTGCAGCAACCCAGCCTTAAATAGACCCTTCAACTGCCTGGATATTCATGAGGAGGCCGTTATTATTTACAAGTATATATAGAATTCAAGCTGGGAAATCGATACCTCGTACCTACATGTACTTGTACTCTAGATGGTGGACTTAATTACCTACACATGTGCTACGGCTATATAAAGTAATTACATGTGCCTACATAGAGCTCATTATGTGCATATCTACGTACGTACACCCTCTCTGTCAGTCTGCGGCTGAGGAATTTATGCGCTTTTTTACTTGCCTGTATGTGGGGCCGCTTATTATCACTTACAGCTAGGGAGAGCGTATGAATAAGATAAAAACAAGATACATATCTTAAATGAACTGATCACACCAGCTAGTGGGGGCCATGTGGGTTAGTTATAAAAACAGTGATGTTCAAGTAACTACATACGTACATGTACATGCTAGAGTTTAGTTACCCTAGCGATTTGCTATAGTTGAAACAAATGGCCCCCAGCGTCAACTGTTAAGCTATACATGTAGCTACTGTCGATCACCCGGAAGCTAGAAATACAGCACTCATAAAAATATTGCTACACAACCTGGTAGGGTATCGATATATCATGGCTGAAGGCATTGAAAGTGAAAGTACTGCTAATGAGTTGTCACTTTCGGAAAAGAAAAGAAAAAGCACACCTCCCAACCTAATCCAGTCCCGAGATAAAAATACAAGGAGATTAAGCCCGATAAACAGAAAGTGAAAACGCCCGCAAAAAGCAATAGACAAAAACGAAAGAAAATACGAATGTATGTATGAGGGCTAGAATTGCCTCCACTGATGTTGATTGGTTACTGGCAATGAATAGTCGTTCACCAGGACTTCCCTCATATCCAGCTCCGAGTTTGATCTATATGAGCCCGGATAGCTTCCATCGAGATCAGGTGATGGTGTGTAGATATAAGCAACTTCAGGATATACTCTTCCAGCCTCGCGATGTCTTTTCCTCCGATTCACGGCGCAAAATATCAACGCCCCGACAATACCAAGCAATATTACTCCACCTGATATTACCCCCACAACACCCCCAAGTCCCAGCTTCTTGGAAATATCATCCATGAAATCCTTATCATCATCATCCTTCTCCGCAATTCCAGTGGGCGTCGGACCAGTGTCTACGAGAATCCCAGATGTTTTAGCTGCCGTACTTGAGTCGCTCTCCCCAGTACCGGCCTTAGGCCATGTCGGATTTTTAGACGAAAAATTCAATTTCGCTGTCCCCGAGTCCCATTTCCCGTGGAATTGTATGGTGTAAGCTATTGTACGCCCTGTATCTCCATCTACCATGCTACCTTCAATCTCAAACTCTACGCCTCCATCCTCTGTTACCGTCCCGGAGAATGTAGTGTTGGAGGCCTGATACTCCCATTCAAAGTCACTCTTCTTAATCCCGCACCAAGACCCCCCACTCCCAAAGTTTCCGGAGAATTTATTTTTGGAGAGATTTTTGGTGTTTTTCAGTGTGCCCGTTATTTTGTATTCTTCATCGTCGTCGCCAAGCTCTGCTGCTACAGACCACCATGTAGCACCCAAATTTTCCGAAGATATCGAAGACTGCATCGTGACCGTAAGATTTTCGGTCTGTGGTGATGCTAGTGAGATAAAATAAGGATTTGAGTGGTCGGTGGTATTGTCGTGAACGGGCCCGAACGTGAGATTCGTGTTATCGAGGACACCCAGCAGGCGTTCACCACAGCCTTCTGTGTGATCGGCGTCGATCCATGCTGCACTGAGTCTTCCAATATCTAGTGGTATGAGTTAGTGCTGAGGAGTGGGGGATTGTATATAGGGAACTGACAAACTGAATCGGTTTTTTGAGACGCTGCTTCCGTGTCCAAAAGAGCCAGTGCTAAAGATGTGAAAAAGCTAAGACTGAGTAGCGTATGCCATGCATAGATAGAGCTTTCTTTCCAACCCATGGCATGGGAAGTAGTGGATATTAAACGAAAAAATTGAACGTTTGGAAGTAAGCTCCGTAGCGGCTGACTGATTGATTTGGTTCAGAAGATGGTTCAGAAGTCTACAAGATGATAAGAAAGTAAGAGTGCAAGAAGGAGGGGGAGTAGGTGAAAAAAAGAAAGGGAAAAAAAAATACTATAATCAAGCAAGTATGTGTACCCTGGCCTACTGTTAACTTCCATTAGAGAAAAAACATTGAGTTAGGGCCACTAGTATTTTTGGAAACCTGTACCGCAGCGGAGATTTGCGTGCCCTAGCCACCGATGTTTTCGATCATCCATCAGCCATTATTATTGCCTGACTTGTATGTCAATTGATTGTTTATTGGGGATGACTATGGGACCCCGCCGGATGGGGAATCTCAGTAGCACAAAATCAAATCCCTTATGCTACTCGCCGCCGCGTGGCATTACCGCAGCTCACGCATCCCTCTCATTATTCATAATCGCAGGAGGAAGAGAGCCATGGAATAACGGCGGTAGTCTGACGGATTATCAGTTAGCGAACACGGGCTGAGATTAGTCAACGAAAATGAGTTTTGTTTTGCCTACCGCATCTGCATGTTTTCCAGATAAAAGCGCGATACCTACCTTCTACATAGGTATTCCACTTCTACCGGGCATGGAACCAATATAGGGATAGTATAGACCCGAAACAAGCCCAAGCAATGCAGGTACCAGGCCCGTCTTCGCCCCCAAAACGGACCCCGCCTCACCGGACATGTGGATGTAAGGTTAAACCTGACATCAACTTTACCGAAACGAGGCTATGGCCTCTTGATCTGATATATGCCCACAGTAGCGAAAAGAACATGGATTCGCCTTCCTTGCATTATTATTGTTAGCCGAGTCGGAAGAGCCTCAGATGAAACAGATGGCTAATCGCCTATAAGGCCTCTCTTAACAGTACAATTGGGCGACTTTGATAAAGGTACATGTATGTATCTAAAAGGGTTGGGGATGCCAAACCTTGCAGTTACTATCAACTTGATAGTAACTCAGCACGAACTTCAGGCTATCCTTTAATTGGTGAATGCCTGTAATTTCAGTGTTATTTGCTGACCATATGCCGAGCTAGGTAGGTAGATAGAGCTGCAGATATCAAATTTTCTGCATAACATCGATGCCCAGGATACGCGTAGCTACATGTAGGCATGTCAGTCGCCTATCAGAAGAGACATTTGGGGTATGATTTGCCTTACTGCCTTGCATATGCTTCATCGTAATTACATATCTTCAGTTGAGAAGAATAAGGAAGGATATCCAATCCCAACCGTCATTGATTAGTTGATCAAAGGATACTATCCGCCCTAGAAGGAGGAAGGAAGGGAAATGAGCCCTGAGACTAGAGATGGAGATCGATTCCGTCCAATGTCCTGTCCACTGGGTGTTGGTAAGACGTCAGATCGGAGCCAAATAACACCAATGACGTTTTAGACTTGACAGATGTTTACTGACTCCGGAACAACTCGGCAAATTCCAAATGATGGGGTAGCTAGCTAGCCGCTAGCTCACACACGTCTGCCGGGAAAGCAACCCCACAAAAGGGTACATAAAGAGTTTTCCATACAGACCCTTGCCACAATACGGTAACACCAAAATCACCATATTCTTATCTTGTGAATATGGCAGCTTTGATCCTGGGATGCGGAGCGCTCTGTTTCAATAGGTTTCAATCCCCTAGGCATTGCTTTGATAGAACACTGACTAGAACCTTACAAATAGTTTCAAGGAACACCAATCTAAGAAAAGGCTCAAAAAGGCTCAAGAGTTTGAGAAGCAACGGCTCGCAAATGAGGAGCGGGTCAAAAGGTTATCACACGAAGGATTGCTACAAGTCCCTCCGGGACTGGTCTTTACCCCTCCCCCTTCCTATGAAAACATCCCTTCCGTGTACAAAAGGGTAAGATACCTTAATGTTTTGATAATGATCATAAAATATGATTATTGACAAAATCCCTTAACGATCTAGAATGAAAGCTCGGATGCGCGATAGCACAAAATTGAAGGTCCAATGCCTTCTGGGGGTGTTGGGAGGCTTAGAACTAAAGAAGCTGATGGTACTTAATGTGTATTTAACACCCACTAGAATGGTTAATGGGAAGAGCATGTGAGCGATATTTGGCCCCCGGTACTGAGATACACTGTAATTATTGGGCCTGTAAATATTCCGGTGGGAATTGTCAGCCTAGCTGGAAAACCTGGCAAGATTATGGAGTTTAAATATATGTAGTAGGGCTGACAAAATGGGCCCGTACTGGTGGGATATGTTGTACTACAGAAGTTACTGATATCCTGCAACAATTACAAACTCGGCATCATCTCGTCTTCTGCGTGATCCAAGAAAGACTATATATGGCCAGACTGGACTTGGAAAGTATATATATAGGATCAAGAGAGAAGAGAGCTATAGAGTGGTTTTTTTTTTTTAAAACAAAAACAAAAACAGATATGTAGTACTTGGATTAAATCGACATGTCTTCATACTGCCCTTCTAGATAGTTTTTCATGTCCTCAACAGCGTTTACCACATTGAAGCCAATTCTTAAATTTTGTAGTCTTTTGATCAAAGATGTTAATACTAAAGATTTTAGCTTCGCGAGTTGGGCAGAAACTTAAATACTTTTTGGACTAAAACGGCTCCAAACTACGTACACAATATTCTGTTCAACTCTGGTAGCTAAAACTCTCTATTCTGTCCTGTGCTATGTTGCAATGACTTTAAGCCGGGTTCCATGGTTTATGCATTGATCTCCATCCGTGGGGGCCGTGCAGTTAACGAGGCGCATATCCATTCCCTTTTAGGTCTGGTAGTGCCTAATAATATTGTGATAATATGTATGCGCACTACGTAGCTAGCGTAAGCCATAGTAAAAGCTTCAAATGACCAATGATCGAAAAACCACTTTCCCTCCCCACTCCCTACAGCTAAATAAATACAATAAAGATAAAACCCAACCGAAAGAAGATAAATTTGCTCTAACTACTTTGCACTCTCCTCCCTTTTCCCAGCGATATCCGCCGCACCACCGTCGTCCTTCTTCGCAGGCACATCACCCCTCAGCTCTGCAAAATATCTCTTGACGTCGTCGGCGCCAACTGCCTCTCCGCTGGCTGCAAAAGGCTTCAAAAAGTCCTTTACCTTCTCCTTGAGCTGGTTATATGCCATGACGCCCTCGATTGCGTGTACGCGGTCCACCATGCCCAGTGCGCGCTCTCCGCGATCAAAAAGGGAGCCACCAGAGTGAACTGAGGCGCCATCTTCGGAGGCATCAAGGGGTGGCTCGTAGCTTTCCTCTTCTTCGAGGAGACATGGGTGTGGCGCAAGAAGGGGGAAACAGGTGGGGCACCGGCAGAGATGCGTGCGAAAGTTGGCTGTGAGAAAGAGAGATTGATGATAAGTTGAAGGCGGTGGAGGGGGAAGGTTATTGTAGATGCAGATAGGGACTTCTGTAGAGCTGTTTCCGGGGTCTGAGGAGAGCGCTATCGCGGCGTCAGGTGTTTTCGCGCGTTTGTGGCCTGGTTCTACGACTTCGTCCTCTGCCTTTCGTTTCTTATCACTTATTATTGTAGCTTCTAGATCTCCTGGAGCAATAGGCTCGGAGGTGAGGTTATTAGATGGAGCTATAGTAGGGGCAACTGCAGCTGCAGAGAGTGGGGCGTCCTTTTTGTCGACAGCCGAAAGGAACCCTGGTGTGCCAGCATAACGAAGTAGCCATGGGTTCTTCTCTACGCAGAGCCAACAGATATAGTGCTCAAAAGATTCTTCCTCGGGAAAGCCGGCGGGACGTTCCTCCTCCTCCTCTTCTTCATCGCCGTTTTGGACCGACTCTGTTAGCTCTGTCTTTTCCTCTAGTCCCTCTATAGCTGTGGTATCCATAGTCTCCTGTTTTCCTTCAACAGCTGCGACAACCGCCTCCTCCACCTTCGGATCCTTCTCAGCGTTTTTTTCGCCCACAATACATCCATCATGGAACCAATCCTCTCCACAGGCATCGCCCAACAAGCACTGATACATAGTGCCCTTCTCACTCTCTGGATCATAATCCGCATCACACCAACAAAACCTGCCCCAGTAGTTGTGGCAATACCTATTGCCAACCCTACCTTTCTCGCCAGCAACCTTCCTCAGATCACACGAGCTACCCTGCGGCATTCTATCTGTGCCACAATCACACACAACGTCTCTTTTGTTGAATATCTCTACCAGCTCATGATCGCCATGGCATGATATCGAACAGCTGTAACATATTCCAGCTGCGCCCTTAGTCACAAATTCCGCAAATTTGGGCGATGACTCTGTGGGGATCTGGCACGTCTTGCATGAGAAGACTGGCTGACGTAGGGGACCAAGAGCGTTTGTGCAGCTATCAAATGCGTATGGCATTATTTCACGGGCTTCAGATTCGAGCGCGAGTTGTGAGTTTATGTAACTAGCGTGTATTGTTAGTGGGTGCTTATCCATGTAGTAGCTAGAGCTAGGGGAGCTAGGATCGAGCTGGGAGAGCTGGGAGAGCTTACTCCATGGCTGTAACGGAGTTTTGGGAATCAGTTGACGTGCGCCTGGGACAGGGAGGAGGTTCGGAAGCTGTAATGGACTCCATTGTGATCACTGTGAGTGATATCGTGTGAATTAGAAGTTGTTTGAAAGGTGGGTTAGTTGACAAGGCTGCGAGAGATACCGGGGGGATTTGGTGGTTTTGTAGCTTTGATACTGAGGCAGGGTAAGTGCAAAGGAACGGCAACCTCCGTGACTACTAGTAATGCTATTAGGATGGAATATGGTACGGTACTAAAAATGCCTACATGAAAAAAAAGAAAAAATAATAATAATGATAACACAATATAGAATACGTAAAAATTGACATAACACAAATAACTCTAAGGGTTTCATCAAAGGAGGATAGATAGCTGAATTCCTACATATATATAGTGCTCTCGAAGAACACGATAATATACGCTCATGATCAAGTCATGTAATGACCAAATAACCGACAAATCCTGTATAAAACAAATGAAAAACTTTATGTAGAAATCTCCAACTCTTTATGCTCATTCGAGCTAAGCTTACCAGATACACTGGCCCTCGACATCCAACTCACACAAATACGCAACCGTCTCGGTACTAGTCGGAGCTGGGGTTGGAATCACAGTAGTAGTTATCGTAACTATAGTTGTAGTATTTTGTTGCATCTTTTTCTTCTCCTCCTCCTTCTTTTGCTCGTCTCCCTTTTTATCACCGATTCCAAACTGTGTCGTGTACTGATAGAACCCAGTCTTGTCATCGATCAACTGGATCCCATAGCGGCTCGAGTCGACTTCTAGATCCTCCTTTGGCGTCCACTCATACTCCCCCGAATTTTTCGTCTTCTCCACAATCGGGTAGAGGGGTACGCAGTTAGTTGATGGTCCACGGAGAAGTATGAGCGATACTGTATTGTCCGGGGACGTCGGATTCCACTTTATTTTGTAAGGGGTGCCCTTGGGGACAGTTTCGTTGAGCCCTGGGCTAGAGAAGGGATTGCCTTGAGGGTTGGGGCCGACGGGCGCTGTGTATGCGGCCGCAAAGGAAAGAAGGGAAAAGAGTGAGTAGGTTATCGAGGTTCTCATGATTTTTTCTTTTTTGTATGTTTTGTTTCTTGTGTTTTATTGTGAAGGATTTTCGTTATGTAGAAAGCGGCCGTGGAAATGATATTTCAAACAACAATAAATATAAGTGTCGTGCCTGCGTACCAAAAAACCTGTTTGATACGACCTCCCAAAAACTGGAAAAGAGAAGATATAAGAAGAAATCTCCCTACTCCCCGAAACTTATAGGGGAACCCACCAACCCCTCCCTTCGCTCCCGGTGTCTGTCTCTCACGGCCCTGCCGATCCATTCGTTCCAAAAACATCAGCACTCTGCCGGTTCGTAATCTCAAAGCCGGGTAACAAGCCAAGGCTACACCGGTACCTTCCGCCTTTAGCAAGAGCTGAGAGTGAACAGCCAAAGCATCATCACACTCGTCTCTAACTGACCCAGCGCCATGGGGAAGGAAGACTACGTCTCCACAGGTACGCCATGTATCCCATGCCTGGTCAGCCACGATTGCTAACACTCCGAACACAGGAGGATCTCTCAAGCTTAAAGGCATTAAAGACGGCGGGATCAAAAAAAAGAAATCGAAAAAGAGCCGCACAAAGTCAAAATCAGAGGACCGCGACGATGGCAATAGCGAGCGCGCTCTCTCCAATACCGCGGAAGAACCAAAGGATTCTAAAGAGGAACCCGGCGAGGGACGATCACGCTCTGGGTCTGCTGAACGTGATGGGCCGGAGAAGGGAGACTACTATGCTGGAAAGACAGAGGCGGAGCGAAGGTTTGAAGAACGGAAGCGGAAGAGGGTATGTCGCACTTGAATGATAGCGAATGTAAGCGCGCCGTGCTAATAACAAAGTAGATGGACGAAAGGTTAAAGCGGGAGGGCATCAAGAGCCACAAGCAGCGTGTCGAGGAGTACAACAAGTACCTGAGTAATCTCAGTGAGCACCACGACATGTATGTTCAGAAAATCATCCTTTTATCTGGTGTGATGATGCTAACGAATTCTGCAGGCCTCGTATCGGACCTGGCTAATACTTGCCACCCAGGGGAACTGGGGATTATTTATCGTTTGCTTTGTTTTATTCTCTTCCCGCTTGCGTTCTTCTAGTGTGTGGTAGATACATGTAGCTGCGTCGTAGGACAAATATTCGTTTGTGCTTCATCTTTGTGCGTGTGATATACTGTGATGCAAGAGACCGGTCATGGGAAGATCACTCGACCTTTGAAGCGCCCAAAGTGAACGTCATTTAGCTATGGAAGGAGCTTTCCCTAGGTATCCGGTTCGCCCAGCTATCGTTGCCACCGGAGGTTAACAAGGTATATTTTTGACATGAACCAAATTAACATCAAGCTAAGGTAGTATCAGACTTCGTTTCGTCATTGTCATAAAGCATTATTTCTAGATATCATATTCATACCGGACCTGTCCCAAATGTCATCGGCTCCGCTTGTATTACTTCTACTGCTCGCTACAGTATAAAGAAAGTAAAACAAAAAACACCCCGACTCCAAATGCACTTAATGTCACCAGATGCCTTGATGCCTGTTCTTGTTTTTTTTCGCTTTAATTGTATTTTACCAGATTCATCATATACCCCGTGACGAATACAGAAAGAACCCAACGAACCATCCCAACGAAAAAAGACGCAGTAGTGTAAAAAGGAAGGGAAACCGAAATTTTTGAAATTTTTGCTGTTAGAGGGTAACTTTTTCTTAGATTTATTTCTCCTCTGCGACAGTCTCGTCGCCAACGAGGGCGTTCCTCTTCTCCTGGACTCTCTGCTGCCTCCTCTCCCTGGCGGCCTTGGTCTTCGCACGCTTGGCATCCATCTCCTCCTTGAGGATACGTTCACGGGCCTTCTCGGCCTTAGCCTTGTGGATCTACACCAGACTGTCAGCACCAGCCACACTCGTTCATCCATCACCGCTACCACTGCCAGATATATTCGGAAAGGGGGAACTAACGTGCTCAATCAAAGCACGTCTGTGCTTGAAGGTGTTACCCTTGGAGAGGTGGTAGAGCTCGTGGTAGAGGTGCTTGTCGATCTTTCCCTGGGCACGGTACTTGACGAGGAGACGGCGGAGGACACGGAGGCGGCGCATCCAGAGGACCTGGGATGGCATACGGGCATCCTTGGTACCCTTCCTCTTACCGAAACCAGTGTGGCGACCAGCACGCTTGGCATCCGCGAGGATCCTGGTGCGGGAACGGGAGTGCATGGTGGCGGGCTTCTTGATGATAAGACCGTCACGGACGAGCTTACGGATAGTCTGGCCTGAATACATTCCCTCTCATATTAGCACGCTTTCCACGGTCCAGTTCGAGAATTTTAGGGTGGCGGCGTACGAGAGTTGGCGTTGCTGATCTCGCTGACCTCGCTGGGGTCGAGCCAGACTTTTCGCTCACCGCAGTCCATGACGGAGGCTGCGAGACGCTTCTGGGTACGTAGGTTGACCCTAGAAATTGAGATGACCCGTTAGCATTCGAAATATTCCTTTAGTGATATTTCGATATATCGATAATGGCAGTAATTTGCCACCCAAGCTTCGGAACTGGTATTTCCAGTTCAACGAGCTCGAAGCCACCCCAAAATCATCCCAATTCCTATTCTTCCGCATGCGATCCCATCGCCAATGCTCAACCGAACCTTCCGACGGTCCTCCCCGTGCATTCACGCACACATTCCGTCCGAGTGTATCCCCTCGCTCCTCCCTAACCTGGCCTGGCCTGGATCGCGCGATAAAGCATAGAGGAAGAAAATGAATTGAACTCACATCTTGACTGATTTTCCGGAAGTTGATGGACCGTTGTCGGTTGGTTGTTGTCGTCGTTCGTTGGGGTGGAAAAAACTTGGTGTATTCGATAGGGTTGACGTTTGGCGGGGGACCGAGCCGAAATCGATCGTTAGGTTGTGTGGTGCTGGGTGACTGTGGGAAGTAGGGTTGGGCCCTGAACTGTGGCGGTGCAACCAATTGTCATTGTGTTGTCCCAAGGAAATGTAGTAATGGGATTTTCTTTCACGAAGGAGAAGGCACATGTATTATTACAATAGGAGTCTTTTTCTTGACGTGTTTTCATGTTGCGGGTTGGTGCCATTTTGAGTACAAATTCTCGTGCAAACCTAGAATTTGTTGATGTACCTACACCTACCTACAAAAACGTGAACATTGCTTCATCAACCTTTAATATGACGCCGATAAGCGCTGGAAAAGACTCGAACAAGAAAATTGACTAGCTATGATATAAAACACTTAAGCGTTGCTCATAGAATCCCCTCGTGTAAAATTCGAAACTCCTCCATGACTTCTCACTCGCGGGGACTACGCAGCAACCCTCCCCCTCCTTCCTCCGGCTGGCCCCTTGGGCCCATTCTTCGGCAATGTGTATTTCGCGAATGCTCTCGCCAAGCTCTTCTTCACACTTACTTTCTGTGCACCAATAAAACTATCCACCGTGACCGCGATAGCAAGGTCGATATCTTTCATGGAGACATACTCACTCAATCTCATCTTGGCGAAAGACTCTGACAAACGGATTATGCTTTCCAAATGACGAACTGTGATCGGGAAACTTCCAGTTGCAAGTGACTCTCTGCGCATCTCAACAAAGAGACGTGCTACTTTATCTTGGTCCATTTGATGGAGCTGCGGACGACAATGTTCGCGTGCGTACATTATGTACTTCCTGAGGAGTTCTTGGGGTATAGGGGAGATGAGTCCGGATGAGTTGCCATTGTTTGAGCCTGTTGGCTGGTCCCCACCGCCAGAGTTACCGACGGGGTGAGATCGGCCGTGGGAGGCCACAACGAATGTAGCAAGACGTTCATCAATTTCAGGATCAACGGTGTCACGGACGACGCAGAGTACGTCAAAACGTGAGAGAATGGGTTCTGTAAGTTCGACATTTTGGGCGAATGGAATAGTGGAGTTGTAACGACCACCAATGGGATTGGCAGCTGCAATGATCGCGCAGCGAGCTTGAAGAGTAGTCACAATACCAGCCTTGGAAATGGAAATGGATTGCTGTTCCATTGCTTCGTGAATCGATGTTCTAAAGTTTAATATATTAGCCAATAAGGAAACCAAAAGTAGATCACGGGGGAATACCTGTCTTTATCATTCATCTTATCAAACTCATCGATCAGGCAAGTTCCTTTATCGGCCAACACCAACGCTCCTCCCTCAAGCGTCCATTCTTGAGTTATGGGATCTTTCCTTACACTTGCCGTTAAACCCACCGCACTAGCACCTTGGCCTGTAGCAAACACAGCACGATGCGCCGTCTTTTCGACATATTTTAACACTTGTGACTTCGCTGTACCGGGATCACCAAGCAGTAATACATTGATATCACCACGGATCGTATGCTTCCCTTGAACATCCTTCCCAACACCACCAAAAAGCGAACATGCAACAGCAGTTTTGATATCGCGATGCCCATAGATGCTTGGCGCCATTGAGTCAATGATTTTATTTACGACATTTTCGTCGCGTGCAAGTGTTCGGATCGCCTTTTCGTCCTCTTCAGTTAATCTGAACCCAGCGAGTTCATCGTGAGACTTGACAACGTTATTTGCCTCGAGAACAGTAGCAAAGACGGGGAAACCATTCTTTTGGTTGAGTTGAACATCATAATTATTCCTGTAGATACCTGTGACCTCCACCTCTTCACCGGGCTTGGCGGAATCAATCAGGTCCCATAGTAAGATGACTTCTCTGTGTCGAGGAAGTCTTCCTGCGGGGACAGTACCAGGTGATTCTTGTAATGTCATCTTCTGATAATTCCTATAAACAGTCTTTTCAGAGTTTAATGTGAACGGTCCGCGCGATTGACAGTTCTGGCAGTACGAAATCTTGACTTCAACATTTGAGTCCTGTGGGAAAGGCCCAAGAGTTGTACCACACTTACTGCAGTCGAACTTGACATACTTCAACTGCGGGAACACACCAGTCCTTCTGGTCACTACACCGCGGACACGGACAAGAGCGTTGAGATGAGATTGTCGTAGTTCACGGAGTGTATATGATGTTGGAACATCAGCAATGCGAACATGAATCTCGGAGTGAATACGCTGATAATCCTGATAATGAAGAAGGGTTGTTTCCATGGCAACCTGGTCAAAAATCTTCAAGGTCTCTGTCGGAGCGTTTGCAAGAAAGAGGGCGAGCGTTGCTCTGTGCTCGGCCAAATGCTGAAATGAGATTTCGAGAGACTCGGCGTTCACTTCTCCGAGCGTTCGAAAACGAGCACTGTACACAGAAGCAAGATTTCCGTCGGTATACTCGAGGAGAAAGTTTTTGAAATGGATGGCAACGCTACGATATACGTTTGGAACAGAAAGCCAATCAGCGATACTGGCAGCTTTGATGTCTCCAAGTTGCTCTAGGGATAGCGCCTCGCCCATTAAATTGTCCATATCGTCGTCATCCCTGTCTTCATCATAGACACGGGTTCCTCGTCTCGTACGTTGCTGTTGTTGGAATAAGTCTGGTTGGTCGTCTTCATCGTCGCTCATGAAAATTGCTGGTTTGCGGCGACTAATAATATCCCGACGGTCCATTTTTTGATCAAGAATACGACGAAGACCAATATCCATTTCCTCGTATTCTTCGTCGTCGATATTATCGGCTTCATACTGGTCAAGAACGAGATTCTGAGTGTAATCCCTGGGGGGGTGTCAAAATTTAAACCGGAAATATTCTGGAGTGAAACTTACTTTTCCATATTCGCCATGATATCCTCTCCATCAAGTTCCTCTTCTATATCATCCAAATCCAGAATCTACATCTATTGTTCAGCATCGATTTAAAGCTAGGGAACAAGGCAATTCGGCTTACACCGCCAGTCTCGTCGATTTCATCCTCATCGTCCATCAATGGTGGTGAAGAGCGAACCCAACCAGGTGTAGAAGCGGGAGCTAGTAGTAGGAAACAAAATTAGCTCAATTAATCTCACATAATCTTTGACTGTAAGTATATCGCTAAATGAGATACCCCTCTATGTATTTAGGAAATAAACGGCCAAAGAGAAAGCCACCAAGAATATCTATCAGGGTCACTGACGACTTGAAGGGACGCCGTTGTCCATGTCCTCATCTTCATCATCGTCCAAATGGCGCTTCCGGGGGTTTTCCGGAGGAGGAGATGACATTGGAAGACCGGGAGTTGACATTTTGAGATTTGTAGAAGAAAAGGGTATGTAGAGGCAGTAGCTAATTCAATGCAGAAGGAGCTATGAATTTACACACGTGTGTAGATAGCCGTATCCAAAGCTTGTAGATGCTGGTGGGAGACAGGGCCAGCAGACGCGTAAAGTGGAGAGGAAGCAAAGACAAAGGGAAACCCCTCGACGCGTTCACCACCAATCACAGCTCAAACAGACTACCCAAAAGAGTTTAAGAGAATTATCTTGGCGCAGATATTTCTAACCCTTACCCCACCAATCCACCACTCTTTATGGCAGAGCCTCAAAGGCATGTACCTAGCACGCGAGAGTTAAAGACCATTTAAACCTATCACCGCTCTTTCGTTCCTGTAGAATTTACTTTACCTTCGTGGTTCTCGAATGACGTTTTGAGTGATAAGGCCTTCACCTCTATATTTGATCTTCAATGCCATCTTATTTTTTCCACCTCTTCTTTGATCTTCACAGCCCTACTTCACACATAGCTCGTTCCTTGCCGGAACTCTCAGAGCTCTCAGTAACCCAGTTGTCTTCTCTACTGGCCTGGATTCCGCCCCCAGGAACGAACATCTTTGCTACCACGCTCCCCCCTCACCCCCCACCCATCGCTTCCGACAAAAAGGAAGTGTCTAAACTGATTGCACCACAGGCGGAAACCAGTCGTAATAAGGCGAAGGAAACACAATCAACCGAGATCCCACCACCTAGTACACACGAGCAGTTGGATTGGCGCTTTGGGAAGATCGCGGTGGAGTCTATAGATATGGGTTCTGAAGAGGCCCCGGTTTCAGGGGTCCAGAGCGGACCTGCACAACGGAGAAAATCTTCTGCAGCTTCTGCGCCTCTTGCCGGTGGAACTGCTGCGAAAGCTCATTTTGTTCCCTTGGAGTCTAGGAATACAGAATTTGGATATGGTGTGGTGCATCTTTACCGCGATGTTCTCGAGACGCCGGGTCTTTACACTGCAGATTTAAAGAAGAAAGGGAAGGAAGATACTGGCGAGCTTATAGAAGAAGAAGATGATGATGCTCTCACTACCGTTGCCATCCTTGCGGTCCCATCGTATATGACTCCATCTGATTTTATGGGGTTTGTTGGCGAGGAGACGAGAGATACCGTGAGCCATTTTAGAATGATAAGGACCGGAAAGGCAAATCGTTATATGGTGCTCATGAAATTCAGGCACAAAGAGGACGCAAAAGTATTTGTGACTGAATTTAATGGAAAAGTTTTTAATAGCATGGAGGTAGGAGAGGTCCTACTTGTTTAATATGTTCAAGTACTTATGCTACTGATAGCCCGAAAACTGCCATGTTGTCTTTATAAAATCAATTCAGTTTCAAAAACCTTCTTCAAACAACCAAGCTTCCTCTGTCGCCTTTCCTGAAATCTCAAACGACCCGTTTTTTCCTTCACAAGGTCCTAGACCGGCAATTCCAGCTGTTGCCGCTTCCTCGTCAGCCACGGTTGCTAGCCATATCTCTACAAAACCTGCACCGCCTCCAACACCCTCGCTTTTAGAGCTACCAACATGTCCAGTCTGCCTAGAACGCATGGATGAAACCACAGGTTTATTAACGATCTTGTGCCAGCATGTATTTCATTGTGCTTGCCTGAGTAAATGGAAAGACTGTAGCTGCCCTGTCTGCCGATATACACAAGGGCCTGGCATTCGGGAAAGAAACGATGATGAAGACGAAAATGAATGCTGTGGCACTTGTGGAGCTGTCAATAACCTATGGATCTGGTATACCTTTACCCTCTTCCATACATAGAATTTCCGTACTTACTTCTTGCCTACTAGTTTGATTTGTGGAAATCTTGGTTGTGGCCGCTATGATGATGCCCACGCCTTTGAACATTACAAGGAGACATCCCACTGCTACGCTATGGACATCGAGACCCAACGTGTATGGGACTATGTGGGCGACGGATATGTCCATCGTCTCATACAAAACAAAGCGGATGGCAAACTAGTCGAGCTTCCTTCGGCACTTTCCGTTTCCCAAAATCCAGACTCTCCTGGTAATGGGGGCGACTATGTTCCTAGAGAGAAATTGGATAATATCGGCATGGAGTACACATACCTTCTTACTAGTCAACTCGACAGTCAGCGCCTTTACTTTGAAGAAAAGGTTGCACAGGCGGCCGACAAAGCGTCTGAAGCCGCGCATGCCGCTGAAAAGGCAGTTGCAGAATCTAGAGAATTCATGAAAGAGCTAAAGGAGCTCAAGTTAAAACACAGCGAAGTGACCCAGGAGCTTCTTCCCCTGGCAGAGCGAGGAAAAGAGCGAGCCGAAAGAAAGGCCGAGAAATTTGGAGAGATGGCCAGAAGGATGGAGAAGGAATGGAAAGAAGAGAAGGGGGTGAATAGTGGGTTAATGGAGAAAATTCAATACTTGACGAAAGAGAGCGAGGAAAGAAAGAAGGAAAATGAGGACCTAAAAGAGCAGATCAGAGACTTGATGTTTTTCTTGGAGACAAGAGAGAAAATGGAGAATCAAGGGGAGGAGATCGTTGAAGGTACTGTTACCGTTGGTGATGCGCCGCCGCCCCCACGAAATAAAAAGAAAGGCAGGGGTAAAAGGTAAATTTATGTAAACTTTATATGATTCTTTTGGGTGGTTTTTTTTTTTTTTTTTTTTTTTTTTTTTTGGGGGGGGGGGGGGGTTTCATGAAGGCGGCGTTGAGGAAACCAATTGTTTTTAGCACACTGATTGCACTGAACGAGTGATATATTATGTTTGAACTCGTATCGATGCTGAGACAGGCACGAGCTAAGCGAGAATGGGCCTGAGAACAGGTGTATGTATACATGTAGTTCATACATGCGTATATAATCATGGGAATGGTAACTTGGGATTTATCCTACAAAGTCCTAATGAATGACTGAGTACGAGTAGTTGCTGTGTGACCATATCTCCTATAATTTAAAAGGCCAGGACGAAAGACATTCCCGGCATTATATATTCTACTAACGATGGGCGAGTGAGGTCCTTCTGGTTTTGGTTGACCAACAAGTGCGCATTTATTAAACTAGGTTCGCCATTGATCAAAAGAGGACTAATGGTTGAGTGTAGTCTCGTGCCCAGACTTTTGTCAACTCGTTCCTCGTTCTGCAACTACAAATCACACCACAGGCTGGGCACGAGACATGTAGGTTGGGTGTGAGGCTTCTGCGCTGGGATGACGCGACATTGACGCTAGCAAGCGCGTGCACTGACTAGGCCCTATGACTGTGTCCTTCCACTCTACGCGTCTCCCTATCGACAGCTTATGTATCGACAACTATCTCCAACAAAGAACTCGATTCCATCAATATCTCTCGTCACAAATGGGGTCTTTAACTATCCCACGACTTCGGTTCCTGAACCGCTCCGACCCATTAGCTGAGATATGGCATCAGCTTCGATCAACAAATGGCGAAAGAACATCCTATTACATCATTGGTATCCCAGATGGTTCCCTAAAACTTTCACAAGGCGATTTTGAGGGTGGGAGCCATGAAAATTCTAATCTAATAGCTGGCATTCGTGAGTACTCATTATTCTCAAAGAGTACCTCATTTCACTAATATATATTTTCAAATGACAAGATATCCAAAAACCTGGTGTTATCTTTATCGAAGCTCTTAACCCCGCACAGGATATTTGTTTGGCTCGGAGAACAAGCCCCAAACCCGCTCCCACCAAACAAACGCTCCCCTGTTCAAACGAACCAACCAAAGAGCGCATGCTAGTACTTTTGGACTCCGATGCAACGATCTATACCAAATCTGGAACTATTATCTTTGAACTTGGAACATCTCCAATCTCGGCTGATGGAGAAAGCCAAATTACTATGGAAGAAGATGAGGCGCATGTGCTAGTACAGCAAAGCTATCCCCAGGAATCACTGAGACGTAGCGAGAGCGATATGGTGCAGTCAACACCCGCCATTCCAGAAACAATCACAGAGGAGCCCAGGGTTCATGAGACTCCTAGCGTGAAGAGTAGGTTCATGAATCCGGATAGTGCGACAGTCTCGCTGCCTCGAGGGAAGCTATCAAGGGTAGATACCTTCGGAGATATCATACATGAGAAGGAGGACTCAACGCCAACGGGAAAGAAGCCTACTGCCATAATGTCTCCTTCAAGGAAAGGTATTATTCCCGATAGAGTCCAGGACATCTTTAGGAAAATTAATAATGTTGCTCCTGTAGCGGATATGAAGACCCCCGATGATTTTGCCCGTCCCGAGGAGAAAGGTGATGAGGAAAAAGAAAGTCAGAACTCTGCAGAAGCTGTAAGAAAACAATTCAGTCAGTCAGCCATGATCACTTCGTTTGGGTCTGCAATGGATGAAGTAGTCGCCTCAGTTGTAGACGAAGATGAAGATGAGGGGGTGCTCTCAGATGAATCTACTACGCCAAAGAGTCGCATCAAGGGGCATGGTGTTCCAGAAGGATTTCTGCATGAGGAACATAAGAAAGAGATAACGCCGAAGATAGTATATGGGAAGAACAAAAGGAAGGCGCCTGTGCCTAGGAATAAGAATGTTGCTGCCAAGGGAGGTAGGAAACCGAAAAACAGAGTAAAGGTTATCAACGATAGCACAGAGGAGACTACTAAAGACACCCCAGTAAAAAGAAGGAGACTTGGACGCGCCCAGAAGAATAGTAGCACTGAAAGCATGGAAGAGGAAGATTCAATAAAAGTCTTGCCCCAAATGAAAGGGGCTGACCGTACTGAGGAGGAAGATGCTATCATGGAAACTGCCGACGAGGAAGACGAGACTGCGCCACAGCCACCTAGGACTCAAAGGGGGAGAAAAACAGTACAAAGCCTACCTAGTACTGCTGCTACCGTAGAAACCGATGCAGTAGTAACAGGACGAAACACAAGAGGCAAACGAGCTGTGCCTACCAAGAATACTGGAAAGGCTACCAAAGAGCAAGAAAAGGAGCCGGGTATTAAAGAGGTTGTGCCTACGAAACCTCTTAGGGGTACTAGAGGTAGACGTCGAGCTGAAGAGGCACCAGATGCTCCTGATCCAATTTCTACTACTGCCTCAGAAGAAGAACCCCCAGAAGAAGCACCGAACCCAAAGAAAGTTATGCGGAAACGACAAAGGCCCGATGATACAGAGGGAAATGACGACCAAGACACCCAGTCTCTTCCTCGGGAAAGTTCAGCGGAGTCAATGATCCAGGTCGGCCAATTGACGAGATCAAAGCGTGTGAAGACGACGCCCGTGGAGAAAACACCAGCAGCCAAGAGAGGCAAGAAAGATGCGACACCCACACCACCAAGCAGTGGGAAGTTTCTAGGTGATACTCAGTATACAGTTCAGGATACGCAATCTCAGGCGCCGGAACTCAAGACGAAGGCAGCGGCGAAGAAGCGAGCTGCTCCACCAACAAAAAAAATCCCCGCCAGAAGACAGAAACCAAGTTCACAATCGCAGCTGTCGGAAAATGATAGTATTGAAAACGAAGATGCCAAGGTGTCGAGTGTAGTTACTAGAACAAGGAACAGATATGAAGGCGACTCCCCGAAAATCGTGTTCAGCAACAGTGGCCTTGATGGAACAAAGGTTCGTTTATATACATGCCGCAAATTTGTCATGTGTTGCTAATAAAACCCAGGACATTGAGAAGTTCCTTCGAACGAATGGCGGGAAGAAGATGCCAAATGTCAGCGCTGCTGGGGTCAATTTCCTCGTCGTAGGGCCCGGAGAACTAAAAAGAACACCGAAATTAACTGTCGGGGTGGCGCTGGGTAAATTTGTCGTAGAGGATCAATGGCTGATTGATAGCAAAGAAATTGGCTACTTTTTAGGTACTATCACCCCACGCTACTTATCAGTCCAACCTCTCTAATATTTCTTAGATCCCGAACCATACGTCCCTTGCGATCCCCTTCATGAGCAGGCCTGGTCTTTCTCACTTGCTGCCGCCATTGACCGCGGCCGCAATGGCCTCAACTGCGTTCTTAAAGATTATAATGTTTACATCACCTCATCACTCATCTCACAACTAAAGGCTTCAAAACAAGAAGACTCTCTTGTCGAAATGCTCAAAGCAGCCAGCGCAGGAACAATTGCCAAGAAAAGCCCCAAGGGGAAAAGAGAAGACGACGAACACGCCGATCAAACGCTCATCCTGGGCAGTGAAAAGGGAGATGGTGATATAGCGCTTCTTAACAAGGCTGGATGGGATGTCTACGGAACCGGAATCATAGCGATTAGCGTTCTCAGAGGCAAGCTGGATCTGGGGCACGAGTTTAAGATTGCCGCGCCGGAAGTGGAGGCAACACAGAAGGTGGGGAGAGGAAGGAAGGGGAAGTGATTGATTATTTTACTTACCTTTTTTTTTGTTATTCGGAAAGGAATCTTTATGGGAACTTTTGGGGCGCTGTAATTTAGATACCATTGGTGTTTTGTGAAACGAAATAGATGGCTTTTTGTCCCCCCCCCTTCCTATTTGTTTATAATTATCTATCTTCCCCTTCATAGTTATGGTTCTGTAACAAGGGAGTCATGATTGATGTTAGTTTTTCGAAATTCTTAATGATCGATGACTGTTCCGATAAAGAGCTTTTGATGTCCACAAACCAAAGTATGAGGCATCAGCGGCCCCCCCCCCCACCTAAATGGTATTCCCCAATGCGCATCCTACTCCAGGTACAGCTGTTTAATAGCGGCCTTGTATCAAAGAAAAAAAACCCTATTTAATCCTGAGAAATTAGTGTACACCGATCCAATCGACCAACAGCGAATTCGAAATCTGTACAGCCGTTCTGACGATTATTGCCAATCATGAAATATCACTCGGAGGTATGATTTCAGGTGCAAGTTCAGGTTCCATCATGATTCTTTTTAGTATGTAGTTCTCACTTTCAACCGGGGGTGTTTGGAAGAATCATTTTACGTTAGAGCTAATATGGGTATGCAGTGTCAGATGGCGTTGCGGGTCGTGGGTTGTGGAGAGAGTGTTGGTCGAAGCTGTAGTACTAGTGGTGTTGAAGACGGGTGTGGCCTTGGTGCTAGGCGTCGGTCTGCCACTTTGTACTGCACAATTCTATGGTGAGTAGCGGGCTAGTGGATGGGTAGATACGAGGCTAGCTGCCAAAAATATAACGTCAATATAAAGACCTATCAAACGCTTGCACATATCAATTGCACAACCTAAAGTTTCAATACAAGTTTAGCACTAATATATTGGTATCCACATCATTAAAAAAAAAACCCATCCCCAACCTCACACCCTAAAAAACACCATCTCCACATGCATGACCACCCCCACCCACTTCCCCGCCCTCACCCCCAGCGCCCCCGCCTGCTCCTCATCCCTCACCCCCCTCTCCCCCACCTCCCCCCGCAACATCAGCCCCGCCCTCTCCGCGCTCGCCACCACCTCCCCAACCTGATGGTTAAAGCTCACGCCCTGCACCTTCACGCCCCTCTCATCCACAAACCCCGCCCGCGACACCGCGCCCATCTGCGGGTGCATACTCGTGACATACAGCCAGCCCCCCTTCCTTAGCACCCCCGCCACCGCGCCGAAGAACACATCGAGGCCCACATGCTCCAGCACCAGCGTTGACACCACGGCGTCCACCGGCCCGGTGACTGGCAGGGGGCCGCCGCGGTTGAGGTCGTGGAGCACCCATGTGATGTGTGGTGAGGGGAGGCGTGATCTGGCGATGGCCATCATGGCGGGGCTGGCGTCGAGCGCGGTGATGCGGGTTGTGGGGAGGGCGGCGTGGAGCTTGCTCGTGTTGCGGCCGGTGCCGCAGCCGAGGTCGAGGATGTGCGTGGGGGGGTGGGAGGAGAGGAGTGGGGGGATGGTGGCGGCGAAGGCGTGGTCGTCGTGCAGTTGGAGGATGTTGCCGTCGTGGTCGTAGGTCTGGGGGAGTGTTAGTTGGGAATGGTTATAGGGGGGGAGGGGGGGGGGGGTAGGTACGGGTGCCCATTTGTCGTAGGCTTCGGTCGTGGGGAGCTGGATTGTTGGGCGGGTGGAGGCCATTCTGGCGGTGCGGGATTGATTGATATTGCGGTCGATTGTGGGGTAGATGTTGGGGTGTGTCGGGGGGGGTTTTTGTGTCGGTGTCGTGGGGGATGAGTCATGTTGAAGGTGAGTCAATGATTGGCATTACGTGAAGTATGCTGAGATTCGCTGAATACCTCGGTATGTTATTCAAGTAGTGCATAGGCTCATGACATTTGAGATGTAATTGGCGGGTTCCCTATGGCGATAATGGTCTGTTTAGCTTTCATCCGATGCGACTTGGCTTTTGGAGAATACCATAAAGCCTAGGTGAGCTCAACGATATATGCTGTGATGATGATAAACCAACAAGAGTCAAAGGTCCATGCACATGACCAAGACCCTCTCAGAAGACGTCCAAACTCCAGTCATGCGGCCATGGTGCCGTGAAATCTCCCACCTTTGTGCTGTTCGCCACTCAGATCATGCTTCTCCCACCCGCAGCTATCATTGGCTCCCACCCGCAGCTATCATTGGCTCCCACCCTCCGTGAAACCCACAGCTCTCTCTGCCCCCGCAAAGTATATGACCGATCCCGAGATCTCCCGTCCCACATTCTCACCATCAAACTTCCCGTGCCCGGGCGTTTTAGAGTTCTGTCCTCCGCCCGCCAGGACATCGAATCACCAGATGTCACTCGGCCCGCATATGTGAGCGCCGGCATCGCTTTCCTGGCATTCCTCTGGCCACAAATATCGTAGCTGGCGGGGGGGAATCGTGTAAAGTTCTCTCCGTGGGCTTGGCCTGCATATGTCGCCCCTTTGACGAGCGAGACCTGCCTGCCTGGAGCTGTTAATCTATCTATCTATCCATCGTTCAAGTTCCACCATCACCATTAACCCATCAGCACATACATACATACCCACCAAGCAACATAGCAACAAAACCAACACCACGGAGACAAGAATTATGGAGAAACTCCTCTTCCGCGCCGCCCGCCGCGGCAAAAGGCACCACCACACGCTGCTCACCCTCCTCCTCAAATCCGGCACCAACCCCAACGCCACCGACGCCCACGGCCACACCGCACTCCACAAAGCGTGCCAGTCCGGGCACCACTCCATCGTCACCCTACTCCTCTCGCACGGCGCCAGCGCCACCGCAGCCACTCACAAGACGCTGCAGACCCCGCTGCACCTCGCCGTTGCCGGGCGATTGGAGCCGACGCTGCTGGGCGGTGTCGAGCTGGGGGAGCTGGGGGGCGAGGTGGACAGAGTTGTGGGGGCGCTGCTGGACGCGGGCGCGGATGTGGATGCGCGGGATTTCAGAGGCAGGACCGTGCTGCATGAGGCGGTGTGGGGGGGGGATGTGGCGATGGTAAGGGTGCTGGTGGGGAGGGGGGCGAGGGGGGATTTGAGGGATAGGGAGGGGAATACGGCGGTGTCGATGGCGAGGTGTGGGGGGAGTAGGGGGGTGAGGGAGTTGTTGGTGGGGGGGGAGGGGGAGAAGGGGCCGTGACTTTGGTGTGTGTTTTTTTTTAATGGTGTTGTAGTGGTAATGGGATTGAGGTTATTCTGTGGGGACTAACTATGGGAATTGGTGCCGTGGACTATATGTCCGGCGGTATGCATGCCTTTAAGGGCCTTTTAGCAGCGTTAGATACAATGCTTTCTTAATGAATCGGTGATTTCATTAATTTTTCATTCCTCAGACCGAATGTTTATCGAGATGCGTAACCAAAGTATTGTCTTGAAGACAAAGTCCCGGGCCAGAACCCCACCAAGAATACTTAGTAGCCATGCAGAATATAACCAAAACAACTACCACTACCGACACGCACCATGAACTTCTGTTTATATGAGTTCTATTCCTCGTCTGTAATCAAGAACACAGTGCGGTTCTGCGGAACCTGATCAATCACACGATCATGAGATATCACTCGGACTATCGCTACCCGGATACCGCTACAGTCGACTCGCCCTATAAGAGTACACAAGTGGCATGAAGTGGTAGCGTTGTAGGGAATATACTCTGGTAGAAGGGGCAATTTGTACTATCTAGTATGAAGGCTGGTATAGCCCAAGAAAGTCTATAGGGTGCACCACATGAGCTAGGCTAAGCTGGGCTGCTGCTCATAGGGCGGAGTGAATAGAAGGAGGAGGAGATTTTAAAGAGGACAGAGGCTCGATATAGTGAGTGATAGATGGGGCGGGAGCAATTCAATGGGTGTATGGAGTGTTGACCGGAGACCCTGGCTTTATAACCCCAATATTCTGCACAGTTATTTTTCACACTTGCTCTACATTTCTACACACAGTCAAAAAAACACACTGCACACTCTCACAAAAACCACACTAACCACACCACCAACACAAATGTCCAACTACGCCACCGAAGTCGAGGCAATCCTTGCCGCCGCCCGCGCCCGCGGCGGCTATGAGTATGAAGCGGACCAGGAAGGAGACGTCTACGATAACGACGTCGACCAGACCTACGATGCCCATGGGCCTTCAATGGCAGGATATGCATCAGAAGACGGTGAGGACGAGGAGGAGCAAGACGGGGAGGACCAGGATGGCGAGTATGGGAGCCGTTATGCGCATAATGAGGTGCTTGCGCGCGCGCTGGGTGTGCCTGGGTTTGGTGAAGGTATGATAGGCATTCCACTACCAGCTTGTATACTTCTGTGAATGACTTTGAGTTAACTAATCTCCCTGCGCAGAGGATACGGTCCCTATACCTGCGCAGGGCCTCTTCTTCACCCAGTCAGACATTCCCCCACTCGCAGCCAGCACGTCTATACCTGCACAAGGCCTCTTCTTCACCCAGGCTAGCGATTCCTCCCCCTCCTCCCCCTCCCCCCACGACTCCCCACCCCACACCATGAACATGTCACAGTCCGAGGACGACGACGAGGAGTACGACCGCCCCCCCACCCCTGACCTTTCGGAATATGATTCCGAGGACGAAGAGAATGCGAAGCCTAGGTGGGAGAGGTGAGTGTAGGGTTGTGGCTGGTTTGGATGGTGATTCTTTTTTTTTTTTTTTTTTGGGGGGGGGGGGGTTGGATGGTTAGATGTGATCTCTGGAAATCAGGTTATAGTTCGTAGAACTTAAGCTCAAGGGCGCAATTTATAAAAATGAAGTTGCAATTTTGTAGAACTAAAGTTCAGTTTCTCTGTTCTCAAGGCTGCAAAGTATTCCCTCGTACCCTTAGTTATAGGGCGGGCCGACTGTACTAAAAAAAAGGAGAGCTAATGCTCTTGATGATATAAATTTGCCATTATAAGCATGTCGTTTCCTCTTCTCTTTGGCGTCGGTGAGATTGTGTAAAGGCCTGCCGTGGCTCGTCCTCACTACGGCTAAGGGCTGGAGGTCATCTTTGCTGATTGTGTATCATGTCGCCGGGTACTACCTATCGCGATCGGCTATGAGTGAACACCGAGCGCTACTTAGCCGGTTATTAAAGCCTATAACTTAGCGTACATCCATACCTAAACATCAAGTTCCCTAGGTATTCAGCGGTGTCGGCTAGAATTGGTTCACCGTATATCACTCGTCCATAACCACCTGTCCCGGGCGAACAACGGATTGTTTCTCGACTTGGTACGGGAAAGACCATGCGTCTTGATGATGGATTTAGACACACATATGGGCACCTCATCAGCCCATGGGTCATATATTGGGACCTATACAGATATGGTAGCCACCACGTAGAAGTGTTCGTCGTTGCCTGACAGCCGGATTTACTGCTGTAGTTTGAGGCCCGGCATGGATACTATGACCTTTGCAGAGCAAAAGTTGTCAGCTTCGGAACACACTCAAAAGCTGCAGATCAGAGGAAATAGTTTGGTATATACTTTACTAACCTCTCATGTATCCTCACCTTAGGGAAATCCTCTGGCATTAGCAAGCTCCTGCGGTGGTGACTTCCACGGCGATAGATGACTTTCAACGATTTAAAATCACGGCCATCAAGTCTTGAGACATGACCAGACGTTCAATCAAGCGCTGACGTGCTGCTAGTGGCAGTATCCCTGCTACGGATCCCCCACAATCCGCAGTGAGGGGCCCTAAACTAGTCCCCATGCACGTTGTCGACAACCTGGGCACCACAATGCCTCTAGAAGCTTTGGGGAAATAACATACCATCTACCGCGGTAGCTCAGTGGCTATCGTGTCGCCCAGAGGGGCCGAGGCCGTTCGTCCGAACCACCTCCCAGGCTTGGTTGAAAAACTGTGTGACTGGGTAAAAAGGAGTAAGATCTAGCATCCTCCTTTTGCTGCTCTGAGGCTTGGAGATGTTTCTTTTTTTTTTTTTTATGCGCTCCATCTATTGATTGCGTTACCTGTGTGCGTATTGCGCGTTCGGAGGTCATCGTGGAGGAGAGAAGGCGCGGCGCATCATACTCGATCACTCGCTATGTACTTCGTAACCATACCCCTAGTCTCGCGCCCAGACTGTGCTGTAACCGGAGAGGCTACCACTGACGTATCCTATTCAACTGGTCGAAGTATAGTACCGTCTCTGAAATTAAAGCAAATCGGCGTATCGTGCAAGCGGCCACGGATCTAGTACGACCACAGATAAGCACCGGCATGCCATCACTACCATCCCCTGCCAGGGTTTTCTTGGGGTATGTATGCATATGTACTCCTGCCTTTGCGCCTACATGTATTTACGGAGAGCCATGAGCGGCCGTAGCTGGGTCGAGAGACCGAGTGATTATTCATGATTCAACCGAAATCCCTTTAATTTCCAGATCTCGAATCCACTGAATTTTGCGCATGGGTACCCTTTGAAACCTCCACAGATATCTATTAATTCTGCTACTGTATTTTCTTCATGGGGAGGAAGGATGGGTATATCAAGGTGGGGCTTAAGGAGGTAGGTGTCAGCCTGCTTGGAGTTCTAGAGATTAAGGATGTTGTCATCTCGATCAGGTATTTCGAAGTTAACTCCTGTTTCCACAACAATTCTACCAATAGCTGTACAGTCTCATCCATATCCTCCCTATGCCCCCCCCCCCCCCAAACCTAATCTCATAGCTGATTCGGGCTAACCGATTATCTTCACAATCGGTCCCCGACCACTTCCACAAGCACTTATCTATTCTTCGATTCCCGCCGACTCCCCCGATTCCCCACAACTCTCTCTCTACCCGCATCCTCGAGCTAGCTCCCATACAAAGCCCCTAGCCCTACCCTCCCACACCCCTGCCCACAGCAGCCACCCCAGGCAACCGTCTTGGCAGCGGGTAGAAGCTCGCTAGTTCACCCGGACCCCAGTCTAGTTACCCCACAGAATCCAAGCGACCCGGGTGTATACCGGAGGGAATTAAGGGCGATCAGCTTGATCGTGATATGCACCGCCGGCAGCTGAGAAGCGTCGTCGTCGGCAGCTAGGGGGATATAATACTCTGGGTAGCTGCTGTTGTTGGGATAGCTATCACGAACGAATTTCTGGAGAGTAGACTATCTGGCGCCGGCTGATTGATTGAATTATTACCTCGAGCGGATATAAACCACCAACCTCCAAACTCCCTCGCTCCCTACCTGTCTACAAGTATCTACTAGCGCCAGCCGGCCATCTTCACCTCCTACACACATTCTCGAACTCAAGCTCAAGCTCCCCACGCAGCAACAATGCCCACCTCCCAGGAAGCACCAGCCAGCAACTACTACATAAAGGCCCGGACGATCCGCTGCTTCCACGACGAGCGGGGGCCACTAAATCTGGAGGTTGGCTCAGCGCTCGGAACAACCGACGAAGCGTCGTGGATCAGGTGCACCAGGGAGCAGGTCAACGACCAGCGGGGCGGGGAAGAGGTGGCGGTGAGGAGGTTGAAGGCTGTGTTGGCGCAGATTAGGGGTGCGTGAGAGAGTGGGTGGATTGGCTGGTTGGCTGGTTGGCTGGTTGGCTGGTGGAACGGTGGAATGGTAGATGGATGAATGGAGGTTAAAGGGCGCGAGTTTGCAATTTAGAGTAGTGGGGTGTGTTATGTTTTTTATTGTCGCAATTGGCTTTGGGTTTTATGTGCATGTAGTTCCTTGGAGAAATAGAAGTTTCGATGTGTAGAACTTTTAGATGTGTTCCACACCGCCTTCACATACGATAATTCACATACTCTGCATACCAGCGTAGTTAAACAAATCATCCAAACCCAATGCACCATTAACCCCATTGCGTACCAAACCGCTGCAGCAGAGTTCCACTAATTATAATTGCTATCTATGCCCAGATCTGAAAAGTACTATTGAACCCCGCCGGAGGGTCCTGATGTCTGCTTCAAAAACATACTAATACATACAAACCAACCGTGAGCTTATTTTTTTGAAGAGTCAGAGGTCCCATGGAACTCAAGCGTAAGGTTAAGATAGAATAGCCTTTGCTGTCATCATGTCCATCAATTGACCGGTTCTACGATACAGACCAAACAGAGAATGGACGGGCGCGCCAGGCTGGAGGTTGAGAACGATGATACCACCAGTACCTCATCCTATTCTAGCCCTAGACTAGCATATAAAGCGCGATGTATTACTCCACTGCTAGACGCTGCTCATTAAATTTATAAACCCCAACGAGACCAGACCGAGCCACCAGGCGGGACCGAGTGATGTGGAGTGTTGGCGAGTGACCGAGCATGATGCACTCCATCCCTCCTCCACGATGGCCCCCAAACATACCTACACGCAGACAAAGAATATATACAGTAAATGCGAAACAGCAGGGCAAAAAAAGAAGAAAAATCCCCGATCCCCAGAGCAGCAAAAGGAGGAGACTTGCTACTACTCCCTTTTACCCAGTCACACAGTCTTTCAACCAAGCCTGGGAGGTGTGGTCTCTGGGTGCTATCCGAGGGACCAGATCTAGAGAGGGTTAACCGACCATCGAGCTCGATTTTCCTTTCTTTCTTGCTTCGTTATTGTTTGTCTTGTATGAGTAGATGAGTTCCATCTCCTTTGATGGCCTTTCTTATCTCTCTTGTTTTGCTTCTCCCCTCTCATTCACCCTACCTGCTTCACTTTGGCATCTTTTCGGTTTTTGGTATCGTTGCTTGAAGCTGGCTTTATCAAACAGAGTATACGCCTACCGGAAGAACTACTGGTCCTCCTATTCATCGTCATATCTTCCCTGGATGGAGCCCTCCCCCAACAGCACACACACCGTCCTCCCCCCCCTCCACCCATGTGGCCGGATACTTTAAGACTCGAAGCATTCTGAGAAATATGCATGCTACAAGCCTACCTGCCTCACTTCAAGACCCATGGTATGATAACTATGGCACTATTGAGCGTTGGTGTCTCTAGGCCGTTCAAATCTAGAACATCTCACCGCAGGCCAATCAAGCCACAAAATTATGCTACGCTTCGATAACTTCGCTCTTGGGGCTGAAAATGAGGTTCCAGAATTCACTCTTATCGAAATGACCCAGCCATCCCGAAGGGTGGGGAGGGTGGGCCTCGACTAACGCATCATGAGGGGAAACAAGCACACCTCAGGGTAAGACACAGCACCTGAGGCCTCGAACAGGTCCTATCATCAGATTCTGTTGGTTTTTCATACTCTAGTACGCACCTGGACATAACCGTAGGACCACAGTCCCGCCCCAGCTCCCTCCACCAACTCCACATGCAGCCGAGTGATACCCCATGACTGAGTATCCAGGACCCATGTACCCCCCAGCCTCCCAGCACAGCAGGGCGGTCAACAGCAGTTAGATCCTCGCTTCTACAACATAATTCTGAGCACAGCGGCGTCGTCTCTGCCGTCTATCATTTCCTAAGGCTACTCCACTAGATACATAGCGTAGATGCGCGCACCCTACGCACGACACAGTAATACCTAGCTGGCATCTACCGAGAGTGCAAGGCTATAAAATACGAGCCAGCCAGCCGAGAACGTCGCTTGGGCCCCGAAGATCTCGGAGAGAAGGATATTCGACACGCTTCCTGTGTTGATCTGTGTTGATCTAACGGTTCTCAAACTACACCACTTTTCCCCTTCATTTTTTTTTTTCCCGGGCAGAATAATATTATGGAAAGGCATACATAGCAAAGTGTGCAGCGTAGATCATTTTGCAAAAAAGTTTTTTTCAGACGATTTCTTCCGTTTAATTTATCCCCGGCTCTCCCCTCCCCACCCCCTCAACTTCCCCGCTTCCGGATTATTAAAAAAATTCGAAGAAACCGTACTCTACAAGGCGAGAAAAAGGAAAAAGACAAGATCAAACTGAAGTTCGAATTACTGAGGTTGAGTTGAATGGAATAGGATATCTTTTGATAACTAGCGAGAAAAGGAAAGCAATGCACGAAAAAAGCCTATGAACAGATCATGGTAAAGGAAAAAACGCATTGCCCAAACATCAAACAAAAACCCAAAAGCCCAAGTCCCGTAATAATAAAATAAAATAAGTACCCATGAAATGTCCGACAAAACCCATGAAATATAAAAAAGTGAAAAAAATACAGCCATATCTACGACGTTTTAGAAAAAGTAGATATGAAAATTAGAAGGGGAAAAAAGAAAATTAAACAACTGATACCGGTTCAGGTACAGAAAATCTAACTTTCGACTGGTGCTTCACTCCCTCAGCGTGTGGACCGCTGACATACCCATCATCACTTCCCTCCTCCAAGCCAGCTAGCTTCTTTTGTAATCCAGTACAGAAATCAATGACTCTCTTGCAGTCACTTGTCTCAACCCACGCTCGTCGTGATCCCCTCTTCTTCCTGTCACCAATCCAAACCCTCAATACTGCCGCAACTCCTTCAACATTCTCGCCAGCTTCCTTAACCCAGTTCTCATCACTGGATACAAATGCGTTCAACGTCTTCCAGATGGCAACAAATCCAAGAAGGCCAAGGTCTGAAGAGACATGATCAGATGAAGAGTTGCAGGATTTTCGCCAGTCAAAGTCAGCAAAGAGACGGGTGGCTCCCTCGCGACGACCGTTGGCCAGCAAGTTGAGTACCATCGCACAACGGATAGCAATCTTAACATCTGTGGTGGTTGTGACGGCAGGTGGGGTAACAGAGATCTTGGGCATAGACTTGCATGAATCACGAACTTTCAGGTCTTCCTCAAAAGACTTGAGCGCCAAGCGGAGATCCTTTCCTTCCTTATCAGAGTCGAGAATTGCCTTCGCAACAAGTGTTCGGAGTTGAGCCTTGCTGTTGGGTGGTGCAATATTGAGAGCGACCTGGAGATCGGGGCTGAGATGCCTTTGGTGTTTTACGGACTTCAAGGATGTAGCGAGCACAGATTGGATGATGAGGCTTGAATACCATGCTGCCAAGGCGTCGAGTGGAGAACGGATTGATCCGTCTTCAACAACGGTATCCATACCTTCATCGTGAGCTTCGCAGTTGTGGCCGGTGCTCTGGTCATATGCAAGGTTGTAAGCCTTCTGGATAATCTTGTTGTCCAAAACATCACTTGGTTCAAGTTCCAAAAGGTGGGCAAGATGTTCCGGGAGGTTCTCAGAAGGATCGGCAGATTGAACTTTCCTCGCTTCGTTCCAGTAGTATGTGGCCAGCTTGTTTGCGAGTGATTCGAAGTTACTTCCGAGGTCCCAGAAGAGAACCTTAATGTGGAGAGCGTTCAACATCAATCGGCTGCGAGTCGCGGGTAGGGTCATTGAGGCCAACAAGGTAAGGAGAAGTCGTGAATGGGTAATCGTAGCATCACCACCAGCAAGCTGTGCATCAAGAGCAATAGTCCAGGCCTTGACACGAGCAACTTCATGCTCCTCAGTCATACCAGTGAGCATTGAGTAGCCGTGCCATCCGACAAATTTCCTGAGGCTAAGCTTGAAAGCCTTCAAACCCAACGCGGCAAGTTCCATAACGAGAGAGTTGCGAGGGACCCAGACTGACTGAACGGCAGTGAGCCATGCAGTTCGACGGATTTCGATAGATGATGCAAGGGATGGGACAGGTGAAAGCTTAGTCTGGGGAGTGACCCTCTCTTTCTCTGAAGGTGGCCTCGAGTCAAAGAAACCTGGGACGAAGACATAGACAATAGCTGAAAATAAAAGGATCATCTTGAATAACAACCAAAACAACTGGTTGCCACCCAATGTCGAGCTTGACATGCCAAACATCTCCAGACCTCCGACTGGGATTGCAAATAATTGTCGTTGACCACTTTCATCTTCTTGTAGCCCGTTTGCAACCATCAACCCAGCCAAACTACCAACCATGAGCCTACTCATCAGCCCACCACCTGGTCCGCCACCTACCCCACGTTGGCCATTTTGCATGTTGTTCATAGGACCCATATTTGCCAACTTCTCAAAGGCGGCTAGGCGATTCTTGAGTTGATCGTTTTCGTCCTGTAACCGCTTGGTCCTTTTCTCGAGGTGCCTAATATATTCAGTTGCCTTTGCCAATACAGTAGCCTTGTTGAGCTTATGTGCAGGCGTCAACCCTTCCAAGTCTTCATCATCCTCTCCGTCCTCGCCAAGCTTCGATGTTCCAGCCATGACGCGCAGTGAAGGGACAGAGTCTCTAAGAGCAGCGATCTTATCGTTAAGGTTCGTACGATATCGCTTCTCAATCATGTTATGAGCTGTCTTCTTCGGTTGTTGCTTGCGACCACTTGTGGTGGTCGGTGCACTTTCCTCGGTGTTCTCATCAGTACTTGTCTTTCTCTTCTTTGGTCGTGGAATAGAGTTGTCATCACTATGTGAGTCGTGAGCACGAGACTCGGGGCTGCTGGTGGTACGGTGTGAGTGGTGTGAGGAAGCAGGCGACAAGCTGTGTGACTGTTCCTGTGAGAGAGACATGCGCTGTTGTCGTGGGGGTTGTTGAGTTTGTTGTGGTGGTGGTGACTGCCACCCTATTGCGAAATCATCACGCTGCTGTCCCTGATTCCGCCAGCCCAGCGGTGTATAAGCTTCAGAGCTCCCATTCCCTTGGGGCTGTCCACCAACACCGCCATATGTATTGAAGTCGAACAAGGAATCGCTATCCTTGCCGAAAGAGTATGTTCCCTCCAGCGCGGTCTGAGTTGTAGGGTCGATGAGCGAATTGCTCGGTGAGATAGTAGCTTGCTGATTGTTTGAAAAGGTGTAACGTCCTGGAGAGTTGTCGTCCTCAATCTTGATATAATCGCTTAATGGGCTTGCTTGCTGTTGCTGTTGGTTCTGTTGCTGCGATGAATCTGCTGGGGGCATGAGGGCGTCCCAAGACTGAGCGGCTAAAATACCAGAATCGTCAATGGGGGAGAAGAAGGTTTGGTCGTTTGGGTTCCACGCAGCGGTGACGTCGTAATCAAAACGAAGAGACTCCGGTGAGTGAGAGGTAGCCGAGCCAGACGATAGACCTGGGGGAGAGGAAGATGAATTCCTGTTATCCAAGAAAGATGTGTCTAGTATGCTGGCAGGGGATGCAGAAGCAGAGAGGGTGTGGTGCGAGGAATTAGAGCTGTTAATGTTGTTCGAATTTGAATTATCAGAGCTGGTGTTCAGATCAGCGTCGAACCTCGCCAGAAACTGGGCGCAAGTATCGTAGTCTAGTTCCATCCCTTCGGAGGATGTCGTGGTGTCTTTTGAGCAGCAGGAAGAGGGTGGAAAGTGAGGAGACGAGGAGGAGATGGTATATTTCGTGTTGGCGATGCAGGGCACAGATGGGGGGGTGGTGGGAGGGGTGGTGAGGTAGAGGTGGACTGATGTTGGTGATAGTAGTTTTATTGGAATATAGGTGGCGCTAACCCGAGGGATGACTGGTACTGGGCTTGCAGGAAATGGTAGGAACGGTCAAAACGGTAGGAAGTTTTAGAAAGGGGATCTGGTGGGGGGGGGGAGTAAGAGCGAATTGACAACGGGATGGGGAAAAAAAGATGGGCCGACGAGTGGGCTGATGATTGCCTGATGTTTGAAGGCGCATGAGGTGCCACTACCCAATACAGTAATAGCATGCAATAAATCCTCCAGGAATGGAAGATTGCGGGAAGAAGGTGCTCCGATTAAAAATGCAGCCAAGCCCTGTCAATTCCGAACATGGAAGGGTAAGCTCAACTGTTAATTGGATAAACTGACTGACGACAATATCTAACAGCCTTGTAAACCATCCCACCTGTCGTTGAATAGCTGGTTCCAACGATTCAATATCTCATGTTATTAAATAATAATCTTTCCACTTTTAATTCTCCCCAGCTCAAGATCTACAGAGGCTCTCATCATCCGGAAAGAAAGAGATGTTCCCGTCTATATACAGAAGCTCAGTGCACCTCTTCTCTACATATCTACGCACTCGTCTGCCCTCGATTGCGACAAGAAATGGATCTTGTTAGACAGTCAGAACTTGCGTCCCTGGACTGACCCTCGTACGTGTTTGTGATCTCCAAGGATGGACCGGGTTAATCATGTATGTCTCGCGGGGGTTACCTTGATCTCGTTAGCCATGCTCTCGGTGGCTCGTAGTGCAGAGGAAGATACTTAACTACTTGCCTATATCTATTGCAATACGTAACAGTCATAGTTTTATTTTAACACCCTCCATCTCCAACTTGAGCTTGGTCCATTCAAATACTCTTACCCGCTGGTCATATTGCCAAAGTTCTAAAAGCTGCGTGTACCTCTTTTTCTCTGTGACGCTTGGCAAGGTGGTGTATCACCACCCTGGCACCTACGATACCTGAGATTCCCGTGACGAAGAATGTATTTTTGTGAATTTAAAAATAAAAATGATTTCTTTTCGATGCTCGACTTATCTAATGCCATACTAACAACAACTAACCATCCCTAAGATCTCCTTTTACAAACATTCTTATACCTTAAGGACCAGCGGCCTACCTACGAAGATTTCCTGCCTCCATGCAAATCAGAAGGACCTACTGTCACTACATGTATCCTCCTAACACTAATTTCTTTTATAATACGTGAGATCACAACTAGTGGCTTACATGCAGATAAATCATGTATGTACTACATAGGTCTCTGAAACCGGAATCCCACTGAGACTGAACATCCAATCGACCCAATAACGATACATCGTCCTGGGCTTGAAATTACCACAAATGCACTTGGCGTCAATTTACAACCAATCTGGACATGTCACCGAGTCAACAAATTCGATATATCAGATTATAATATATCCTAAGATACGACTGCTCACGAAAAATCAACAACTACTCGTAATTTCATAGTGTTTCCGAACACGACCAATATTGCACGACATACAAAAAGGTGGATTTGGCGCTTTTTTGTATGGTATGCAATAGCAGTCGTGTTCAGAAACGTCATGAATTTACGAGTACACTCATGTTCATGTACTTATCCCGGGCTCAAGTTCAGCTAACCACCTCAAGATTTTCAGCTTCCGCCATAAGCTCTCGTTTAACCCCAACAACCCCGTATCAGATCGTCCCAGAAACCACGTGGTATTCGATCAATGTCTTTCCACCTTTTCTCGTATGATGTCGAGTCACAGCTAGCTCACGACCATGGCCAGGAAAGAAAAATAACGGTGACCGGGCCCGGTTTCAGGGATCGACATACGATTCCACCTACTTGTCATATCATATTACCAGCTCTGTAGCCGGCCCGTGTGTTACCAATTAGAGGAGAGGCATAAGGAGGAGCTAAATAAAGAGGGGGCTCTGTCTTTAAGGTACCAAATATATGGGCACAGCAATCGGGCGAGATTCCGTCACATGGGAGCCCCTGGGTCTTGGGATTATGATCGTGGGGGAGAACAAAAAGTAGTCTTCTTGCTCTGTTACTGATCACATACGATGGAAGAGTGGACTGTTCATACATCGCTTATCAACTACTAGATTGAAAAGACTTCGATCATGAATAATCACTCGGCTTGTCAACATCCGCTCACCAGCAGTCCCGACTCAAAGCACGCACCAAGATGGCACCTCTGATACAGTTTCTCGTTATTTCACGTATTATTACATGAGGGAGATTTTAAAGCAAGCGTCTAGCAGCATGTTTACCTATTTTCACGATCCGTTATGCTGATGGAAAAGACCCTACCTTACGAGATACATTTCGTCTAATTGATCCTCTATTTACTACTAATAGAAAGGAAGAAGAGAGATTCTAGTTTATTCATATGTTGCTCGTCAATACACTCACCCAACGCGATTTAGGACCTAACGAATCAGTCAAGAACATACACTGCAAAACAAACCCATAGAAGAAAGCATATCAGCACCAACGTCAAAGATCACTATCCAAGCTTTCGAGCTAAGCGAACGCGCATCTTGAATTGCTGGTCTAACTTCATCAGCATCTACCAAATATTTCGATTCAAGGGTCCTATCGTTCGGATAGCGAACTGCATGTTATGTGCGACATGCAACTCAATTCTAGCCAATAAAGATAATTTTTCTCTGTAATTTTAGAAGCTTGAATTATACTCAATTGAGGATTAGGAGCGAAAATATTTTGCCCTCGCGAACTATTGAACTGTGGGTAACCAAATTGGAGTAACACATCAGTAAAATCAAATTGACCAAGAGCTGAAACTTCTATGAGAATCGTAAACTTAATGTTCTAAATCATCTTTTGCATAATATCCCTTGAACTAAAATTTAAATGAGTGAACAAACTATTGACAGTCCATTGTATCGAAAATATAATCTGCGTTTCATTGATTCCCGGAGCCCATAGCAATGGTAGCGGTCTTTATTAGGGTTTATGCTGTTTCTTTCTTTCTTTTTTTGCACATCTAAGCTGACACTCCAATTTCATGATTTCTGTACTGATGATTTGAGACCATGGCTACTTATAGCTCTTCTAGCGGTTCTCAGGTTCTGGGTTTCGCCATGGTGGGGCATTCGAGTACTCTTCTATGAATATGTACGGGGGTTGCGAGTCGACTAATAAAGTAGTTTCTTAAGATTTTAATTGGTAAACCCTCCACCGAGAAACTGTCTTGTCTTTTATGCCCACCCGTACAATACATACTATTATATGCGTAAGACTGCAGCTGTCTAATCACATAATATCACTCGATCGAGACCATGTGAGTGGACACGAATGTCAGAATCCGACGGCCAAGTTCAAATGTCTTTAAGCAGCTTGTGTAATCTCGCTCTTATACCTAGACAGCTCCCATCTAAGATGATGGATACTTACGTGGCGACCATTTATGCACTCGTATTGCAACCACCCGTCACTCCGCCTCTCCCTTTCCTTGTCAATGATCAACTAACACCTTACAGCTACTTCTTAAGCTAACGGTTTGTGATTAGCGCCATTAAATTCTATATTTAGGGAGTGGCCAAGCTTATATGCAGACATCAAGAGTCAGGTTAACACTACCCAGTAACATAGGTAACCTTCTACCTGGCCAGAATGAAATCCAAAAATCTAGATGTGGAATAATAAAGTTGTGCTATTTTAGAGGGGGGTTCCAGATCACCGGGTGCTGATTTGCGACAGGGGACGCTTTTCAGTTACGGGATGTACTCGTAGTTTTTTGGCGTTTCCGGACGCAACTGCTATTGCATGCCATACAAAAGATAGCCTTGGCGAATTTTTTCTGTGTATGCAATAGCAGTTGCGTCCGGAAACGCTAAAAAACTACGAGTATGTGTCAATGATCAAGCGGCTATTATCAAGGTGTTGAGGTGGTCTGGTCGCCCCTAGGCGCTATCTCGGCCCGGGTTGTCAATTACAATTGCAACAACCAACCCCCATCCCTCCTCGTCCTCGTGTGCGTGCGTAAATAATACGCTTTCGCTATTTTTGAGTTCATTTTAAGCCGCCTTCTAATATTTCCACCGGAGTTGCTATCTAATGCCTATTGCTCTGCTCGTTTACTTGCTCTTCAGAGTAGTCAACTGAACTGAATTACGTTTTTTCTCGGATGCCGAGTAACAGGTGTCTCCCGGGATGGAATATACACGCAGCGCACATGTCAGCATCATATACACGTAAAGCCGTTTAGGGGCTTGGCATTCCGTGCAAGCGGATTCCAACGCGTCTCCTCAACTCCAGCCTCCTGTTCCCCCTTACCCCCCGCGTTTCCCCTCATCATCCCCGCCTGCCACCCGACGTTTCTCACAAAATGGACGACGATAATGTTCCGGCACCGATTGTCTTCAAGGCCACATACAGTGGTACTCCGGTGTGAGTTCTCCTCTTTTCTCTGGTGACTCTTAGTCGGCAGGAGCACTCAATGAGCATACCCGGAGTAATTAATCCAGCCTTCTCAATAAAACTCTACTGTGTCGCTGATATCGGCGGGGGCACATAGGGGTTTTCCTGATTTGCCTGCTGATATCTAACTTATCAAGTCATCTTTGCTAATTATCTTGAGTGCTATTATAGTTATGAATAGTACGTTCTCTGGTCACACATCGACACTTCTCTTTAAATCTCGCCGGTTGCTAATGCGTAGTTTAAAGTATTGCAAAGGGGATCGCTTGCATGCGTAGACGTTCTGATTCATGGGTGAATGCTACACAAGTATTGAAGGTCTGCTTCCCTCTGGGTGCTAGTGATTTGAAGACAGGACCCCTAATTTTTTCTTCTTCATTTAGGTTGCCGAGTTCGATAAACCACAGAGAACACGAATTTTGGAGCGGGAAGTCCAACGGGGAGTTCATGAAAAGGTACAGGGTGGTTATGGAAAATACCAAGGTGAGTGACTTTCGAGGGTTAGGGGTATTTCGAAGATTTAAATCTTCCGTAATCAATTCTGTTGATCATAAAATAACATGCTATGGTATAGGGACCTGGGTGCCTTTGGAACGAGCAAAGGAGATTGCAGCCCTCTACAATGTTGGCGAATTACTTAAACCTATCTTCGAATTCCGACCCTCTACCGAATCACCCCCTCTAGCGCCCAAGCATGTTACTGCGGCATCTACAAAGCCAAGGCCTGCTCGAGCGCCAGCAAGAAATGCTGCGGCTGCGGCGCCTGCTAAACGTGCAGTTAGTAAGTTTTGATTTCCTTGGTTTTTTCAGCATGATACTGGGGAACTAAACCTTAATTTCTTTGTTGAAACAGAACCCCCTCCGCCACCGGTGCCAGTACCAGCGCCGCCATCTCATGTCAGCTCCGAAGAAGATGAAATTGAAGAAGATGATCTAAGTGACATTGATCCCCTCAATGATCCTAGCTCACCTTCTGTGCAATCATCGTCTGCATCTGAGGGAGATCTTTCTGAATTGGAACTGGACGATCCGTCTCAGCACTCCCTAAATACAACTTTGAAGAGAAAGCGAGAACATATGGACCATGAGATAATGTCTTCGCCAGGCTTGATTCACTCTTCACAGCAGAGAAGAATGGCATATAGCGACGAACTTCTTGACTACTTCATGGCGAACGAGAAAGGCCTTCCGGACTTTCTCATTAACCCGCCTCCTGACTTTGATGTAAATGAGATCATCGACGATGAGGGTCACACTGCATTTCATTGGGCTGCAGCAATGGGAGATTTACGAGTGATAGAATTACTATACAAGGCTAATGCGAACATTTACATGGTCAACAAACGTGGAGAGACCCCACTTATACGTGCAGTACTCTTTACCAACAACTACGACCAAAAGTCGTTTCCTCGGCTAGTCGAAACCCTGCGAGACACAATATTTCATGTAGATAACTACAATTCAACAGTTTTCCATCATATAGCGGCAACGACATCCTCGCGAAATAAACTTCTAGCAGCGAGATATTACTACGACGTTTTACTTCAAAAACTTGGAGAGAAACACTCAATGGCCGAGATCGCAAGAGTGTTGGATTTGAGAGACACCCCAGGCGACACGGCTCTCACGATCGCAGCTCGCAACGGTGCAAAAAAATGTGTTAGAAGCTTGCTCGCTCACAACGCTAACCCAAACATTGCAAACAATGAAGGCCAGACGGCCGACCAGTATATTGTGGCAGTTGAGCGCCAAAGACGGAACGGCGATTATCCCTTAGCGTCGAGTTCATCGCCTTTCCAATCGCATGATAACCACATCCACCATCAGCATCACAATCCCCGTTATCAGAGATATCCATCCACACAATCAGCCGCAACTGTTGCGGCAGTTAATTATGCCAATGCTAGCCATGTGCCCCGGCCTCATATCTCTGAGGCGGCGATATCGGCAACCAAGAAGATTATACCACAGATGGCGGAGATGCTCGAAGGGCTTGCAACAGCGTTCGATAATGAGCTGCAAGACAAGGAAGAAGATGTCAGTCAAGCACAACGTTTACTCGACAGCTCAACACACGAGATCCAAGCCTGTAAGGCAACCTCCGAAGAGACACTGGCTCCCTTTGGTGATGTTGCCACCATGGAACATCAAATTGACTTGCTCAAGGCCGAAGCGGAGACTCTCGCAGAGGAACTTAAGAAAATATTTGAACGCGGCCAGTATTACGAGCTCTCGAACTTTGTTCGCCAAGAGGAGCAACAGATTGACGACAAGGAGCCACTTGCAAATGCTGATGATCCAGACAACTTAATGGAGAAGTTGGAAGCTGCACGTCAGCTAGCGCAGGCTCAACGCGAAAGAGAAGAATTGAGAGAGACAATCATAAAAGCCCACGCAAGGAGCGGGGCAGGTGAAAAGATGAGCGATTACAGGCGGTTGATAGCACTGAGCTGCTCTTTACTTACAGAAGACGTGGAAGACTTATTACCGGAGATATTGAAGGACTTGGAGGCAGGAGGAGATGGGGATATCAGAGATGGCCTCATGATATGAATTTTTCTGTTGCTAGAGGCTGTGCCTTTTGACGTTTTCATTTATTTTGTATTTATTTTCTGTGCTTTGCAATTTGCTTGCTCTACTTTGCTATATTTGTGGTTTTCCTCCAGTTTTTCGCTGAGGCTATCATTGGTGTTAGGGATTTGCTGAGTGTATAGTATTCGCATTCTTGCTAAGTATTCTGACTTTTTTTAGTTTTTGAATTTTTAACCCTTTTTTTGGGGGGGTTATGTATGATACATCGGCAGAGCTGCTTTGTAGTAGTAATAGGACGTGTGCTAGTATGGTTCTCTATTATAAACATCTTTTTCCTTCTTTTAAGTTGGTAATTTCACGCTGCATAAAGGTTATGGATGATCAAGAGGGGTGTCATAATATACTTGGTGGGTAGGGCTGGGGTAATTGTTCACCATATTATTTCTTAGCTAACTAGCCTCTTGCGGAAATAGTAACATGTCTTTTGGTCACTGCTTTGGCGAATGATACCCCTTTCCATTGCGTTCCGCAAAATGAAATTAGTGGGATATGGTAAATCAGCATGATTATCAGGATTGAGGAGGTCGCAGTTGCCCGTGTAAGGAAAGTTTCAAAGATCAGTTATGTCCTAGCGCCAGTACCTTGAAACACTGTCTGTCTCATGGCAACTCAAGTCCATCTGGTCGAGTGCACGACCATTGTCATTTGCGACCCGTTTAAGTAGAAATCAACCCTATTCTTTAGTAGGAATATCAGCAGGATTGATCTTAAACCTTTAACGAGGAACATGCGCCAGTGCCAATTCAAACACCTAGCTGCTGTTATGGGGGCATGACCGCCCCAACCCATAAAAGGTTTCTTAAACGCCAACCATGTTGTTAGTAGCACTAGCAATGTGTGCATAATTTTCAGCACTTAGGCATTGTGCTCTATACCTCTCATCCCTTATGGATATATGATCTCTCAGTGGTAACTAGTCCTCAACAACCATGTCTTGGCCATTGCCAGTAAACACCAGCGGTTTTAAAGCCCTAAATACTCTCCTACAATAGTCTAGCTTATGAGTCCTCGAAGCAAGAGATTAAGCTCTGTATCGCCAGCCTCTCCACTTCCAGCAGGACGTTGTCGTAATGATCGACGTATATCCGATCCTAATCAGCATGACTAGAGACCGCGGATTGAGTTTCTAGGGTGTTCACTGGCTCTCGGTCAGCGCGAGGATCTTCTATATTTTCCAGCAACTTTGATACAGGTTTGTGAACTGGGGATTATTCTTCTACGAACAAGGCTGGACTAAGGCCTACAGGATGCGAGGGCGTTATATTAGAAGTAGAAGAAAGTGAATTCGCTTTGGTGCGTATTGCCTGATGGGGTCGTTGGGAGGGTTCGGGATGATGAAGTAGGTGAGGGATTTGATGGAGAATGAAGGAGAGAGAAGTTTGGAGACAAGTTTAGAGACATGGAGTAGGGTAGTCATGATGGAGGAAGAGGTGGTAGAGCATGAAATTTACGGGGTGAGAATGGGGGGTTTTGGATTATGTGTAATTACAAGGGTTGTTGGGGTTTTAATCAGCACACGGTAACTGAAGCGTGGCTGAAATCAATCATTACTAGCTGAATAACTACATTCCTTTCCTACTGTCATATATCTACGTACTACATTTTTTGGTTCTTTTCTGTAGGTGTGCGCTTTTACAATACAGATAGATTCAATGTCGAATACGCCTTAGTAGGATGCATTGAAAACAGAGACCACTCTCCCTCCATCTGAACTGTTGGATCTGCAATATATTTTTTTCATGAGAATCGCCTTGAGCTACCTCATGGACAACGGAACTTTAGGGTTTTCTATCCAAGTATCTATCTATCTTTGTCGTAGTTTACGAAACTGCATACACGTTTTATCCCAATCTCGCGAAAAGTATTAGTGGGAAAATAATGTAAAATCGATCATTTCCATGCCCCTAGAACACCCCGGTCCCCTAGAAATGGTAACCATCCAATGAGAACATATTCTCCTCTGCTGGGCTATATATGTTTCCAATTGAGCTATTTGCTGGAATGACTGGGCTCTTTTTTTTGTATACTAGTAGGCAACGTATATCACTTATAATTAGAACTGCAAGTGAAGAGTCTTTTTATTGACCGTGACTTGTAGGGCCCACTAGAGCCCGTATTTATCACAAATGAGATCGAAAGAGTATATAGATATAGCTGAAAACTAAACGTGCGTGCCTCTCAAGATAGTGACTCTATGTGGTAAAACATGAGTACGTAACGGTACGTGCTTAGCCATGCATGCTTCTGGAAACTCCATTCGATACGTACATATGCATCTACATACATAAGTACATGTACGTTATTGGCTCAGACAGACGCAGATAGTACATATATGTAACTATCCAGTCAAACAAGTAGCTGAGATTTCCAGCGCTTGTTCGTTTCGCAAGTCCTAACAACGGTTTTGAAGTCTTATCCCAGCGTTTGGCGCGGCGGGCCCCGAGGGGACCACCGCCCCGCGACTGCAATTGAAAGTCAACACCACACAGACCAAGACGCACTGCAGGCCCAGGCCCAAGCCTAAACCTAAACTCAAACCTAAACCAAAACCAAAACCAAAACTAACCCAGAGTTATCTTCTTGACTCAAACAACCACACTTAATCACAGACTTTTAAATATGCCCAAAGTCACAAGGACGATCGAAATTGACAGCGATGATTTCGATGATGATTCTGTTCCCGATTCGGAGGAATTGCTCACCAGGAGCACGGTCCACAAGATAGATAACTCGCACAATACCCTCGCTGACGGTATGTAGGCCCACTTCGAAGTCACGTATATCTAACGTTTAACTAACGGCCGTAGAAATTGCGGCGTTGAACGATAACTTGGAGGAAATGTTTCGGACTTGCACCAACAACAAGGCGGAGCTCAAGGCGTTAAACATGCTTCAAAAGGCCGCTGAGAAACGACATTCGGCTGCCTTGACGGACTATGAGAAGATGCTAACGCAGAAACAAAGGCTAGAGGCGCTGCTTCTCAAACAGAAACATAATGCCGCAGTCACCAAAAAGGAGAAGAACAGTGGCCAGAAGACTTTAAAAAGAACTAGGAACAGATCTTTAAAGGTAGGTACTCAGAACGAGAAGAAACCCCTAAAAAGTGAACTTACTAATCCTCATGGTGCGAAGTCCGAAACCTCCAATCGCCCTGGCCCAGAGTCCAAGGTCTTTCTTCCTCAAAATGCGGTCAAGGCCATTAAATCTATGCCTCCCCCGAGCCCGCTCAAGCCCTATAGATCCATGCCTCCTCCAAGCTCAGTCAAAACCAATAGGTCCATGCCTCCTTCGACCCCGGCCAAGTCCATTAGATCTATGCTTCTTGAGAGAGCGGTCAAAGCCAGTAAACCAATGCCTCCTCCGAGCCCGGCCACGGTCAAGGCCGCCAGGTCTGCGCCGTCTCCGGCCCAGGTTAAGACCGATAGATCTACGCCATCTCCAATCGAGGTCCAGATTAAACCTATAACTCAATCTTTCCATCGCGAAGAATATAAACGCCTCTCTGAAAGTAGTACAACCCCTAGGCCCCTCAAATCTACATAATCCAAGCCAGACTTTTTGGGATCAATGACCAGTATACTCAATCAAATCAAACGCAAAAAGAACAAAAACTAACTATCAAATCTATCACTCCTCCCAGGTCCTCCCGCCAAACGCATCAAACGCCAGGAATCTGATAAAAAGCCGACGCCGCCTAAGGCTACATATGAGCAGGTCATAACCGAAATTAACGGCGATGGCGACTCTGAATCGGAGTCTCCTACTTCTATTAGCACTACGAGACTTCGTTTAGGCCGACCCGAGATAATTGCTGGACGGCCTTTTGATGGCAAGATCAGGTCTGGTATCTCTTTGGCTCGTACTGCCTATGATACCGGCCATGGCATCAAGCAGGAGGAGTAGTCACCCTTATGTTATCTTCCTTCCCCTTTTTCCAGGGGTTTTCTCCCCCGGGCCCGGATTTTTCGGCGCGTTCATGCGTCATGGTTTAGGGGAATCTATGGAATCTAGGGTAAGGCTAATGAATATGCAGCGGGAATATCTGTATTTCCTTTTACTTGTATTGACATATGCTCGATAGTCGAATAATATGGCAAATGCGAGTTGGTATTTGTGCGCTTCTCTCAGCTTCTGTCAGCAAATTCTCCACCTTCCTGCATATTGTTATTGTCTTGGCTCGATCATGAAATATCACTCGCATATAAACCTACTTGCAGTGAAATCCCAATTGCGCTTTTGTTTTTTTGTTTAATTCATTAATTGAATCCTAATTGAGCTGGCAACTATTCAACCCTACCAAACTTGAGACCCTATAAATAACATCTAATATTGAGACTATAAAACAACATCTAATAGCTACGATGAAATTAAACCCATAATCATGTAATCAATTAAATAATGTTCAACTCAAACCTTATTGCTGATCTAGGTTGACACGGCTCAATAGAAACCGATTACAAGAGCACATGCACATTGTGAATGCAATTGCGCCAATAATTTTCACTAATAACTCTCCATGGAAAGTAACCAAGTCAAACCCCATGACACGCCTCGAGACGCCTCGGGGAGTTGTATCAAACTGCCTCTGCCTCCAAAATAATCCATCTCAAACTATCAAGTCACATAGATACATACGCGAAGTCATCTCAATGTTCTTCTTAGTTCCCTATGCGACAACTCATCTCACAGTCTTGTCTTAAAACATCAGACTCGAACCTACAAGACTAGACCTCCCATAGGACAATTCATCTCAAGACCATTTCTGATCCTACCCCGAGCCTCTCTCTAACCTATGAAGAATGGTAGCCACACTACAAGCACTAATAAAAGTATTGCATATTTGGTTAACCATTTACTGACTTGAATCTAGGCTTGATAAGAAAGTTTCACTGATTTTTCTCTATACTGTGCAGCTGTCTAGATAAAACTACTCACATAATCCCTTCATTGTATGATCCTGGTTGTTGAGATTTGCAGCGATTAACTGGCTTAATGGAGACTTGTGGACTAGAAGCTCATTCACTCTTATGATATTCTATCTCTCGAGAGAAGAATGATATAGGTTCATGTATTGTGAGTTTGGGATCATAAAATAAGATGAGACAAACTCAATACTCTCATAGGACAGGATATTGTTAGCCCATGCTCTGGGATTGCTGTGAACATGTTCGTGGGAGCACTATATAATAATTTATTAGGAGATATATATATATATATATATATTTGTTTAATTCATTAATTAGGAGATATATTTTATAGATTATGTTGGTTACGGTTTTGATTAACTCCAATATAGAGTACGGATGGGTACGGATGGAAAAGAAATGCAATCATGGAATATCACTCGCATTCGGTTTTAGTGTTGGTATTGCATATTTGGCTTTTCGGGTGGTGTCGAACCCGTACAGGTGAGCTGCTCGAACCTGAAATATTGATACCTGTCACTGTCATTTCATGTTGACACTTGTCCGATCCGTGACTATATAGCTACATGTAGCTAGACTCTTTGTCGAGATAAGCATGAAGTCACTTAACGACCGCGTCCTACTTTTCCAACAGCTGGAACCGCACCCTCAGTGTTGTGATGAAGAGGGAGTCAAAGCTAAACTGTATACTTGAATATACTGCAAATTAAAACCCTTACGGACCCCCAATAGATACTCTGGACACTTCCCGCTTCCGCTCAGCTGTTAGATCACGCCCTGAAGCGTAGACTGTTCTACTAGGGGAACGTTTCTCCAGAGAATGGTGACCGGTATACACATCTCACACGTCCTGTTTGAAAATATCTGTCTACACATGCATTGAAAGACGACTACACACCTTTCAATTGCACACTATACTCACTATCATCAACCCACACTCGCCCCACAAACCAAACTCAAACATCAGTACTCAAAAGTTTCACCAGCTTCACACATCACCCCATAAAACAAACAAGCGAACAAACGATAACCACATATCCGTACCAACATTAGCAGCCTGCCCCCCCAAATCCCCTATCTCCAAAACACCGTCCCGGGTGACTAGCTAGCTAGCTCTTGTGTGGTGCTACGTGTGTAAGTACTGTGTAGCTATAGTGATACCCTACCAACCTTAAAAACTATTTGTCATAGATTCGCGGGATACCATGCATGCTCGATCTACCTCGTAACGATCTCCCTATCTCCTGAACATACCGCTCTGGTGATCCCAAACCCCTCAAATGTCGGACGCGAACGTCCACATACATCTCATCTAGCTCTGTACGATGAGGTGAATACTGCTGCCCGCGAATTGACTAATTATATCCCGCCTCTCTAGTAGTCGGGCCATCGTCATTACTACCCCAAAGTCAGGCCACCAGGAGGACAGGCCTAAGGCCTCGTGCTCACCACTTGGCTAGTAATCCAGGCCGCGTATCGATCACGCCCATGGCCATTAACCAAGCAGAGGGCGAACACCCGTCTTTGGACAGCCATTGGGTGCAGCCAAACCTCAGATCTGATGATGGTGGTGATGAGGAGGGTCTTCGCCGATGTTGCACAGGTGCGTTTCGCTTGCAGGGCCGCAAGCTGGGTGGAAAGCCTCTCCCGTGAGCCGTGGGTGGGTGATGACTGTGGTGGTGGTGGTGGTGGTGGTGGTGCGTTACGCTCAGGTTCGTTGCGTTACGTGAATGTGAAAACCTTAATCCATCTGACAGTTGGCTGCAGCAACAGCAGCAGTGCAACGTGACAGGGCTAACTAATCCAGCCAATCCAGTTGATCAGTCACACAGCGACAGTAGAGGAGGTCTGGTGGATAACTTTGATATTGCTTTCACCCCAGCACCCCCTCCCGGGAGAAAAAAGCTTTACTTTAATGCAGATTAAGGGATCTACAGCTAGCGGCACGTTTTGTTACACCCCCACGTTTTTTGTGAGCTTGTCACGGTGACGGTATGGTGGGTGACACGATATCGGGGCCGGTAAGAGTATATGAACGCCAAATCTATCTCCTCAACAACAACACAATATATTTTTGATTAGAAGCCGTAGAATGATAGAGAATCAAGAGCAGAATCATTCTACGGCCTTTGATTTTAATTATCTTGTGTTGTGGTTGAGGAGATAGAGTTTGAAGTTGGGTGATTTTGGTAGGGAGGCAGGTCAATTTTTACCCATACAAATTATTAAGGCCGGATCGAAATCCAGTAAAATACCCCTGTCAATCACCATAAAGCACTCGGTTGATTACCAAAAACGGCTATGATCTGCCATCTGTGAGCTCAAAAACACTTGTTTCACTACTAAATAGGTGATGATTTACCTGATGGAGATTTTTACATGTGCCAAGACCGACCCCGATATCGTGTCGCCCACCATAGTAGTAACGGTGACGGACAGTGATGGGAGGGTGAGTGATGGCTGATCCCGCGCATATCATTACCCATCACTCGGCCGCGCAGCGTCTCGCGCGCGCGCGCCACTTGCCCGTTTCGAAATTTCCCCACACCATACGCGGCGCATAATCTTTTGGCTTAATAAATATTTAAATGTGAAACATTTTTCGCTTCTTTTTTTTTTTTTTTCTCCCCCTTCCCTCCCAATTTTTGCGGAGGGAAAAAAAGAAGGAAAAAAAAGAATTCTCTGCATGCGCATCCCGCTGCCGTTTCTTATCTTTTTATCTTGTCTATCATCTATCCTATCTTATCGATTAGCTAGGGAAGGGTCCATCATATCACCCGGATGGGGCATAGATAAAAAAAAAAAGATGTTGAATTTACCCAAACGAAACGTACGCGGATCAACCAACGAACGACATCACCACCTCCTCCCCCAGCTCTCGCAGCTGTAGGCATGAATGTAGGTACTGTAAATTAACTACAGTAGCCTCCCTCGTTTCCCTGGACTGGCTGCCTGGCTAGCTGGGGGGAGGTAGGCAGAGAACCACAGATGGATCCCCAACCCTCACCAGTACTCCTTCCTCCCTCCCTCCCGCTCCCGCTCCCGGACCCTTCCCGCCGCTCTAAACTCGCAGAGTAACTCAACTTGTAAAGCATCGCAGGTGCAATTACTGCTCGGCTTACCCTAATCGCACTCTCTCTCTCTCTCTCTCACGTATTTACCAGGGATGGGGTGGGGTTGGGATGGGGGACGAACACTATGTAGCAGCACGTCACTTTCGGTGCCGCGTGACAGGCAAGTCCCTGCATACAGCACTCGCTCGGTACCGCCGCGTGCAACACGCTGTTTTGGGGGGTTTTCTGCCTGTTTGTGCAGTGCAGTGTTTTTTTTTCTGCCTGCCCGGTACCAACCAGAACCTAATCTACTCTACGTATGTAGGGCGCTTGGGGGTAGGTACATGTAGTGTAGAGTGGTTTTCCGCCTAATTTCCGAGGGCCTTCTGGAGGGACGGATGTAGGGATGGGGGATGGATAGAAGCTAGCTGGGAGGAGGGCATCCAGCTAGAGGAGAGAGCAGGAGGATACCTAGGGCACAGTAGGTACACGGTGAACTTGCATGTACCGTACGTGTGCATTGTACGTGCTGTATGTACATGTACATGTAGGTACTGCTCCCACCGCGCAGCTACTCGTATTTCTCTGACGTTTGTGGACGCGACTGATATTGCATGCCATACAAAAATACGCCAAGCTCATGATTTTGGGTGTATGCAATAATGGCCCAGTTCAAAAACGTCAGCGAAATATTAGTACTCTAGTAATGGAGGGATTGAGTGGACGGAACGAACCAGGGCGTGATGAAACTCTCTACCTTCTATGATGTACCTACTCTCCAAACGCTCTCCCGGGAAAGAGACACGCACTCTACATGTACCTACAGCTGTAGCAGATAAGCGTTAAGCGTGGCAGTCAAGCGTCCGGCAATCTGGGTAATTTGGACCAACGACCTATCTACCGCCGTACGGGGCCTACATGCACGATGCGTTCGAAGCGGTACTGTGGAAGCAGTTTGGGTTTCACCGTTGGCTATTGGACGGAGAAGTAAGAGTACATACTCTACGTTACAGGTAGGTATGTAGGTATCTTCTATTCCGGAACGCCCCGCCGCCCTCCCCACCCCGGCTACGTAGAGAGCGTTGGAAAGGAAACCCGGGGTTTTTTTTTTTTCATCGTCATTTTTTTATTATTATTTATTTTGGCTTATTTTGCTAAACGAGACCATCATCGTCGTCATGGGTATTACTCTTCAGGATGAAACGGCAGTTAGAAAAGGCACATCTGTAATTGGTACATAGACGAGCAGGCAGGGCAGGGCATGGCAGGACAAGGGTTGGATTAGGGGAAAAAAGAGGAAAGGGTTGAAAGCGCCGAATCAGAAGAGAGCAGGAAACATCGTGCGGGACGAGTGCTCTTCGGTGATGCTTCCTCTTGCGCGCCTTCTTCTCCCGGAGTCAAGTCCATGTTGCCTGAGTGTAGAGATACAAAAATCTTATCTTGCAGCAATTGAAGTAAAGCAGGTTCATGCCGATATGGTACGACAATCGATGCCATTCCACCCCCCCCTCTCTTCTCCCGCGACCTTGATCTCCTCTCGTAAGTGAAACCCAGGCCCCCACAAAAAAGAAAAAAGAAAAAGAATAATCTTGTAAACATGCGCAACTCCTGAAAGAACGGAATGAAGAAAGCGAAAGAAAGAAAAAAGAACCATGAATTGCAATTATGCAGCAGCTTCCGTAATTCGATTCCCCGCCAGGAAACCAGCCACCCGCCCAGCCAAATCTTCTCACAATACAAACTAGTAGAAAGAAAGAAAAAGAAAAACAAGAGAGAGAGAAAAACGCCAACCTGATAAGACTCTATGGTAATCGTACATGCCATAACTAATTAAAAAAAAGAATCGTGCAAGATAAGGAAGAAACGACTAGGAATTTTTTGAAAAAAGGGAAAAAAAGAATGGTAGCAAACACCGTCTTTAGCTGTGATCAGCAAAAAAAACTAACGTCCTATCTCGCTCCCTCCAATTGCGTCAGTTTCAGCTCCAGCTCCTTCTGGAAGCTCGCAATCACGCCTCTGATGCGCGCCTTGAGCATGACGTTGGAGATGCTGTCGTACTCCTTCGCCTTCGCCTTGATCGCCTCCTGGAGGTCCTGGATCTCCTCATTCAGCTTGCGCTGCTCCTGCGCCGCCTGAGCCGCCTCCTCGTCGAGCTCCGGCTCCTCCTCCTCGTCGTCCTCCTCGTCCTCGCTCTCCTCCGGCGCGGCCGCCTCGTCCTCCATCTCGTCCATGAGCGCCGTCTCCAAATCATTGGCAAGCGTATCCCCGTCCATCTCCTCGCCCGGAGCAAAGTCATACTCCATCTCGCCCTCGGCGTCCTGCTCGTCGTCATACTCGCCCTGCCCTCCGAGCAGGTCATACCCCTCCTCCGCCTCCTCCTCCTCCCTTGCCAGCTCCGCCGCATCTACAAGCGTAAACGACGACGCCTCGGCCCTCTCATCATCCCTCAGCAGTCTATCCACCTCCGCCTCCACCGCCTCAATCGTGCGGTTCGAGATCCTCTTCCGGAACCTCCGCTTCCTTACCCACTGCATCGGCGGCGTCAGCCCATGCGGGTACGTGACATCCTGCGGGCGCACCGGCAGCGAAAACACCTCCTCCTCGCTCCTGATGCGCTCGCCCACCAGCAGCATCTGGCATATATCCGCCGTCTTGAAGATGGCCTTCTTGTCCAGCGTCTTGTTGCTCTCAATGATGCTGGGCAGGTCCACCAGCACCCCCGCGTACAGGTTCCCGCGCACACACACGACCGCGCGCCGCGCGTCCTTAAACTTGAACCAGATGTCGCTCTTGGGGCTGAGCTCCTTGCGCTCGATGGCGTCGCGCACGTACTCGCAGTCGTCGCCCGGCGGCATGCGCAGGATGAACTGCTCCTCGATCGCCGGGTCCTCCTCGCGGTCCGAGGCTTCGCTGTCGTAGCCGTTGCCGGGCTCGTGGCGCCGCTTGCGCGCCGCCGGCTGCTTGGGCGTCTTGAGCTTGAGCACGGGGGTGCGCAGCGGCGAGGCCGGCGTCGCCTGGCTGAAGGAGGAGGACTTGAGCTTGAGCGTGGGCACGGAGGCTTTGGTCTTGAGCTTGATTTTGGGGGTCTTTGGGGTTGAGGTGCTGCCGCCGCCGGCGGAGGAGCTGGAGGCGGCCGCGGACGAAGGCTTTTGCGCGGAGAGCGTGGAGGCGGAGGTGTTGAGCTTGAGTTTGACCATTGCGGGGTGTGTGGGGGGAGGTCGGGGAGTGGGCGGGCGGGGAGGGTGTTGTGGGGGGGTCGGGGCGGGTGTGGTTTTTTGTGGATATTGGGATTGGGAGCCACAGGTGTCGTTGGGCGTTGGGGCCTTACCCGGACGTGGGTTTGTGGGGATGTGGCGCCTTGCAAATTCTATCACTAGTGCTTGTAGCTACTCATGATCTGAGGCTTCGAATTCGACCTATTAATTGCTGACAACGTAAAATCGCAACACCCTCGTAGGTGGCCCCGTAACTTTAATTACTGCGTGACATAGTATTCCCATTTGCAATTGAGTGAGGCCCTTGAGGCTGAACTGAACGATCAGGGTCATGACCTCCAGCTAGCTGCCTCGAACCTACATCACGTATGTACATACTCCGCTGTCAATCTCCGAAACACCCCCCATCACATCACGACATGGCAGTTGTAATCAAGTGCAATTGAGCAATGGGCTTGATCATGGGGTGCAGAAGAACAACAGGCCCGCATCAGAGCTCTGTATCTGTGCATATGCGACAGGACAAGAGCAATTGCTTGCAAGGCTAGAAACACTCCTGCCCCCCCCGTACCCGTACGCACGTCTAGGCCTCGAGCTACTACGAGCTGGTATGATCATGATGTACATGATTAATTGTTATTTCTGGCAAGGTCAGTCAGTCGGCGATAAGCGTGACCGCGCGGGCATGGGTTAGATTAGGTTCAGTGCAGCGACACCAGAAATAACAATTGCCATGAAGGGAAACTTTTCTCTGCTCCAATCGCTAGGTCTTTGTCGGGTGGTGGTGGTGGTGGTGGTTCAATTGTTTGGATCATGGATATGTTTGGAGTAGAGAAGGTAATAGAAACGCCACACCATCACAAGCCAACCATCTCACGATCAGCGCGGGTAGCTATGCCGCAACGGGAAAGCATCAAGCGTCAAGCATCAAGCATCAAGCGTCGAGCATCAAGCTTCACTGAGCCTCCATCGTTAATTGCCTTCCCTTCCCTTCCCTTCCCTTGCACGCTCACATCTCTAACTACACTCACTCCCACTCGGTCGAGTGCGCATCCCTATCTCGGTAGCATAGCATTCATCTCCCATCCCATCTCATATCAACCATTTCAATCCCTCCCTCCTCGGCCATGGAGATTCTCAAGACCTCTAGTCCAACATGCAGGGTCTCCCCAACCTGTCAAAGCAAAAAAGAAAAAACCCCACATCCATTCCCTCCCTCTCTTTCAGCTCCATCGCGTCGAGGGATTGCAAATGGCAATTGCTATTGCTTTTTCACGCGCAGTCACCGTCCGTCCGTCCGTCGCATGACGTCCTTTCCGTAATGCGTTCCTTTTTTCTTTTTGCTCGCTTCGCTTCGCGCTGGAGAGCTATCGCGGTTTCAGCGGGAATCGTGCCTGCCAGACCAGGGCATCTGAGATCCGCTCATTCCTTCACCCTTTCCTTTACTCACCGTCAAGACAAGAAATTATACGGCGACTAGCAGCTGGGAGGATCCGGAGGAGGAGGCAAGCAATGATGAAAAGTCTCAGCCCCGGGCCCCTCCCCCCAACAAGGATGCACACGCGAGCCGACCTCGAGCTCCAGCTCCACGACGTCAGCGTGCCTCTGCTCATCCCTTCGATCCCCCTGGGCAGCGTTTTTTCTTGTCTGGCTGTCTGTGGCGATACGGGATTCTGATTTTCGCATATCACGAGGCCCCCCGTTACTGTGCTGCATACCGGCGGTTCCTGAGGCTCTGTGACTAGAGGCTACATGTACCTACTGTACCTGTACCTAAGTGAGACCGCGCGCGCGCGCGTGTGGGCCAGTTCCCAACATCGCAACCATAAAATCTTGAAACTCATCCATGGAGCAGCTCAACGACGTCGTGGGTACACTTTCATTACGTCGTTGCGCCGCTCCACCGCCCGCCGGTACGGGTACGGGTGGATGGTATATATGCTAGCTGACGTGACGCGCCGGCAAAAGCTCGCCGATTATATATGCAGACAAATCCGAATCGTGAAGATTAGGAGGAGGAGGAGTCATGTCACGCATCTAGCAGTAGCAGTAGCTAGGGAAAGAAAGAAAGATTGGACGGGCAAGACAAGACAGGCAGTAGGCGCAGGGCAAAGACGGGCAAATCTCCTGGTAGCGATGAATGAATTACTGCTAGCTACAGTGCTCTAGCTAGCTACCGGTAGTACCCGCCCCCCCGGCCCCGCGGCGGTCGGTAGCTGGCTGGCTGCTGGCTGTCGTAGAGTAGCACCACAACCACCGCCATCATCGTCATCATGAAAAAAAAACTCGAAAGATTATATTGTTCGTGTTCGTGTCGTGTCGTCGATAAGGGTCATCACTCGCTCCCTCGCCCGCCCGTGAAAGAAAAAAAATATATCAAATTCATCAAATTATACCCCCCACCCTATTCTATTCTATTCCTCCCTCCACCACACGCGCCGCCTTTTCGTGGTCCCGGGTTGAATTCAATCAATGATGTGCTGAATTGTACCGGCCGACCAACAGGAGCCCGAGAAGGGCTCACTCTTCGCACTCGCACCGGCTATGAACGATCAATCTCGCTTGTCCGTTTTTTTTTTTCCCTTTGAACTATCTATCTCTATATCTGCAAGGGTGAGATCTGGTCCATCATCTATCTGGATGGGCAAAAAAAAAAAAAAAAAGGATCTACCATATCAGATTTCACCTTTTTTTTTTCCCTCTCTTTTTCATGATCACCCTTTGTTTTATTCCCTGACCCTTTTTTTTTTCCCTTCCCTTCCCTTCACCTTGAAATTAAATCCGACCTGTCTCTCGTCGGCCATGGCATGTCTCACGGAAGAAAAAAGAAGCGACATCAAGAGAGGGCAGAAAAAAAAATTATCCGGGGAGCTGCCATGCTGCTAGGTGAAGATCACACATGCTGCTTGCTTGCTAGCTAGCTGCGCCAAAAAAAAAAAAAAAAAAAAAGGAAAGAAGACGTATGTACTATGTGGTTGCCTACTTATCTACTCGATCCCTCTAGACTAGTAGAGTCTATTAATTATTTCTTCCTTACGGATATTGTGATCCTGGTAAAATTAATAGACGATGGAAAAATTTAAAAAAAAAAAAAAAAAAAAAAGTGATGGGGGGAAAAAAAAAGATACCAGGAAAGAAAAAAAAAGGAAAGAAAGAAGGAAAAAAATATGACGTTCCACTACTCTATCGTGCTGTCGCATCGTGGGTATGGGCAGGGCAGGGCAGGGCACTATGTACCACTGTAGAGTAGAGACAGTACCCTAGGAACATGTACCCCGCAAATCCCAAGGCAAAGTGCGGTCGAGGCGGGGGGGTGAGGGGGGGGTAGAGTAGGGAGATCGGAGAAGAGAGACACAAGGACCCTTACCCGGCAACGAATGGAAGCGCAGAGACAGAGGTTGAGGAGGGAAAGGTATGATATCATCACGGTTAACCGAGTCGTCCCCCCAGTCAGTCAGTCAGAGTACCTACCTACCGTAGAGTAGGGTTTGAGTGCCCCACGGAAGATCTGCTCATCCGCCGCCGGTTGGCTGGCTGGCTGGCTAGTGTTTCTAGTTTGGTTAGAGGGCCCTAGAGTAGAGGTGTCGAATGGAAGATTCGCAGAGTGCGCATTTTTCAGCCTTGACAAGAAACTTAAGGATGAAAAAGAAAAGAAAAGATCCTAAGGATCTCGAAGCGTTCGAGCACATTGTAAACTAATCCCCCCACAATCCTCCCCTCCCTCCCCTCCCTCCCCTCCCTCCCCCTCCTCCCAATCCCCATCTCTACCGCAACCCCAACCCACGAAGATAAAACCGACCCCAAAAAGCAAACCGACCAGTCCGACAATCAATTCCCCAATTCCAGGGCCGACTAGGCCCTCTAGGGCTCCTCCGACACGCAGTTGAAAGAAAAAAAAAAAAGCACTACCTACCACCACTCGGTAAGATCGCCAGGGTTAAACCAGAGTGAGGAAAAAACCCTGGAAAAAAAGAGTTAAGGACCTTCGTGATCGGCGTTGCCCTGACGTCGACTGCGGGACCGAGTTGGTGAGATGGGGTAACTGGGAGTGCCGTTCGTTTCACTACGTATTTCTCGTACGTTGCGGGATGAGGGGGAGGGGTAACGTTAGTTATTTTTTTCTGAGGAGGAGAGCGGAAGCTGGGGGTCCCTTCGAATCAGAGTGAAGAGGTGTGGTTAATTGCTACTGTAGATACCTCTGTATGTCAATACGGGGACCGGGCGGTGCGGGCGGGCAGATAGAGTAGAGCAGCAGAGCAGAGGGAGTGCTGTAGGGATGTCGATATGGGGATGGAGTGAGTGGGCGTCATCTTGGCCTATGAATGACGACTAGACTGTCTGTGCAGCAGCAGCAGCTGGGGGCCCAGGGCTGGGGCGGGAATCTCGACTTCTTTGTTTGATGGACGATTGAGTTTGCAATTGACCACTGGCAGGGCAGGGTGTTGTAGCTTCTTTTCTTTCTTTCTCGAACCAAACCAGCAATCAACCCCGCACTGCTAGTCTGCTGCTAGCATAGTAGGGCTTAAGTCTCTATGAATAGAAAACAGCTACACACATGTACATGGAGAGTGGAAAATAGATACCCTCGCTAGCTCCATCAATTGCATCTGTATGTATGTAGAAGCTTCCAAAACAAAGAAACCAGAAACCTGGAGGAGGAGGGAGTGGACGTGGAGGAGTGAGGAGTGAGGACGACACGAGGGTAATACAACAATTACAAATACTAGCATCTCCAAACGGCCACATGGGGGCCTTAGCTTAAGCTTCAGAATATCATTACCCACCGGATACGGTATGCCCGCCCACACTGAAACCCTCCGGCCGGCCCGCTGTTGGCGCCATTCCCGCGGGGAAAGCCCTTTGCTTATTTTTTTTTTTTTTTATATTGTTATTGCGCTAGTAACTATGTAGCTGGAAGATTTCAATTTCGGTGCTTCGGTGCCTGAGCGTGCAGGGCGACGCTCGCTGTTAATGATGCTGTTCCGCGGCGTATAGGGAGGGAGGGAGGGAGGGATAGATGGCATGGACGGGCAAGACGGGTGGTGGTTCATGGGCCTGGTTAGCTACATGGAGAGTGTGTAGGTGCTCTAGGTACTTGGCCATGGGGGGTACAAGTAATACTCGGTAAGGTCGGTACATACGGTACGTTGAGTGCGTATACGTACATGAATGTACCTTTGGCAGTCAGCAGTCAGTTAGTAGCAATAGTAGCAGTAGTAGTAGCACGCGCAGTAAAAACCCCACCAATAACCAACTGCGCTTGCACCGAGTGAGTGCGCGAGTGCTTTGCTAATAGTATCTACTTACACCTACTCAACTCGGTCCTTTCTGAAAAAAAAAATTCTGCTCGCGCGACCTCATCTCCAGACTTGCACCCCCAAACAGCCGCGAACCGTCGGCCCAAATGTCTCTAATCACTGGCATGTGCGATGCTTGCTACTCTAGCTGCATGCACGTTCCTTACTGGTTGGTTGGGTTTATGTACTTTACATGGTGGCCTGGTTTAATTGTTGGGCCCCTTGCTGCTGGTGGAGGAAGGTGCTGTGTAGTACAAGAGGTACGGTGGTGGTGGCCATGCTGGTATTAATATGTGCGGGCCCAAAAAGTCGAGAGACTTGGGGCTGGCTGCGCATGCACCCCGCAGAAAGGTGGTCGATGTAGCGTACCTAGAGGAGAGTACCTAGCTGAGTTTGGATTGATTAGGGAGGGTTTCGAAGGGAGGGCCTTTTTGGGGGGCGGTCAATTGCGGATTGGGACTTGAGAGAGTGTTTTTGGATTGTTTGTAGTGACCCTTCTTCAATTCTTATTCTTGATCCTATGTAGTAGCAGTAAATAGTAGAAATCCCCATCAGCGCGTAGATAAAAAAAAAGCCATTAAACTAGGTTTTTTTTTTTTATACAAACCCATGATCCCATCAGATCTCATCCGGCATCATATCGTTAAAATAAACATGAAAACAAAAACAGAAACACCCAATTCTTTTTTCCCTCCCCAGCTTCGATAATCGCGAACCCATGCTACTCCCTATTCCCTTTCCCTTGAATCCCTGATTCCCTTCCACGCAATGGTAGTTAAAAAAACGACAGACCTGGTTAACAAGCAAAAAAACCAAAGCAGGTAAACTCCATAAGAATGACTTGACCAAGGAAACGAGAGAAGAAATAAAAACACAATTCACACACTCCACTGCATTCCACTCATAATCATATCACCACAAGAAAGTTGAAAGGCAAAAGCAAAAAGCACAAAAACCCCACCCAAAGTCCAAAAGAAAGAGGTAAAAGAAACAAGATCTCAAAGACCAAGGTAGTATCCAGAGCTCCTCATAGCTCCTATACGCCCCGTCCGACAACAACACCACCACACCCTCCATGTCCTCCAAAGCCCGCAAAGAATCCATCTCCCTCCTCCAGCGTCAGCGGCGTCACTGGCCCGGGGCTGCCCAGCGGGATCAAGCGCGGCGACATTGGTCCCGTGCCCAGCAGCTGCGGGATGCGCGTGGCCTGGTGGATTATCTCCTTCTGGTGGAGCTGGAGCTGCTGCTGCGCCGAGAGCGAGTGCGCGTATGAGGCCAGCTTCGATGAGGGTACGGAGGAGGGGGAGGCGGTGGGCGCGGGTGTGGACGGCGTGGGAGCGGTGGTGGTCAGTGTGAAGGTTGTGGGGCGGTTGGGAAGCATTGTGGTGGGGGAGGTGCGGGTGGGAGAGGTGCGGGTGCGGGATGGGCTGCGCGGGTGGCGGTGGGGATGGGCTTGGGGGGTGTAGTAGTGGGATTGGCTTTGGTTCTGGGAGCGGCTTGGGGATTGGGGTTGTGGTAGTGGTAGTGCCGTGCCCGTAGTAGTAGTGGTAGTAGTGGTAGTAATAGTGCTTGAACTTGTGGTAGTAGGCGACGACGCAGTTGAAGATGAGCGCGAGATGGTATATATATTCGAATTGGAGCTTTGAATACTGATGCTAGTAGTAGAAGTGTTATTATTCCGACGCTGAGAACCAGTTAACTGTAGTTGCTGTGGCGGAAAGTACGAATGCTGTTGCTGGTGTTGTGTCGAAGGGGAGGGGATACAGCTGGTATTTGAACCCCAAGCTGAGCAGCTAGTGCTAGAGGAGGACGGTCTGGGGGACGGCGACACCATCGTGACCTCTTTACTTAATTCGGCGGGGAGAGGTGTGTGTGGGTGGAAGGATCTAATTTTTGGGTAGGTAGGAGGAGCTCGGGCTGTCTCACTGGGGATTTGTTTTTGGGTGGGTGTGGGTGGTGGGAGAAAGGGGACGGTCTGTCGGGTGAGGGTCACGAAGAGGCGTTTTGCAAATTGGTGTAGCTGGGGAGAGTACTACAGTAGTAGGAGGTGTAAGTTGATAATACTTGGGGCTGCTGCAGCGTCCGTGCCGTGGGAAGGATGAGGAAGAAAAAAAAGAGGTGTATGTAGGTGTAGGTAAGGTAGGCAGAAAGCAATTGTAGAAAGACTACTGTCCAGGAAGCACAGTTGCCGGGCAGATGTAGTTACTTTATTTTTTTTCTGTTCTGGCTTGGGGGGGGGGGGGGGGCGAATACTGTGTTCCCATGGGATGTGATATATCCACTTTGCTCCACCACTAAACTAACCCCCCCGGCAATGGATGTGTAAATGAGTGAATGAGCAGAGCTCTACTTACTGAATACACTCAGTGAGCACGCCAGCAAGCAGCAAGCAGCAAGCATTCCACATACAGCAGCAGCCTGGGGTACGGTCAGGATACTGCTTATTGCGGCACTACACAGCAACAACCCCCAACCCATCCGTGGTCAACATTAAACCGGGACAATTGAATTTCTGGGAACACAGCTTGAACTTGAAGTTGAATGACAATGCGGCAATAGTACATGTAGGTAGATACAGTAGTAACGTATGGCTACAGCAAGTAGAGTAACAGCAGCAACAGGGACGCACAGTAGAATATAGTACTATACATGCTCCGCTATAGGAAGTGGATAATTGAAAATCATTTCAACAGTTCCATGAAAAGCAGAGCAGCAAGCAAAAAAAAAAAGTGAGGGCCAAAGATCTACCTACCTCGGAATTCTTCCATCCGCCGCGTGACCTCTCACTTTCGCGGGCAAAGCAAAGCAAAGCCAAAGCCAGGAAATTTTCCCAGGGCCAGAACCAGGCAATCAAGTCAATCAATGCAGGCGCCTCTTTTTCTGTTCACTATGCGTGTGTCGTCGTTTCTTTTTCATGTTTTTCGCCCGTGTCGCCCGTGAGTGACGAGACTTCACGATAGTCGTTAGCGCACCCAGAGTGCTAGTACGTTAGAGTCCGTCAGTAGATTAAGTTATCGTATCGTAACCAACTCAACCAACCAAAGCAGCCCCCAGGTTACATAGGGTCCAGACTATTTTCGCTTGCAGCTTGCTTTCGATGGTCATTCACTCTCGTCTTCCTTGATTGCTCAGCTCATACCCGCCCGGATGCACGATACCCAGCTTTAGAGTTTTTTTTTTTTTACAATCCTTTCCTCCCACTTCGTATGTACGTAGTTGTGGAGTCGATTTTTGTGTAGTTACGCATCCAGCTACGGGTTCCACGCAGGGACGACGAGATCTCGAGGTTTAATTGAGACATGGAGCCCCGCTAATTTCAATGCAAGCGGCGACGTCACTGCTCAACAACAACAACTCAACGCCGCTGGCACGCAAAAACGGGAGTCACGGTCATGTAGAAATAAAGGGTTACCGATAAATCTTCCAGACAGAACACAGCAGCCCCATGCGCAGCCGGTAGCACTAGGTACAATCCGATTGTGGAAGGGAAGACGGGAGTGTTTCCCAGGTCAGGTCTCCGACTCGCTACCTGTTTTGGGAAGAAGTTACTTATATAGGTAGTAGTGTGTGCACTGGGCTTTCCCAGAAAGAACGCGCAAAGCCCAGCGAGCCTCCCGTGAAACATGCAGTAAGCAAAACGAAAGGACGAAGAGGAAGAGAGAAGAGGAAGCAAAATCGTACGATCCATGCTCTCTGATTCGCAGAGAAAATACACCTACGAATCGTGGGATGTCAAGACTTTCCTTTGCCTCTAGGTTCAGCGAATGGGCAGCTTCGTAGGGGCTAGAGCGGTTAATCGACGCCCAGTTTGGAATGACTGAAGCGCAATGATCACGCAAAATACCTAGACTTGATGCCCAATAAGGAACTGGACCGGAAAACAGACCTTATAAAAAGGAAACATCAGACAGATAGAAAAAAAGCAAAACGAGCACGTTAGATCCTACGCTCGAGCCAATGTTAGACCAGAGGTTTATCAAAACACCACGCTGGCTGATGATTACGCCACCGGAGTACCGGAGGGGTTCAGGGTGCCCAGATAGAACCTTATTTGGGACCAGAGATCTGGTGGGGCCCTGAGAATAGCCTGACTGTCACGTAACGCTTTTAGGGGGTTGGTGATAGTAGAGATGAGTGAGTCTTCTATTCTGCAGATATTTTGTGATGTAGGTAGGTAAGACTCTGGTCGTTATCATGTTGTTTCCCTTCCATTACCGGGGAAGCAATATTAGGATTGGGGTCTTTGTGTCTGGCTTGGTACTTCGGTCACCCACGTTGATTTTGATTTGTACCATCTATCACGCAACAACGTTAACATACATACACATACATGAGTTACATGGTATGTAGATTTTTTTCTACCTATTTCTCCACAGTTCGATTTAGAATAATTTTCTTCTTTCTTTTTCTTTCTTTTTTTTTCTTCCGTGGGGAAAGGCCGAAGTCAATTTTGTATCATGCACATACATACCTCACAAAAAGAAAGGCAGAAAGAATGAAAAAAAGTTAATTCTTTTTCAGGAAACATTGAAGTCTCGGAACGGAAAGTTCTTCTTACCTCTGCATAAGATCAGCATCGTATAGGAAGGCTACACACGGGGAGTTACTGAATGTACCGGAGCTTTATTCATCTCCTTCGAATCATTTCCAGTGGAGCTCTGTTCATAGGTGGGGCAATTATTCACAACAGGATGGTCCTGGTTCTTCTCAACGGGCGTGACTGGAGATTGCCGTGACGGTAGTTGCGCTTAGTGCGCGGTGTTGAAGATCTTCAGGCATGGAAGAAGATCTTGGAGAGAAAAGAAGTGTCTTTACCGAGCCGTGGAGATCATGTCTTTGGGTTCGGTTGTACCTTCTTTTGCACTGCAGATCTATTTTCCTCGAGTAAACTTTCCTTCTCGTAGTCAGAGCCAATTCTCTGTAAAAGAACCTTGCATGCTAGACTCCAATATTCGGGAGAATATTTGCGCACTTGGATGTGCGTTTCTTCGGGTTATTGCTTTGACTTGAGAACTTGTAAGCAGTATAGAGCTGGATGCCTAGGATATTGCCATTTAGGGATGCGTTCTGAGCGTCTTTATAACTATATATGTAGCCGGAGTATTGTTTGTAGCTGCCGTATTAAGAGTGACATAACGCAAGCCCTGTGGAGAACTAATACTACCCAGGTAGGTACATGTAGTGAGTGTTGTGCACGAGCAGGGCATCCGTCCTCGAGCAGCCCCGTGGACAGCAACACCAAGCAAGCACTGGTTAACATTCAAACAACGAAACCCGCATCATACTGTAGAGTTCAGAGGCTTACTTGGCAAAGCAATTCGTCCGGTAGCATCGTTCAAAATGGCTCACTCGCGGTAACAACTTTTTGTCTTTAGCCCACCCGGAGCTCCTACTGCATTGGATAAGCAAGTAAGTATGGCAGAGGCCATTAGCTGTGTAGGATGACATTCAGTAGTTAGCGAGGCAGGTGGGGGTTTTCTCTCCCCCGTATTCCTCCCACAACGTGTCATTCGTCATTCGTCGTCCGAGAAGCGTCACTCGCAGAACGTGTCCGTCTGAGTGTTCGCCGACACTCGCACACGGGAAAGGGTTAGGGTTCCTAGCCAGCCAGCCGCCGGGTCACCAACCAGCACTCGCCACCATTCACCACACCCCCTTACTTCAGTTCTGCTCGCCCCAATTATCACCGGAACCAGAAACATCTCCATGCATCTCAACCCCGCAAAGAAAGAAAAGAAAGAAAGAAAAGGCATCCCCGGAATGATGGCCGCTTTTCCCATCCCAACGTGTCGGTAGACTCACATGTATAGTCTACTCAACAAACCTTATCACCCCACAATACCCCAAACAAGAGGAGTGCATTGGAAGCTTAAGAATAGTAGTTCTGAAGCAAGGGAGCGACTGGAATGGTGGCGCTCCGGCTACATCTTCCGGAAGGTCTCGTGTGATGGAAAAGAAAAGGAAGCAGGAGCAGAAGCAGAAGCCATCTAGAAAACTCACACCGCATTGCGGCTTCTCCGCCCGAGACAGATGAGGGGTGGGAAACAAATGTTTCACAGATAACGGGCCCATTGAAACTTGTGCATCAATACACATGGGAAATTTTCAAAGCGGTTGTCTATGGGGGGGATGGGGTTTGATTCTGGGATGATGCACCGGTTGCGGGTTGCGGGGCGGAGAGTGGAGGTGGGAATAAGCAATACTCGGATCAGGTACCCGAGTTATGTGTAACTTGGAAACAAAACGAAATATTTTCTGTCGCTATGGGCCTATGGTTGTTACAAAACAACAAACAGTCCAAATCGAAAGTGGTTTCCAAAAGAAAGGAAAGCTTAGCGCAGGCAGGCAAGAAACCAGTAGGTATGTACATGTATGTATGTCCCGCCTGAAGCTGGCTATTATCACAATCATTGACATACGGCTACAGCATGTGCTCGACGTACTTGCAATTGTCAAATACCATAGTCGTAGTCTGACTGACCGACGGTATGCCTTCCGGTTCGGCACTTCCCGTGGTTGCTTCCAGATGATTCGGGGGAGGGTTATTCGCGGGGCATTATGGCGGGGCGAAATTTTCGGTATGGCTAAGAGGTATTATGACTGGTTGAAGAAATTTACAAAACCTGACCCTATCCCACAGATTATTGGTGAATCTCACCTTCCGGGTGCCGAAAAACAGGTTAAGTGTTTGTCCCGAGCCCGTTTATGCGCAATTAAATGCCTACCGGTACCGAAAAAAGCTACCAACCAGGATTCGGTGATGTTCTATTCTGTAATGCGTATGAGATAGTTACTCTATTCGGATACTGTAATTCGTGTGGGAACGGGTAGACGATCCTTCGCCTGCGGGCCCAATACCATGACTTCAAAGCTACCAATCATTGGCCCAACGGCTGTGACAGTTAAGGTCTCATCCTTTAACCAGTGCACAGTGCACAGTGCACCGTGTACCGGCGCGGGCGTGCCAATGCCCGTCCACCTCATGTGTAAGGCCTCCCTCCCTCCCCGCCGGCCGGTTGTGCAACCACATTAATTGCGTGCCCCATGATTCCTGCTCACCAGGAGAATTACTAAACGAGTTTTTCATTTTTTTTTTGCTTTTTTTGCCGTTTGATGATGTAGGATTACGGGGCTTGAGATAAAGACCTGAAGGTGGTCATCATGGATGGAGTATTTAAAGCTTCACCGATTGCCCCCCGAAAGCTAACTTTTAAAGTAGCCATCCAGCGATAACTAGAACAAGATTCCCTTTGAGAATAAAATTACTCTGATTCCTTTAGTCGATCCAAACCTTCACTTTCACTCAAACACTCAAAAATACACATTCACCAACCATCGCCCGCTACAATGTACAAGGCTAGAACCATGACAATTCGCTTTGACCTCACTCCGACTACTCCTTCAAGCCCACTCAAAGTTAGTAGTCATTGTCATTACCATCACAATCGGTCTAATACTCATAACTGTACTATATATAGAAACCCATGGCTCCGGGCCAGTACCAGTCGATACATCTACGCCCCAGCTACTGCTTCCTCCCGCTCACGGCAGACTGGAAGAAAACCACCGTGACATAATTCATACAGTAAGTACAGGCCGTCGACATGACTCAGAACCATTGCTGATATCAGTGTTCATCACTAGCTATAGCTATCTTTCAGGAGTGTTTTCCATATGTCAGGCACAGGGTTAAAATGCACGGGAATGTCTTCGCGGGGTGGGGGAAAATAGGAGTTACGGGTTTCTATATTGTGTTTGTTTTTTCCCTTGTTTTCTTCTTACATTCATTCATGGGTTTTTTTTTTCGCTTGCCAGTAGATTATGATTGTTTTTCCCGAAACTGTACTGTCTTTAATCTCCTATGTCTAGTATATAGTACCAAATGGGGCCTTCTTACCCGGGGGGTAATAAATGACATATTTGACTTTGCTTTTTACTATGCGCACGGCGGATTGAGGTTGTGAGTGGCCCCTTATCGGGGCATTTAGTTATGCTGTGATTTGCTTAAGCTTCAAGCCGATAGACGAACAGAATAGACCTACAAATGGAGGTGTGCTGACTGCTTCTCATTACATCAGCGAGTTATGTTGGCTTGTATGATTGTCTATAAGAAACGGTAATTGATTGATTAATCATATTCCGGTCATAAACCATAGCTTCGAAGATTCAGTTTTCGGTCTTACCACCTCCACTGTGCTACTACAAATTATGATAGCAGAAGTGACGCTTAGAATATGAGGAGATAAGGCCTGCGCGTGCATCTAACATTCACCAACAGGATATCGTCCATTGCAGTGATGTAATCATGGGTTATCACTCGATATATTTATTAGTTCCATGCTTTTATAAGGCGCGCCAGATCATTGCTGATTAAGTACATATACTTAGTAATAGGCCAAGCTCACTCTATTAAGTAAGCATTGAGAAATCTTACTTCTAATTCTATTGGATGTCTAAGAATATGGGTGAGAAGCAAAGGTTAACTTTGAGAGTGTAGTCTACTATCTGGCTCGATTAAGTGAAGCCTGGCTTTTAAGCTCTGGCTGACTTTTGTGGCCCTTTAAAAACAGATGATGGGGCCCAAGCTCCCAAAACAGGCGTATGAACTTGGCCCGAGCTGGTAGGTCAATGATCGGTATGACATGATATTCTTCCGATAAGTACCATACCGGTGAAAAAGGGGTTTGAGTACGAAGTATTCAAAGAGCCAGTAGCCTGGAGGCCCTCTAGTCCTCCTACAGCCATTATATCTCACTATATTCTAGCGAAAAGCGAAATCTCTAAGCTCGAGCCCGCTAGCACTGAACAAGCCGAATGCTCTAGGCGACTCTGCTTAAGGACCATACTACGAATCAGAGTCCTGGTATTATGTGTTACCAGAGTACCAAACTCACACACCTTTATATGTGGGTGTTTGAAACCCTTAAGAACCTGAGTGTTCACAGGCCAGATAAGCTTTTCTTTTTAAAACATAAGTCTGACATGGTTCAACTCGTGGATCACATTAACACGGCCCGGCCTCCGGCACTGTCAGTTCTGCGGGGTATAAGACTGTTTAACGTAGTACTGCGTGAATTAATATACGCAGTCGTGATACCACGCAACCCGCTGTTTGGGGACGAGTTTGATAGTTGATAGCCTAGATAGCTCAAATGAGTTGAGGAAATTATAAAGAGTTTGAAAACCGGGGCTTTTTTTTCTTATCTGTGAAGTTTCAGAATATCCAATGAGGCAGTGGTGTGTAATGGAATCATAGGCTATCACTCGGTGTGACATAAACCAAAAGAAAAAAGGATTTCTAGAGGGAATATAGGGTCTGCGGGGGGTTTACTCGGTTCTATTGCATCTTCGTGTAGATTATTATATCCCAGACCGCTGCAAAATACTATCGGATTCCGGGGCTCATTGAAAAAAATGGCATTTTTCAACATTTTCCTGTCATCCTCTTCCCCAATAAACTCTTTTCTATGGAAAGTCCAATCGCTACATGTAGGGGTAGTGGTGTCAGAACCATCTGGAGCGCGGTTCGGAGCAATTATACTTTTCTTTGTTACTCGTTGAGTCAGCGAAGAAACGACTGGTAATGCATTGCCTGATCGATAGGAGGGTTGATCATGAGGTGGGGTAAAATATTTCTCCTGTGGGGGCACAAGCCTCGGTTTCGTGAAGTGAGACAGGAGTAAAATTAAGTTGGTCACCACCGGAGTTGTAAATGTGCGCAATCCTACTTATGTCTCAGTTTCTGCGGGAATAGAGGAAATGATAAAGATTGGGGGGAACACGGGCCCGGGCGTGAGTCCTACTGGTACTAGTACGTATCTTGGCGCACAGATACTCACTCGGATAGAGAAAACCACTCGCTCACGGAACCTGAGGTAGCCTGATAGAGAACACTCTAAAATTTATAAATTGAGGGGTATATGGATTATAGGGATTTCAGCTTCTGTAGCTTCACGATTGTAACTCCGCTCTCACTCACTCGGGCTCGGTCGCTATCACCCTACGTGGTTTAGCCGCGCTCGGTTCAGTCTCCCACTCTGGCGGCTATAGTCTCATGCTGTGGTCTCTGAAGAAACCTTGCCAGGGCCAAGAGGAGAGGTGGCTTGGTTGATTTTTTGATAATCCATTGATTGTATGAGAGGTGGCTTGACCGCTGCGGAGATATCTCAACAGGTGGCTAGTTCTGATCAGAACTATACAGCTGCGTGAATTCGCCCTTCTCTTCCACTAACACCCCATCCAAGTTATATTTCCGTCTCTAGCTTGAGGTCAAGGCATTCCGTCTAAAATCCCTTAATCGAAACGGTGGTACGTTAGCGTTATACAGCACATCATAGAGTTAGTTGAGTATATTCACATGAGAACGTCTGCAACTATCGTGTGTCGGCTACTTACCGCGAGAATGAAACCGCCAGTTTCCGATGCGATAGCGGGTTGCAGTTTGAAATGTGGTTGGGAGTCTCTCTCGCGGCGGGTTTAAACACACATCCCCGAGCACGATACGTCGATTTCCGTCATGGGATAGCACTCGGGGGAGCACACGACAACCTCGATATTTATAGCATTACCGCACGTGCCCACGAAAAAGTGAACCATGTCACGCGGCCAGTCGCCCAGATTGACCTAGCGATGCACCCCGCGGGGCAGGGATAGCAGGGATTAACAAGGTGCATACCCCTAGCCGAGGTTTGGCGGCTTGGTTTCGTGGTTTGGGTGAACAGACACTAACTTTTACAGAACTCTGGAGATGGGCCCTTTATCGTTGCCCCTCCACGATAAGTGACTTTGGACATCGAGTTTTCAATACCGTAGACTCGAAACTCAAATATTCTGGGACGCGTGTAATGTTTCATCCAAACCTTGTGATCTTGACTGCAAGTCTTGGCCGGTTTAGTATTACTCGGCTCTTTACTCCCGAAAAGGAGGCTTCTCCAGGGTCCAAATGGGAATCTTGATCCCTTGAGGCTGGAGTGGAGTGTCTACATATGTGCATCGGGGTAACTGAGGGTTCACCGCCCAGTGCTAGATTACTTCTTTCTTTCTTTCTTTCTTTCTTTAGCCATCATACATACCACGTCCGAACTCTCTTTTAACCTTACCTCTTCCCTCCTTGCCATTCCCAGCACAGCATCAAGGTACATACAGACGGACGACCTTGAACACGACATACTGCAAATCCTTCTTATCAACAAAAGGAAACAAAGATCTAGATACAGGTTACACGCCGTGAATATAGCTCCTGTGCTTATCCATTTCATAAATACCACTATCGCGCTTCTGGCCATGGCAAATCAAGCCCAACATCAACGGTACATAGACACATCGTCGGCGTCATCGTCACTGTCAGCTTCACCTAATGGAGAGTTACCACTCCACCCAGATCATGGCACCTATGGCTCTACTCCGATCATCCAGCCAGTCATTTCCCGGACGCTATCAAACATCCCCACACCTGAAAACAACAGTTTAGATCCTCCAAGGCGCAGACCATCCCGACTAGATTCCGCGAGCGGACGTTTAAAGGAGTATCATGCAGCAGCAGCCGCAGATGAGAACACGGTACTTGCCGCCCGAGGCGACCCAAGGAACTATGCAGCGACTATAACGACAACCAATCGTGAGAGTATTCGAGAAGATGTCAGGAAAACGTCAGACGGCTGGCTCGGGAGGTTCGGTGCGATAGAACTGGAGAACAAGGGCAGTGTTGCGAGAGACCATCTGGCTTTAGGTGAGTAGTCGTCTGTCGTCGACTTTCCCTGTTTTGTGGTGATGATTTCATTCGCTGGGGAGGATTATTGTTTTTCCAGACCCACACTCATCTTTCCTTTTTCTTGTCCTGCTTTTCCCAGCGGCCGGCACGATCGCTAATCGCAACCCTGGTAACAAAAAGAGCGAACGTTTCTAGCGTGGCTGAGAACTTCCCTTGCATTTGCTTCGATCGGTATGTTATCTCGAATTCTTTTTTCCCCATCATGTCCCAAATGCGCGAACGGCTCGTGTCATCACCAATCATTGGCCATCACCAAAACAAAACTGGGGGAAAGCCTTGCTTACTTTTTTTGCTTTTCCCGTGCAGGCATAGCCATAACCCAGCTTTTCCGTCTCAACGCCGCTGTCGTCACGGACCCGAATCCATCTGGTAAGTTGCCATTGCATTGCGTTGCCTTGCTCCGTTTTAACATCCCATTCCTGGCCGTGGTCGTGGTGGTTGTCGTTGGTTCATGGACAATCACCCGTATGTGTTGTCAGCGTTGGCCCGGCCACACCCCCATATCCATCGTATCAAAAACTCTTCATATGTCCGTCCAGAGTAACTAACTCCTTTGACCTCCTATTAGATGCAGGCTACACACCGCTCCGTCACATGGGCAAGCCCCTCGGCGCCACCTTTATCGGCATTTCATTGCTTGTTCTGATGATTGGTGTTAACCGGTCCGTTTACCTACTACCCTCCCCACTTGCCCAATATCAGGGGGTAAGAGATCATGATCGCCACAGTGGACTGACTGTATGTAGGTACTATGAATCGCAGACTTGGCTTATGAGAGGGAAGTTTCCCGCCAGTCGGGGAAGCATATTTCTATTGACTCTGGTGGCTTGTTTGGTTTGTTTCACTCCTCCGCGGCGATTCTACTCAGGGGCTAACTTACCAAAGCTTATGATTACGACGCTGGTGATTGTGCTGGTTGTGCAGCCAAATGACTATGAATTGTAGGTAATGGTAACGTCTAATGGAGTGATGGAGTGATGGGTTGTTGGCTTCTTCTTATTTTTTACTTCGGTGTTTTGTTTTTCGGATTAGCATGGCCTGCATCTGGTGTTTTGACTTCTTGGCTCTTTACTACTTACTGCTGGTAGTTATTACTACGGCGCATGCTACATTGTAGCTAGTACATACGCGGGAGGAGGATGATGATATGTGTATTTCTAGCGGCTCTGATCCCCCACGGAATTTATTTTGTTTTCATTTTTTTGTAGAATATCCACTCTACTTGGCTGGGCTGTCTATAAGTTGTCGATGGAAATACTAAGGTGATTAGCTATCCTCATTACAGTCGCCGTTTTTTACACTTTCCCTAAGCCAACTTTCGGGGTGAATAGAATGTTATTCCCGACTACACATCTACAGTATCTAGTTATGGATAGAACCCACGGTAAATGGGCGAGCTCAGAGCTCTCCACTTTTACTGGTCCTAATCCAATTCTCCGCAACCCTCTTAGATGAACGATAGTAACGAACGTCATTATCACTGCCAGCAAGTAACAAACGAAGGGCCCGTTCGGCAACAGGCCAAAACGGAGTTTAAGAGGTAAAAGCATCATTTCAACGAGGCCGCTTTCACTATTTTAAACTCCGTTCCGCCCAGGTACCGAGCGGCCACTAACACGTCCGAACCCCAAAGCTACCACCAAGTAGGGAATCATTAGCTCCATAAACCAAGCTGCTGCTCAGGTAGTCATGATAGTCATTAGTTAGTGTCATAGTGATGTACAGTCCACACGCAAAAAGGCCTACTGCAAAAGTCCGCACTACCGTCGTAGGTCCGGGATAACGTCCTCTATATCGGCAATGTTGGCGCCGTCACCTTCACCTTCGTCTTCGATTTTGACCTTCCGTCTCTTACTCTGTACGGGGCTCATGCTCGCCCCTTTCTCCATCTTGATACCAGACTCCTCTTTTACGTCCTTCGCTGCACTTTCGTCTGCGCCGTCCTCTTCTTTGATCTCCTCTTCTACGCCCTCTTCATCCTTTACTTCAGCCTTCACAGCCTTGCCCCTCCGTGCCTTCGGCACCCCAACCCAGGCCCCTCGACACCATCCTGTTTCCGCGAGACTACACTCCCCGCACCTGCGTCCCCTAGGTAAACACACGCTCTGCCCAAAGCCAACAAGAAGATGATTGATCTCCCTCCACCTGTCTCTCGGTAGCCATGCCTCTAGTGCAATCCTTGTCTCCTCGGGCGTGTTGGTGCTCACCCATCCCCACATATTAGTGATCCGATGGACATGCACGTCCACACCAATGCCCTGCGTATCATCCCAGGCGGCCGACATACACAAGTGTGCCATTTTTGGCCCAACCCCAGGTAGAGAGCAGAGGTCTGCGATAGTATTGGGGATGTCACCGCTAAAGCGATCGCGTAGGAGGATCGCGGTGGATTTGAGGTATATTGTTTTGCGGTTGTGGAAGCCAACCTGGGCGCATGCTAGTTAGTTAGGGTAGTGGTGGGGGCCCGGGGGTTTGGGGGGGGGGGGGGGCAAACGATGTAAATGAGCTCGTCGAGGCGCTTTGGCTCTACGGCGAGGATGCTCTCTAAACAGAGACCTCCAGGGAGTCCCTCCCGAAGCTGTTTCATAGCAACGGCGTTGACAGTATCCTTCGTCTGACTGGAGAGCATGAGGGACACGAGGGTTTGGAATCTGCGAATCTTGGGGGTTGAGGCAGCGTCCGCGAGGCGCTCGCAGCCCATTGTGTCTACTGGGGCGGGGATGCGGGAGCGCATTTCGCGGATAGCAGCGTACATCGCTTGCCAGTTTGGTGGAGGGTTCGTGGAGGGTGTGCTGTTCTTTTTGGTTGTCCCATGCTTGCGTTTGTTGTTGGTGCTGGAGGGCTTGAGGTGTGCAGGTAAGTCGCCGAGTTCGGGGGAGGGCTCGGCCTTTATTGCTTCCTCTATCTTCACTCCTAGTTTTCCGCGCCGCCCCCTACTGTTTGCTGGTAATCGTGACTTCTGTACCGCTTCCGTGGCGGTACCGGGCTTCTGGAAGTACCGCGATGTTGTTTCATTCTCGCCATCGCTCAATTCGAACTCAGATGCAGTATCAGTAGAAGCCACAGAGCTCAACTCGGAGCTTAGCGCGTTGTCGTCATCGTCTTCACGTGATACTTCGACCTCTGGTTGTTGTCCCGGAGATTTCTTCCGTGCTATTAGGGGTGGTCGTGGTTGCGGTAGTGGCCGCTTCGTGGCATTATTATTACTATTATTTGTATTTGTATTGTTACTTGTATCAGCTACAAGTACTCTCTTCCCAGCAGTCGCAGCAGCACGAGTAGACATCGTGATCGAGGTTGGTTGGTGGGTTGGTTGGTGGGTGGGTGTTTATCCGGTTAAAGGTGACCTTACCCCCGGGATGTGATGTTGATGTTGATGATGCTGTTGTTGTGCGATATGCAGGGCAAGAAGGCGCGAGGTGTGTCAGTGATGCAATCGAACTCGTGGATTGGAAGTGTTTATTAATGCCCGCAACTGAGTTTGGTTGGACAGAACAATCATTCCCCAGCTTTTGATTTTTGTTGAGTTGGTCGATTCGAGTTGTATGTAGTCGCGCGGTACTCTATGTGCAGGAACTTTTCTCTGCGTTCTTTTCCACTGTCGTCATCTTATCAACAGCCTCTTGTGATAACCACTAGAACTTCGTGCTTTAGTAATCAGCAGCGCGGCGGCGGAGCAGTGGCGCAACAGGGATCAACAACTCGCGTGCCTGTCTTGTCGTCTGTCAGAAGGATTTTCAGCATCGATCAGGAACCACACGCACAACCGAGGAGTGGCAATAATGCAGCAGGTCTAGACTTCAGACCGAAAATTTTCAGTCGGAAACAGCGGTAGTGCCACTCCTGCGGCGGTGCATGTGCAGGTACTCTAGAGTAGAAGCCCGCTTAATTGCTAATAACGGTCCGATCGCATGGCTATCATCATCCCTCCAGGTAAGTACGGGTACTTTGGAGGCCCATGCTGTTCTGCGTGGAGTGGAGCGAGTAAGACGATAACCACATAGGTACATGTAGATAGGTGTTCTCTGTACAGTATCGGTAAAAGATTGTAGAGCATGTATGTAGCATACCTAGAGATCGAGCCTACCTGCCATTTGATCTGATCACGATAACTTCAAGGGTTCAATCACCAACCGCCTAAGTACATAAAGTACCATGAGGTGCAACATCCATCATCACTGAAACCCCACCTACCCGCATGCGGGAAAAAAAAAACATCAAGCCCTTAGGTGGGGGAAGAGGAGGGGAAGGGAGCAGGATGTCGCATGACGATGCGGTTGAAATGGTTAATCGAACTGCTCGAGATGCTGCAGAAGAAGAAGGGGAGAAAGAAACTCCGAAACACCAAATATATATGCTTAGTGGATGATTATATGAAGTAGAGGATAACATTTACTTACCAGGGGCTCTGTGTATCATATCCTTGAACCTCCTCGTCGGAGATACTGGAGACACTGTAACTTCAACTTCAACTTAAGGACCATTAATATCATTCAGGTTAATAGGTACGATATCGACTCGACTCGACAACAAAATCAGACTGGACTCGACAGACAGGTACAAAGACCTTACCTACCTTACCGGCCAACCTGCCTGCAGATATGCTAGGATGCAGGCCAGACCGGCAGAGTATGTAGATAGAATGGTCAGATACTTTATACACACACACATATACACACACCTGTAGTAATCCAGGAACAGCATCACATCACATCACATCAGCCAACGTCACTGGTGAACAGTTAAGGGCATTTATCTATTGTTTGTCGTCTGCATGCAACCTCCTACTCTACAAACGAGACAACCGCGACGCTGGCGCCGGTTCGGGAATGCACATCTAGAAAGGGATGGATGCAGGTTAATAATATGGTGGGTTAGAAGCACACGTCGAAACGCTTGCTAGCAGGTCGAAATCCACGAGTTGATTATATCGTCCGTGTATGTCAACTTGCGGCATGTCCTTGCCGAGGATGTAGAGCACAAGTAGGTACATGGAGTTAATTAAGCTATTGGGGTTGCACTCGAAATGGCGGAAACCCTCTGTTTCTTATCTTTCTCTACACAAGCAGCACATGCACTGTGCTTTGTTTATACTCACTGCACCTGTTGCACTGATGCACCTTCTACACAAATATGACGGAGGATAGACTGTTTGGAAATTCCTTGCTTGCTTGCTATCGAGACTTCTATTATTCCCTCAATCCGCAACACAACAAAAAGGAGACAGGGCCCAAAATGTAAAAAAAAAAGAACATCGCTAAATTCGAAAAGTGAGAAACGGAGGAACTGAAACTAAAACCCAACCCCGTCCCCCGTAACCGAAGAAATCTGGACAAAGAAAATCTCATAATTTACAGAAAGAGTATAAAACCCCCGAGGCGCCGGATATCTTCCTTGAAATCCTGCTCGCAATTAAAGCCCCCCAGGCCGTCAACCGTCAATCTTGGGCGGCTTTGGGGTGACGAACGATGACAAGGAATCCAGAAAAAGAGAATAGAAAGGTATATATGCCGAAGAAATTGAGCCCGAATGAAGAAAAGGATATAAAACAGACGATATATTAAACCTTCCCGACGACGGTCCTTTCCGAGTTCAACTTCATCGCGTTTCGGTCATGTGATTCCTTTTTACAGTCCTCCAATCCTGTGCATTTGTGGTCTTCCAACAGACGATGTCGTCCGCAGTAGTGTCCATCGCAGAATGTGCAATCGCCGACGATCCTCTGAGCTGCGTTGGTGCACTCCTTGAAGTTGCATAACCTCTTCTTAGGGGCACCCCCTCTCAGCCGCAGAACAAGGTGGAGGGTAGACTCCTTCTGAATATTGTAGTCCGAAAGCTAGGGGATAAGCGTGTTAGTTATGGGAGACGCTAGGAAATTCGGAGTATAAAACTTACAGTTCGCCCATCCTCAAGTTGCTTTCCAGCAAAGATCAGCCTCTGCTGGTCTGGCGGGATTCCTTCCTTGTCCTGAATCTTACTTTTGACGTTGTCGATAGTATCCGAGCTCTCAACCTCCAGGGTGATTGTCTTGCCCGTCAGAGTTTTTACGAAGATTTGCATTCCTCCCCGTAGACGTAGGACTAAGTGGAGAGTGGATTCTTTTTGGATGTTGTAGTCGGAAAGCTAAGAAGGGGAAATAATTAGCGCCGCTTCTAAAGGGCGTGAGATGCGTCTCGATGACTCACAGTTCGGCCATCCTCTAGCTGCTTGCCAGCGAAAATCAGACGCTGTTGGTCTGGTGGAATGCCCTCCTTGTCTTGAATCTTACTCTTAACGTTGTCGATGGTATCTGAGGATTCAACTTCGAGAGTGATGGCTGTGTGATTGTTAGCAGGCAACTCGATGTGGCAAAAGCGGAGCCAGTGACTGGAGATGTTTGTTTACTCTTTCCAGTGAGTGTCTTCACAAAGATCTGCATTGTGGTAGATATGTAGGTAGCTTCAGGTAAATACTCTGGGTTGGTTGTTGGGAAGAAAGATGATATTGTTGGTCTCTTTCTGTTGGTGGTGGTGATGGGAACTGGTCAAGAAGACAAAGCTCTGGAGTTATTCGGATATAAAGGCAAAGGCCTGAGATGAGGGCGAAGATAGAATGATGGAACAAGGGACGATGTGAAGGAACGAAGGCGGGGAGAAGAAGCGCAGAGGGAGAGTGTAGGATCATTATATATATACCAGCCAAGCCTGCCAGGGATGATGTGCTGGAAGGAACGAAACGGAGCAGCTATGCTGCACTGCTGAGCATGTGGTGGCGCCGCAAAGCCTGCACGAATAACGGAGCAGGTGGTGGACCAGTCTCATCCCAGATTGGGGGAGGGGGCGGTGGACCACTGGGGGTCGTCGGCATCGTAAGTAAGGTGGAGCAGTGGCCGCCATGGTCTGGTTTTCATGATGGTGAACCACACCGCTGGTTATGGTGTCGTAAGCAACAACAACTGGAGGTAGAAGGCAACGGATCTTTTGTCCCTTCCTTGGGAATGAAATGAAGCCCTCATGATTCATTCAAGGAGATTGATTACGACTGACTATGCTCACTCGACTGGGAATACTTGTATATACTAACAGTCCAAACACTCCTTCTTTGAAGAACATCCATATGTATGCATGTACCTAGATGCCTGGCCAGTCTAAGTCCATATGCAGTAAATCAAACGAGACTATATGTAACTACATGTAAGCCCCCACCCCTCGCGATAGCGGTGTCCACCAACGGTGATTTGACCTGGAGCTACCTCTTCCTAGCTCTGCTCCTGCTTGTAACTGTATGGCTTCCCGGCCATACGATACAGATACGATACCCACATCCTATCACTGACACCTACATATCACCGTGAGATTTCGGGCCAAACAGCCCCTGGTAATCGGTAAACTTCGCATCCCCTCGCGTCGGCAGCATGTAACCATCTCAAGAGCCATAGAATACTCATTGAGCCCATAAGTTCGAGATTTGCTTATTAGGGTTGATAAAACGGGCATGTCTGGGTGCGCTACCTAAGAGGCGCACCACCCAGGTAGCAGCAATCATAGGGTCCATCTATAGCTACATGCCTATCCACCCAGCCTAGCTCTTCTCTGGAGGGTTCCCGAAACTTCGATGTTCCAGGCTTTGGTTGGAACCACGACAGCACTGGTAGCGATGGAGAAGAAAAGAACCCTTGCTTTGCTCACTTGGAAGAACACAACTACTGCCTATTCCTCTATTACAATATGTACCTACATACTCTAGAGTGCCGGTTGCCAGGGTCGGTATTTATTCAGTCCTCCATGCACAGATATTCTGCGGGGGAATTCAAAAAATGAAAACAAAGAAAACGTGACCCTTGCTGATTTGGAATCTCCCGTGCAACGGTGGCCCACATATGTAGAGTAACAAGAGGTACATGTGGGAGCCTCCTCCCTTCGGACGTCATTTTATCTTTGCTATTAAAATTTCCCACTTCTCGACCTGCTCACCCCACTCTTTCCTTCTTCCCAGACAGATATTTGCTTCCATGACAAATTTACCTATTTGACCTGAGCGATGCAGGCAGGATTAGGAAAAAGGGACCAAAAGGAAAGAGAAAAAAGAAAACTACGATCATACGAGGCGGGAGTACCAGAGAAAAAGAAGAAGCAAAGTAGGTACAGAACCAGGGAGAAAGGAAGAAAGCAAGGGAAAGCGAATGCATGTGAGGGAAATAAGTCAACCTTCAAACACTACTAGTATGCCTCTCCAAGATCACTTTCAGATGGCAGAAGCTCTCTTCACCTGTTGTCTATTAGCTCATAGACAGCACCAGCAACAAAACTCGGTCTCGTCCGGCAAAGCAAAAGGCTGGCAAGCAGGCAACCATCAATTTACACCACAAGAAGAAAAGAAATACATGTATGTTCTAACGCCCCTCCCGGGTCCCCTCAGAAGGGAAGCTCGAACAGCAGTACAAGCAAATGTTCAAAATATTTTCCCTTTGAAATACGACTGGCTACCACGCATATATTTCCCACCACGTCGTTCATTCATCCACGGGTACCCGAGCCACGAACTCATACACATGACATTTAATCAGCGCGGAAGGATGCCTTTTGCCACGGCAACTTATAAGTAGGAGAGAAAGAGACAACAACGAAACAACAACGGGTATTTTTATTTTTATTTTTATTTCTCGATAAAATACTTTGCTCTTCTTGCCTGGTACTTGCCGTGGTCATCCTCGCAGGTTTTGCGTCGACTGTTTTCTTTGGTCTTCTTTTGAGCGGCAATCCTGGTACTGGTAGCAGGTCAGTTCTGTCTGAAACTGAGCTCGCGGGTTGAAACCACTGTGTGGGTGATGTCAGTTCAGATTTACTCAAAGCATGAAGAGAAAACCACCACAGTAAGAAGAGTGTGAACTGGCGCGCGACAGTTTAACTGCTAGCTAGCAAGAGGCGCGCCTTTGAAACAGTTGATCTATGGCGCACTTCAAGGGGCCGCTGTTGATTGCAGAATGATTGCCGCCAGTTAACGTGGGCAAGTATTTCGGCCCCGCGAGTAACTAAATCGGGTCTTGGGTCTCGCTCTGAGTACTTGCGCGAAACGCATGCCCTCCGAATATGCTAGTGCCGATCTTGTGTGTTGCTATGTACAATCTATTAACCTTTGTGCCTGAGCGAATAGAACAACAACCTAAGAAATAAATATATCCTCGTGACCGCCACGCGGCGGACAGCCAAAAGCAATAAACAAACGTCGAATTTGGAATCTATCAAAGGCCCGAATTTCGAATCAGTTGATCTTCACGACAACAAATCGCGCCGAATGGCTGTCTTCCAAGCATAGAGGGGTTTTTTTTTTTGCACTACCGCGAAAATGCAGAGCTTTAGTGGGGTGAGGGAGGAAATGGGGCCCCGACTGGTAACGATGATATTTTACACAAGAGTTCTCTCCGTCTGTTTCGAGTTACCGACGACAATCCCCTACATGAACATTGTTCGAAACACCCTTGCCGAAGGTGCGATTCACACCAGGCACTCTACCGACGATCTTCCCGTGACGGATGAACGGCTGTACCGGTATCACATTCTTTTCATCTTCGCTCTATCGATAAATTCGGCTATAGATACCTTTGCATACTTGCTGTTTTGCCAAGGGTAGTGGAAAATGCGTCGATCTCAAGATCGATTGCAGCTGTCAATCAATGCTTGTCTAACTTTTACCCAGATACGATTCATAACACAAACATTTCAGCCTTCAACGAAACAATTACATAGCCCCTATCCGTCTTATCAACACAATAGCGACTGGTTTCTTTCTGAATTTTGTTGAAAAGCATCTCCGGTCGGCGCGGGGAACCGCGAAAATAATTGATCGATGGGGAAAATGGTTAGAAAACGATGGGACATTTTTGGCAATCAGTGTGATTTAAATTTACCCGACCGGCGAGAGACATCATCTGGGTGGTTTGATAAGAGCGGGGTTATTGGGAGGGGGGATTACTCGAGTATGTGACGAGTGATTGGATGTGACTTGATACCGAGACGATTCATTACGGTCGACCTCCCAACATTATACACAATCAATTCATGAGCCTGGGTAATATAAACTATAGATGGTTACTTATTATCCGCTTATTCCCTACCCTATACTATAAAGTGGAGCATTGCCCTACAAATAGCTGTGGAACCTCCCCGTACGTGGATATATCATTTGAACATCAAGAATCGATTAGACCCGACTCCCATCTGAGATGGCAATAGATGATTAGCTAAGGGAACCATTGGATATGCTGGATACCAACTAGATCCAATATATAATATACGTCATCATCGATCACTCGGAACAGCAGACTTCTATCCTCACATTTTTAATATACGTTTTTTTTTTAATTCATTAATTGTATGCGGACCGTAGTCTATGACAATTTTTTTATATACGTAAACTAAGAGAAGAAAAAGAAAAACTGTCCTACGATTCCAATTATAACGAATACTTTTAAACTAGCTTTCAATATATGGCTATTTTAATGCGGCTGTAACAAAAGTGGGCAGAAGGAAGCTAGCCTCGTGGATTTTCTTATTATAATACCTAAACATCTTCTCCTCTTCGTCATCTGAAATAGACCTAAGTGGCTTTTTGACGTCCCTGGTTGCATCTTTGCTGCAAACCATAAAACCGATCTGACCAGATGGATAGGTCGGAACCATAGTGTAAGCATATTCGGCGATAGGAAAGACTTCGTGGTAGGCCTTCTTTAGATCTTTTATAAACTTCAAGTGAAGCCATTGGTTCTCAGCTATGCACCCGGAAATTAGTGATCTGTACCGAGGGAAGGATAAAACTTTGATTGAGCTCTGGTCATTCTCTTTCATTTTCTCTCTCCCGATCTCTTGTTTTGTAGTTGATGTGGGGATGAGTTTTCAGGAGTGGCGGTGGGAACTTGTTCTAGGGGCGGTTATTGCAAACAATAAAACAGAAAGAGTCGACAACCTTGTGTGGTGACAACTCCACCCTCCTGTTCATATATTAGTGCCTGTACGTCTCTATCTTATGTTTAACCAAACTAGGACTGAAAACGCGTCTTACTTTTAGCGCACCAAATAGAAGCTCGAAGTACGACTTGTGGAAAAGAGACTCTGCTGGCCCTTCCGGATCAGAGGAGTCGGTAATGATAACATCAAATGGATTTTTGTAATCTTATAGGAATTTGAACCCGTCACCGACGTGAATAGTTGTTTTGGGATTCTGGAAACCCTTAGACATGTGAGGGAGATATTGTTTTGAAAGACGGATCACGGCCTAATACGTGGGGTGTATGAGTACAGGTGAGTTGGTCACTCCCTATCAAGCTGCCTACCTCATCAATATCACAAAGAATAGCTTCTTCAACAGCATCATGCTTGACAACTTCGCGAAGGACACCACCGTCACCACCACCAATTATCAGGACCCTTTTAGGACTGGGGTGAGAATTCATAGCTAAATGCGTGATCATCTCCTGGTACCTACAGGTCATATAACCAAACAATTAGCTTTCTTAGGTTTAATCTAGAAACCTTAAACCCACGCAAACTCATCACGCTCAGTACACTGGATGACATTATCCAGAACAAGAACATTCCCATAGTCACTGCTCTCAAAACCAAAACCTGGGAGGAATTCAGTTAATAAACGTCCCTGTGTGGTTTTCTTTAAGAAGTAACGAACATCTTGGTACTTTGATTTCTCGTGATGCAATATCTTGTTGACCTTCAACGTCATAGCATGACCAGGCCACATGTTCGATATTTCACGGAACCATCCATCTACGAGTCATCTTCAGTCATGTATCGAAGATGAGGACGAGCATATATCTTGATTCCATATTCTCCAGGCATCAACATATTTTACGGACCCTGGATGGTCGGGTGAGTCTTTCTGGAGTAGAGCTTCCGGGGATTGACTTTGAACGGTTGCTACGTCATTCGTGCAAATCTTCTCAGCGAATCTGTCTTGTAATTAAGAAACAGTAGATATACTTCTAGGCAACATACGGTATAAAGTAAACGTGTAAATCGTCGTAGGGCCATGACTTTGTTTATTCCTTTTGAACACATATAATTATATAAGAAGTCGTATATGAATATGCTTCCTTTTCTGATCGGGGCGGAGATGAAGCTGGTAATATTGTCGAAGAACGAGTATACATGTAGTACGTATACGTATGTACGTATAGCTTGAGCCCACCATCGGGTAACTTTCTCTGAGCATTTAAATCCAGGTACATGTACGTATGTTTAAATAATCATAAGCTGGCGCCTAGCTGGGATATATTTTCCGTCACCGGGCCTATTAACCAACATATATGTGAGATTTGGCAAACAGTCACTGAGATTTTGTCTGGTTGGCCAATGCCTGCCGAAATTCGACAAAAGTCCAGTAATAGCTATATAGTATACAAGTGCAGTGCGGCCTCCGGGCGCGCCGCTATAGTCAGGAAATGGAATACCCATTCTGACTTGAATATCTATCTGTTTGTCCACATAGATTAGCTAAAGCCTCGGAGAGCAACAACTACACCGACCAATCTATTTACGTTGATCAATCGTTAAAACCTCTGGCATGAGTATGTAACTGTAGTTGTATTATATTAGTTCCTATTTCTCAATAAAGTGCTCACAATCAGGGTCGGGTGCCGCTGCGCAGCACACCGACCCCTCCTTGCTCGCACGAGTTCTTAATAAGATCTTGGAGTTCAAGGCTGATATATATGAGTTTATATAGCAGTTAATTCTAGCTGTGAGTACTGTTTGTCCTTCCATGTCAGCTCTCTTCCCGGCATTCCTCTATCTCGGGAGTAATTCTTTGTCTGTTTACGGTATGCAGTTCTAACCAATAGAAATGCTTCGTGATTACAATGAGGAAGCTTATACTATTTATAGATAGTGATGTATGACTGTTATGTAATATAATATATATGTGGCAGTATAGACGTAGACAGCTAGCTGATCAGCTGAGCTAGATCAAGCCAGCCAAATTTATAGCCATGATATTTTTTTTGACCAACAAAGAGTCAGGATTTCGGGATACAGTTTAAGAACCCAAAAACGAAAAAATTAAAACCCCGAATTAAACAACTGGAGTACTAGTCGGATTGATTGGTACTAGTAGATAGATCTAGCTATCTATTGAAATCTCTGGTTAGAAAACTACGCCATAATAAATTAATTTTGTTACTTTGGCTCGATCCCAGCTAGCTTACCAACCGACCTTTCTGTACATGTTGGATGGAAAGCTGAGATTGAAATTAATGGATCCAGAATATCCCCTTGTCTGCCAACCAATTAAATTGTCTCTAACTGGCCCCGGCCCGTTTCTGGCTCAGTATCTCTGCATGCGCAGACTACAGTGGAGTCTCGCGATAGTAGCATATGGTCGGAAACGAATCTTCGTGTGCTACTATCGACGAAAATATACTCGTATCGAGAACGAATTTGCCCATACCGAATCGGGGTATGCTATTATCGAGAATGCCACTATCGGGACTCCACTGTACCATTATTTTTGTCTAGTTTAATTTATTACCAAGAGCCATTATATAAAAAGTCAAAGAGGGCCTACATTTACTGCCATGATCTTCCAATTGCCCCCGCTCTACTATGATTCGATATTCTAGTCTACAGATCTGGCTATACCAGTAATTGCGAACAAAGTGTTTTTTATATGTAATTGGGGGTGACAACCTTTTACCGAGATGGATATAGAATATTGCAACCTTAAGGGGAATCCGGAATGAAAACTAGAAACAAAAAGCTCATAGTGACCCCCTCAATTTTTGGAGATCAAATACCATGTAAGCAAAAACGTTAACAGTACAATAGGTCATTCATCAATCGCCCCAGTTGGCTAATTGCAATGGGCTATCCGGCCGATTGGCCAATAATCAGCCCGAGTATCCGCGACGTCGACTACAGCTGGGACGGAACATATACATATGTACATGTACTTATGCATATGACGTAATCACTTAAACTCACCACTTCTATCTCCAATGACCTTAAAGCTCTGCTCAAATCTGGAGTAGCATTAGATCCCTCTCATACGTCTCTCTTTCTCCATTACTTGAAGAAAGAATAGGTGCTCCTCTATACGTATACTTCTCATTATCCATCGCTTCAAGCATATTACATCAATATTAAGCATGGTAGATTTATAAAGCATCACTTTATAATTTATATGATACAAACATCTATCAATTGCAAGAGTGATGGCACCAATTCAGAGCATGAAATTGGTGCGCGCGCGGCGCCAGCAGTGTCGATGATATTAAATAATCACGCTCGCCATCGACGAACCTAATCTTTGGTATGACGCCCTCTTCTTGGCCCCAATCATCCTGTATGTTATCTCGTAGGTTTTATAATTTTAAAGATCATTCAATTCAGCATATGCATGCAGAGACTTACTTCTAGACAAGCGGTTTTCGCCACGCTCTTCCCCCAAAGGGAATGTTCTACATTCCCAGCGCAGACATGTACATGTTCGTTCGCTATCGATCGTATATCCTGTGTCAAGTGAAGGAAGACATCGACTGCAGTACTGCCTATCCCTAGCTGTTTATAGTAATCGAGTATTTGTCGAAGTGGAAAATTCGAACAGAATATATTTGTTCACAGTCCACCGATTGTTAGAAGACACCCAAGTTATATAATGGCGTTAGAGGAGTCGAGTCGTGATTATTTCTGAAGGGAATTATATATAATTACGCATCATAGTACTTGTTTTACGTCGTCTCAGGAGCTCCCCCCATGCCAAGTAGAGTTGCTATATCCAAGTGAAGGCTCGGTCTGTGCGGCAAGAGCCTACATGTAGCTATATAGGTATATACTCACTGTATGATGAGTTTGGCTGCACATGTGGTTATGCTAACTACTACATGTAGTACAGGAGTTACCCGCCAACATGTATTTCTGTGCGTCATGAAATCTGACTCGGCCCACTTTTTGAAGGGCTTGGCGTGGGTCTCCTAGTGTTGTCCGCCCGCCGTCTCTTGCCAATCACCCTTCCTACACACGACACAACAACTCCTAGAACAATAGCCATTTCAAAGGAAACTATGGATACTGGCTTGAACGGCTCGATTTCGAGAGGTACTCTCTCAAGGTTCTTTAAGAGAGCTGGTTCAGAAAGCTCTGGGAGTGGTGATTTGCAACAGACGACATCAAGTCATAAAACTAGGAAACTAGGAACACTGTTTTCGAAAGATAGCCGGAAGTTATCACTATCCCAAACTATCGAACATGTTGCTTCCCTCTCATCCTCACCCATCACTCCCATCACCCCCACAACACCTACAACACCTGGAACACCTACTACCTTTACCACACCTACTACCTTTAACACACCTGCTACGCCTGCCACACCCCGCACCCCTATGGCAGGTACTCCCAAGGGAAGAAGAAGAGGAACAGTTCTTGAGGCTATTGCACCGGAGGAGGAGGAGCCGGAGCTTCGAAGCTACTTTGATGATGATACTGAGGACGAAGAGGAGCGGAATACCCTCCGTGCAAGGTACAATCATGTTCAGTCTGAAAAGGAAAAGAAAAAAAAAGGCGAGTAGAAATATAACTGACATTAGTCTAGAATGATGGCTAAAGTTACGAACGGTTTCAAATCCAAATCCAAGGTTCATGTCGGAGAAAAGAAGGAAACAGAAGAGGTAGGGGAAGTAACCAAGAGGCAGGAAACAGAGCTGCACAGGGAGCTGCATAAATACGAAAACATTAAAGTCCAAACAACAGGTAGCACAAATTCATTTAAGGTAAATCAAGGTGACCCTTCTGCTAACTTGTTGGTAGTTTTTGGGAGAGATACCTCTCAAGAGACAATTGATGATGATGAAATGGATTTTACTGCGACTTTTCATTATTTTGCAGAATTCAACCGCAACTATGTGCGCCCAGGACGTAATGAGGTTCTTCATATTCGTGATGGTGGTCGAGAATATATCACCGTGGAAAGAATAAATGGAGTGTGCAGTATCACTGCTGGTGTCTTTGAATGCATTGTCGCAGAACTGGCCCACCCCGTTCTCACCCCCCACGGTAGGTGATTAAACTACCCAGAATGCGAAATATTTACTAATTTTATCAAGATTACCCAAGTCTTTTTGACAATATGGTTTTCTGTGGGTCGATGCTTGTAGGAAATATTACGATGCTGAAGACTGTGTTTGATCAGCTCAAGACCAGTGTTGGAAATAGTGCTCAGGAGGTGAAGTAAGAATTGTATTATTTATTGGTTAGAACTCCTAGTCAGTTTTGCTAATATTCTATGCTTAGTCTCGTCCATTTTATTTTGCATTGGATCAAAGAAAAACCGGAAGACTTTAGTTGGTGTAATGAAATTTTGGAATTACGATTCCAAATATTTCGTTATGTTCTTGATACCTTCAAGAAAACTGTGCTATCCCGTAACTTGTATGGTGTTTCGGTTAGGCATCACAAGTTAGAAGAAGCCTATAAGATTTACGCAAAACATCAAAAGAAAGGTTGGGTCAGCTTCAGGGACATCAAGATGTCTTATGCCAGGCCAACTAAGTGCGACCTTGTGCCTGTTGGTCTTTCTACCATAAATATTGATGATTTGGCCAACTATATTTCCCTAGTCGTAAGTATATTCTCCCGGGGATCGACTTCTGTGTGCTAAAAAGTAATAGGATGTTATCCTCTTTCGTGATGGTTGTGAGATGGGCGCGTTAGATTCACACTGGAAGGAGAAGGCACAAATGGAAATTCCTCGGGAATACACGTCGAATGATTTCTTTTCTGAGAGCCAGGCCCCCTTTTGGTGGCCAGTTGAGAGAATAGAGAGAATTCTGGAGAGACAGAGAATGGTACTAGGTATCCTATTGATTGATTTTTAATTTTCTAACAGTAAATACAGGTCAAGCACTGGGTCGCATTGGAAATTATGCATTTAGATACGATTGCTTCTAGAACCCAGATGATTAAAGTTTTTATCTCCGTGGCGGGGAATTTACTGGAAATGTCAGATTTTCATGGTGTGTTTTGCATTGTGGAAGGTTTGCAGTGTCCAATGGTCCGCCATCTCGAGAGGAGTTGGGAGGTGAGTTCTTACAAGAGGAGCACCTTATACTATAACCTAGAACATTATTTACAAAAGGAAAAATAGGACATCGGTTATCTCCACCTGCGTTTGTTCAAACAGCTGAGAGAAATTGTCAACGATAAAAACGTTTATCACCAGTTCTTAGGAGTCGAAAGTGGAAACCCAGTGACCCCATACTATGGTTAGTTTACCTAGAATTATAAAAATCACATATATTAACAAGATGTCATCTTTAGCCCATTTTTTAGACGAGGTCACCGATATTCGCAATTCAAAAGACCATTCTGCACGTATCAAGTCAACTGGGACCAGTAAAATGCACCTGGATGCACCGTTAAGCAGGTTTGGAGTATGGGACACAGAAGATAGAAAAGCTCCCGTAACTACCTCGGAGGACGGCACGCCGCAAATACCCATATCTTTGGACTTTCAAAAGTACCGACGGCTTCTTTCCACAGTACAGAGCTATCAAAAACGCGCTCAGCCCGAATATAAATATTGTGGAGAGATCACAAGCGGCTGCTTTGTTCTGAAGCTCCATCTTGTTGGCATGAAGAACTTCGTTAATTTAGCGGAGATATCAGACATGACTTCTCCTGAACTTAAAGGGAGATTGGATGGGATGTCTCAGCTTATAGAGACCAGGATATTGGAAGCATGGTCACTGCAGCCGAAAAACGATATCCCGCCTGTCTACAGGGATGGGGATGCCACTCGATGTCTGGTATTACAGAATCTTCAGAGGACGTTGGGAAATTACGCCTAGTTCTATGAAAAGCTATGCGGCTGCGAAAACTTTCAGTGTATATGCTACTTTCATTCTGTTGTTATCAAATGCCGCTGTAATGCTCATATAACCTTGGTCGAGTCAGTTCCCGTTCATTTCTAGCGTTACATCTAAATAGCTCTGTTACGGTGCAATTGCGCAAGTTATTTGGGTTCACTTCTTCATGTATTTAAATGCTCTAGTACGTACAACTCACATAGTTTGGGCTTCATTATGACAGAATTAATGATGATTTTATAGACCCCGCATCCTTTATATATCGGGAAGCTTAATTAAAAACTCTCTCGGACTTCTAACGATATCATTACTATCCCTTAAGCTTATTATGAATAAATTAGTTAACCTTCCCTTAAGCTGCCATTAAAAACGCTGATCATTTTTCGTGATGTTTAAGAGTGTAGCTTTGTTAACAAACTTAAGATAATGAGCACCAATCAATTCTTCCGCAATTGCTATATATATGGCTTTTTGGCTCCACGAAATTCAAAGGGATCAGCATTAATCGACAGCTTAAAGAAGAGAGAAATTCCTATTTTCTCGCGGGGGCAGTCGGGGCCGGGCCAGCATATCCACCAATTAATTCATACATGTAGAGTAATGTCTGAAGCTTAAGATTTACCAGGGTTAGCAACTTGCAGGTTTGTAAATAATAGCGTGGCACATGCAGTCTGGGCACAGGACGTTGATTTAGAGTTATCTTGGCAAAACACGCGCGTTGCACAGACACCGCAAGAACAACCCCCCTCGCTGGAGCTTTCCTCTCATAACAACAAGAAGGACCCTAACTACACCCCTATACACCCACCAATTTCGCAATATGCCCAGAGAAATTATCAGTATCCAGGCTGGACAGTGCGGAAATGCAGTCGGATCGTCTTTTTGGCAAACGCTTTGTGGGTTAATCACTCCCCGATTCTTCTCGATTTAGTAGTAGTATCTGACAAGGAAATCTGTGCAAGATAGGTCAGGAGCATGGAATATCACCGGATGGAAATCTCGAATCTGTGGAGGAAGGGACCGATAGAAAAGACGTGGGTACACAAACTTCAAATGCAATTTGCCAAGGGCGCTGGATGTTGACTTAGAGGCTGGACACAGGTATTCTTTTACCAATCCGACGATACACGATACATTCCTCGCGCCATCCTACTAGATTTGGAACCCAGAGTCAGTGAGGATGAATCTTTCTGGGCGTGGTCTCTTACAATAAGGACTATTTCCCATAAAATCGCAGGGTTGACAGTGGATGGTGCTGCTTTAGGTGATTCATGGGATCCAAACAGGTCCGTACAAAAATATCTACAACCCCGAAAACTTTCACGTCCCAAAGCACGGAAGCGGCGCAGGGAACAATTGGGCCGCCGGTTATGCCATGGGAGAGAATGTTTATGAGGAGGTTATGGAAATGATCGAGAGAGAGGCAGACGGGAGTGATTCATTAGAGGTATGCCTAAGTATAAGGGGAACATCTATTACCAAGCTCCTGGCTAATGTAAATTGGAAACGATATTAGGGATTTATGCTGCTACATTCCATAGCTGGCGGTACAGGTTCAGGGCTCGGATCTTTTCTTCTGGAGAGGCTCAATGATCGATTCCCGAAGAAGTTGATCCAGACATACTCCGTCTTTCCCGATACACAAAGCGTAGGGGATGTCGTAGTTCAGCCCTACAACAGTATGCTCGCTATGCGACGCCTCACAGAGAACGCTGATTCTGTGGTATGTGCTCATCCGCGCGAATCCCTCACCATATATCTAAGGCTGATTTTCTAGGTTGTCTTAGACAACGGCGCTTTGACTCGTATCGCAGCAGATAGGCTTCACGTCCAGGAACCCTCATTTGCGCAGACCAATCAGTTGGTTTCGACTGTCATGTCTGCTAGTACCACTACTCTCAGATATCCTGGGTATATGCACAATGATCTTGTCGGAATCATTGCCTCCTTGATACCCACGCCACGTTGTCACTTTCTCATGACATCGTACACCCCATTCACGGGTGACATCGTCGATCAAGGTAAAACAGTCCGGAAAACAACTGTGCTAGATGTCATGCGCCGTCTGCTGCAGCCCAAAAACAGGATGGTCATGACAAATACTACAAAGAACAGCTGCTATATCTCAATCCTAAATATCATCCAGGGAGAGGCCGATCCAACTGATGTCAGTATCTGCACCCCTGTGCTTTGTCTACGTAATATACTAACGAATCAGGTTCATAAATCTCTTCTTCGTATTCGCGAAAGAAGACTGGCAACATTTATACCTTGGGGACCTGCAAGTATCCAAGTTGCCTTGACAAAGAAGAGCCCACATATGCCAATGTCACATCGTGTTAGTGGATTGATGTTAGCAAATCATACCAGTATTGCTACTGTTCGTCTTCCCACCCAAATTATGCTTTTCACAACTAATAAACTCACCCCAACTTTTAGCTGTTTAAGCGTATTCTCGGCCAATATGATCGTCTCAGGAAAAGAAATGCGTTCTTGGAACAGTACAAAAAGGAGCCGATTTTTGCCAATGACTTGGGTGAGTTTGATGAGGCTCGAGCAGTAGTTGCGGATTTAATTGCGGAGTATGAGGCGGCAGAAAGCTCTGATTATCTCAACCCTAGCCCAGAGAGGGCGAGCGAATCTTGAAAGGGTGTGTAAAAGGGTGAAGGGCGAATTGATTTGTACTAGTCATGATTTATGAATGCTAGCTTTAGGTTTTCTGGATTGCTGAATGAATGATTGGCAATTACAATGAACTAATCTCGAGCAAAATCTGCCTACTTGAGAAGGAAGTTTAATTCTCTCTTGTGTATCCCTATCCCAACTATTGCATCTTAATCGCCGCCCCATCAATCTATGATCCAAGTGTCATTTCTAAGCCCAATATGGCTACATATGTTACTAGCGAAGCGAATGAATTCACCAATATTACAACTAGGACGCTTCAGTATAGGTTATTAATCGCCAGAATTCTTAGCATAGAACTACCGGAGGATAGAAATGCAATGGGAATTCCTGTAGTAGAGCGGTGAAGGGTCCTAGTTTATGAAATATCCCCCTGCGACTCAATGTAAATATAGGATATGTACCAAAAAACGGTAAGTGAAAGGAATTCCAAAATAAGTGTCCATCTGAGGTGTTCATAATCACTGAGTAGGTTGTTTCGCCAGGTGGATTCAGAGATTATATACCTAGCGCGGATCGTTTGGTTAAGAAAATCAATCTTAGCACCCAGTGTGGTTAGCAATCTCACCTGGACAATTTTTGTTTTTATCCTTAAGAGTCAATTCCTGTAAAATCAACAACATAAACAAGTCTAGTGTAGATCACAATCCAAGTGTGTGGTGCCTTGGAGTTTTCACAGCGAAAAAAAAAAAAAAAAAACCGATGGTGGGAATTGGTGGAAAACTCTGCGTGAGAGCCTTTGTTTTTGCTTCTAGTAAAGTAGTTTTCCCAAAATTTTGTATGAGGAAAAATAGTTCCCATTTACACTGATAGTCCGTGCTCGGGCCCCCGCGGGGGGGGGGGGGGAGAAAAACACTCCCTGAGAAACACAATCCTTTGCTGCTAAATTCGCATAATCAATATAATCATGGACCGAAATATTATAATCGATTTATATACAAAGAATCGTTAGTATTTAGAGAAACGATAGTAACACTAAGCGAACTATATCGATCCTGGGCCTTATGGGATCGCCATGGCCTACGGGTGCCGGTCGTGCTACAAGCTATGTATATTGACTATCTGGGAACGTTTATTGTTAGAAACGGGTTCAACAAGAAGATGTATCATCATTATTTAAGGGAGGAAATTGGGTTGTGCTCATATGGTATTTTGATCTTTGAGTTCTGGTTATCATCACCGACCCGAAGGTCTGAGAGTGGTGCATGAAAACAGTATTTAATCTTCGCGGGGTGAAATAAAAATTGGTAAGAGGAAAGAAGTTAATGGAACTGACCTTAGTTTTGATTGATATCATATGTCATGATGAATGCAAGACAATTGGCACTTCTGCCAATTGTAATAAACCATCTGAGACGCCATTGGCGATATTGTGGTGATGTTCAGAGTAAAAAAACAGGGGGTGGAAAACATTTTTTTAAGTAGACGAATGCCGGGTAACACATTATTTAACAGTAACAACCCTAAGCCCTGAAATAAACGTAGTATGATGCATGCATACAAACACCCAGTCTTTGGCAAAAGCGAGCTTTCTTCCCGTCGGTATTTTATAATTATTAACTATTCACATTAACTATATTATTAGCTCTCAGAAAATGATAATCTAATAATCGATCACTATTGTTCATAAAAATAGTAGCAATTGCAATTCAGTAAGGGACAGCAGCCCCACGGCAACCGCCGCAGAACATACCGCGCCGCCTAAACTCAGTGGAGCAACCTGGCCTCTTCAAAACACACACCTAGCTCTCATCTCTCACCAATCCTCCGAAACTATACACCGTCCAATGCAACGATGAACGAAGAATTCTTTGGTGACAAAAAGGGCGGCCTCACTGAGAGTGTACGCACCTTTGACGCCTTTCGTAAGTCTTTCAGGCCATCAAGCTCGCCCTGGTTCCTGAGTATAGGGCTGAACGCTAACCATGCCCCTCCATAGCTAAAACCCGCGCATCCTATACTACACGTTCCTCCCGCGGCGGAATCGTAACACTACTCCTAATTACTACATGTCTATGGCTCGCATGGCACGAGATGGGTTCCTATTTCGATGGCATCGAAGAGCAGCACTTCCTTGTTGAAAAAAGTATCGGTCATGAGATGCAAATAAATCTCGACATTACCGTCGCGATGCCCTGCGACGCTCTCCACATCAACGTGCAGGACGCTGCCGCCGACCGTATCCTAGCAGGCGACCTCCTCCGAAAGGATGCAACTACATTTGATGATACAAGCGCTCACCGGCTGGTCGAGATTCCGCGAAGGGAGGAGCATGTTTACGACGTCCTGAAAAAGGC